AATTAGTCCTTGCTTTATGATATCAATAAAGCTACAGAAATCTATTCAAAGAAGATATGGGTAAAATATTTATAATTAAACTAAAGGGGTTCTGCTTCTTTAGATACCCACAAATAACTTTTACATAAGAACACCCACGAACTAATTAAAATTCTGAGGTTGTAAAGATTTTTTAGATACTGTTTTTTTGCCATCGTATTTCATATTTCAAATAATTGAAGAAGAAAGTTTGCATATTGATATAAATAATCAATATCGTTTTTTCATTAAAATATGTTTTTAATATTTATACAATATATCTTCATACACACTTAGCGGAAAATTCATGATTGTCCCTTCATGTAAAGAATATGGGGAATGAGAATGCAAAAAGACTGAAATTTTTATTGAAACACCTAATAAAAACAAGTTGAATGATATCAATATTGGAGCGTAAAAGAAAGAAGAGAAAAACCGAGTTTCAATTATTAAGATAATAAAAAGTGCCATCATTTTTTGATCCATATTGGTTAAATAAGCATGTAATTGCAAGATTTCGATATTATGATTGCAAAAAGTTCATCTCATTAGCACCAGCACAGAAGAGTGAATCTGGCAAAAATACGAATAATTTCTAACAAAATAGCTCGATGGACCTGTAGATTTAATCTATTCCAGTTTTTACTTTTGTGAGGCGAGTAATGTCGAGAGTTGATACAAAAATAACTTTAAAATACGTTTATCCTATAGTATTCCGTATTTAAATAAAGAGCTTATTAATATATTTCGTTAAGTATTTTTATATTTGTGTTACTTATTGCTTTCAATTTATCTTTCTCGTTTTTAGTTTCAGATTGCAGGAATTGAGCATTAGTAGAGATCTGAAGAACTTTTTATGCTAGCCATGATTTTAAAGTCTTTATCACATAACGACTTCCATCTTCACTTAGTCAGTTAACCACCGCCGAGTGCAAGTGAGTTCAAAGTCTACCTCGCCTCCATACACAACTTTCAATAATAAAACGAATAATAAATATGTTGATATTTTTTTATAATTATCATTTGTTATATAATACAGAAATTGTGCGCTGGCAGAAATGTTACGAAAATGAAACTAACATATTATTAGAGGAAAGTTCTTTCGTTGATATCATCATGCAATTTATTGAATCCTGGTGTTAATCATAGCTATCATTTCTAATTGTTTTCAAATATATTTCAGTTACAGCTATAAAAATCTTATTGGAAGATTTTGAGACAAAATTCACAATGGTTATCATTTTAGATTATTATCAAAATATTTGCCATGTGCTTTCACTAATACCGTCAAATTATCTATGTTGATCTTTATTCAAAAGTATATTTGCTTGTTTAAAATACTAATGTTAAAATGTCGTGCAAAGAACAGAAAACAAATACCCATAAATCAGCGCATACCTGATCATATCAGCTATTTTCCATATAGGACGTACAATTATATATTGCGATGTGAAACCCATAATTCGTGTTTTTCGTATTTACCGATATTTTTGATTCAGATCACACCTTGCTATCATGAATTCAATCAAGCAGAGGGCTAAATTGTAGATCTCTGCAGTTTCCTAATTTGGTTTATCTCAAAGAGAATATCACACATTTTTGAGGTTCAGTCTTGTTTTTGTAAAAACTAGTAAATTAAGGTATTCCTTAAATAAAGAAATATTTATGACTTTGGAGTAAATTTTTTTAACTACACCCACTTTTGGTAAAAAAAAATCACACTTTAGGGGATTTCTCAAATTGCTCGTTCTAAATATGTACTTGGGGGTATATTATATATATAGACTAGTCAGACAAATTAAAATTTTGTTTTTTATTCTCATTAGGCAGCTGCACCAAATGATATCAAAATAAGTTCTGTTCTTACGGCAACATCAATATCTAAACGATTATATATTTTGAGAATGAGAAAAGTCGAATCGAAATACAAACCATTAATTTATTTACTGTCTGGTCTAATATTACTAATATTTATTTAGGTTCATTGATTATATTGCACAGTTAATTATAAAATATATTTAACACTTCAAACATGATTATTTCAAAATAAGTTGAAAGCATTGTGCACTGTGTACATTGTGGTGATTTTTGATTCTGTAACTTTTTTTTCGTTTCAATATACAAAAACCGTAAATTTTGTATCTGCGTTCCTATTCAGAATATGTTTTTTCGTTGTCAGGGTATCTATCAGTGGTGTACATTGTTGTTGTTTATTTCAATTCTGCAATTTTTCATAACAAGTTGAATAACATAAAAATGCATTAAATTACGATAGCTTGAGGTTCTAGTTTAAACACAGAATAATATTTGACAGTAATATTTATTTGTACCGAAATATTTTAATATTATAAATATATATACTAGCTTATTTCCAACAAAACATTCCTTCAATAAAAATGTTTATACTTGTTTCATAAACAGGTGCTTATGATGTGTTTTCTCATGGGAAAAGCTTTTGAAAGTATATGATCTCCTGTAAACTGTTAATTACATCTCATTAGACAAGAAGTTCGGTAATTTCCGTGTAATTATTGATCTGCTAATAGCAACTTCTATTGTTTGTGAAGGTATAATGAAAACAAACAACGTACAAAATGATTACAGTTTTGTATGAGGGTGATTGATTTATCGAAATCATACCAGAAAGTTTTTATTTCTGCCTCAAAATACACCTGTATTTTTAAGTTTTTGAGTTCTTCGTTTAGGCTCTTGCATAGGCAAATATTATGTATGAAAAAAATAACTGAATGTAATCAAACAAAAAATAGAAAAGTTATTTTTCTATAAACAATATATTCATTGCAAATGTTACTCCAGAAATCTATTTTTCTGCATACCAAGTGAAATACAATAACATAAAAGAAAAAATATTTCTATTGTCGGACGTTTACACAATCGGTTTAAACAACAAACTCCTATTAATACTCATTGCGTTTCACCGACAGACTCACATTTGACGTAAAATTTAAAATCACTTTTACAAACCTACAAAATTAAATAACAATTTGACTTTATGGTCAAATTACGGAATTTGTTACGTTCAAGCAATTTTCTGTATAATTTGCCATAGCGAGACTCGTGCGAAAAATTGCTACATAATTGAAGGTCACAGTTTTGAAAGTCAGAGTTCATACCACAATAAGATCATTTCTCTGTAGATTGCTAGTGGGACTTACATTGCCACATGACATCAGATCGTTTTTTTCACAAGCCGATGTTTTCATTACAAACATGATGTTATATAAACTTAGAGAAGTTTTTTTGTTGTCTGATATATTATCTATTGCTCAATTGGGATGAATTTATATCTGAAGATAGGGTGGACTTTACTGCCATCGTAATGGGCACATAACACGAATGCCTAATTCTCAAATTTAAAAAAATTATAGGCAAGTAAACTTTTTTATTATCATTTTCGGCAAACGAACATCTAATTCGCCAAATAAAATGTAGTGGTTTCGAATATTCTAAGATATAAAAATAAATTTGTTTGAAGACATTATCACAAGTTATGTGTGATAAGTGGGTGGTTATTATTAAGTCACCTTACTCATTCCAAATTTAGAATTTGTTTTTGATTTTATAATGAAAATTACATATAAAAAAATATAGTTTGAGTTCTTGTCTGTTGAAAAGAATTGATATTTAAATTGTTATAAATCTGCAAAAGAACGAGTATGTTATCGCCAATTTGGCGGCCAAAACCCAACGTTTTGTTTGGACATATTGGCGTTGAGAAAGCTGCTAAGCTTTAGGAGTACTCAACTTTGATATATAACAAAGGCAATTAGAAATGCGAAATTCGAGCAAAAACATCTGAGACTTCAGAGATTCAGGAGGGTTAATTAGGGAAAATCAAAGTGCCTGGAGTAATCTGTGTATATTTTTGTCCGAAAAGAAGAGTAATACGGAATGATGAAACTAAATTTTGGCGTACACAGTATTTCACATTAAGAAAATTAGAATAATACAATTGTCTTGTCTTAGACGTCATTCGTTCATCTTTTTCTTTTTTCAAATTTCTGCCCTTGTCCGCCATCTACTGACTAAAATTTTTCTTTTTAATTTCTCAGAAGTTCCCGATATCAATTTCAATGAGTGAAATAAACCATTTGATGGCGAGCATTATTCTGCACTTTGATGGGTATAATTGCAATAGAACCCGAACTAAGCGCGGATGTTACAAGAGTGGAACTGGAATATTTTGTTTCTTCAAACTTAGTCATATGCTCCATGCCAGTCATTTTTGCACATGGTTCTAGTTGTGAACTGTCCCATAATACTTAACTTAGAATAACGAAATAAATGCAACGATTCATTTCTATGAGTATATTCGCACAAATGTATGATCTGTGAACAAAAATAACCAACTAATTTGTTCCAAAAAAACATTATTATTTTTAAAGTGAATCATATCACGATGTTGCAAAGAAGCCTTTTGCTTTAACTTTAATGCAATATCAGATCATATTCTTATTAGTACAAATTGAATGATAAGATTAGTTTTGCATATCTACGCAGAAGTTAGCCAATCAAATACCCTAGAGTAGACAGTATATGTCGTAATGGCACACCTAGTTATAAATCAATATTGACATGTTTTAATTTATTTGCGATCGGATAACTTACGAACACTGTTGTTATATACATTTTTGCAACGACGTCTAATATTTGCTCAAATATATAATGACGTATTATAAGCACTAAATCACATATTGTGTACTAATTTGAACTGTACTGATACTGATGAAATCTTCTGTCACTGTTTGTACACTGTTTTGAATCGTTTTATTGCAGTTGCAACGAGAATGTTCATGGATTGTTATTATAGCACAAGGCTTGAGCAGTACAATTTTCTTATACGCGATAGTAGGTATATCTAAAGCCAGTGATTCCCTTCCCCGTTATTAACGCAAAATATAGAATAAAGCTGCAAAAACAAGTAGACAGCCTCAGTATTATGTATTATGAAAACTCAAATTGTGTCTCAGAACCATATGCAGTACTTCGGTAGGTATAAACAAATTAGATTTCCCAATCTGACACTTACTTTACCGATGATATAAATATTATGACAAAGCAAAAGTTTGAAAAAGTAAACTTACTAATTGTTAAAAATATTTATTAAAATACAGTAAGACTTGTTCATATGATCTTATTTGATTATAAATTAAACAATCAGCGAAGATGAACAATCGTGATTACTGCTTTACTTTGCTGGTGGGTTTGTCAATGGCGATTATCCCAACGTATCAATATTCACTAGAAGATCATCACAAACTTCTGCTCATATCTTTTGATGGATTGAGGTTAATTAGCATTTATTTATTATTCAAAGCATTTTGCTTCTGATCGAAAATTTCGATAATTAATTAAATACCTAATAAGTGATAATTTCAAAATTTGTTTTTGCAAATTCTAATTTGTGAATCCAGTTTGCCTGTGTTTGTCTCCAATGACTTGTCTTCAGTTTGACTCTATATCACTGGGTTAAAATTCTGCTCATATATATAATCGGGTTCCATTACATTTGAACCCACGTACATTTGAACCCACGACAATTGCACCTACATACTATTGCGCCTATGGATTTTTTTTGTTTTACGAATACTTGAACCCATACTAACCCTAACCCATGGGTTTTAGCACACGCATATAAATTGAACCCGCGGATATACACATGGGTTCAAATGTACGTGGGTTTAAATGTACGGTCACCATATAATCGCAATCGGACAAAAAGTGTACACTTGAAACGTTTTGCTAAATTCTTGTTGTTGTTTGGTCACTGTGTTTAAGAAACCGACATACCTACCAACTCATTGATGCTATTATGACTAGGATAAAGATAAATTGACTGTACTATTTTAGCGAATTGACTAAAATCTGTTCATAATTTTGTTTTTAAAAAAGGATCGTTTTTATTAAGGGCTCGATTGGTGAAAAAATATACGTTTCTTTACTCACACGACCATACTTTCGACTTTATCTTCATTAAAATGTTATTTTTATTAATTTGCATTTTTGGCAAGTTTTGACTAGCCATTATTCAAAATTTTTTTTTCAACACTAAAAAAACGAAAAACAATCCAACCCTGATTTCCATATTTGTCATGACTGATGAAAATGCAGTTATATATATACGTGGTATTCAATTCGTTGTGATTTTTAAATTATTATAACTTAGAAAGCAAAAGTTAAAACTTATTTCAGGTGGGATTATGTTGACCGAAGACCAGATCTAGAAAGTTTCAATATTTTGAGAGAGGAAGGAGTAAAAGCTGAGTTTTTGGAGCCACCTTTTCCTAGTCAAACATCTCCGTCTCATACTACTTTGGCTACAGGTTTAACTGCGAAATAAGTGATTTCATTATAAATACGGCTTATTACAAACAAATGAATTGTACTAAATATATATATAAGAGATATCAAAAATATAAATATTTTATAGATTGAAGATACTGCTGAAATACCACTCTGTCTAACTGTTTTTTTTTTCTTTTTTTTTTCTCTCTTTTATCTTCGTATGATTTAATGTTAGACTCCCTCATAGGTGACGCTGTTGGGTGACCATTACTGGTTTATCGCGTTTTCCTTCACGATAAAATACATTTTTCTTGTATTTTACCTCACTGTCCGTACACTTTGTATTTTCGATAGGCTATATGAAAAATTAACTACTGATTGACTGACTGCACAAAGTTACAGAAAAACGACTGCACACGTTGTTGGTGTAAACCTTTTCTTTTTATTGTAATAGGTCTTTATGTAGAGAGTCATGGGGTTGTTCACAATGTATATTATGACCGAAACAGTACTGAAGTCGTAACAGGAGATTTCTATAGAACTCTCGCCATAAATGAATGGTGGGATAATGGAGACGAACCTATATGGATAACTGCCAGCTCACAGGTTTTAGACTTTTTTTTATTTCATTTCCATTATTGGGTATTACAAAAAAAAAACGTTCATTCCGTGGTCAGATATGGTAAGATAAAATATCATAATATTATTATCCGAAGCTAAATATTAAATTGAATCTGGAAAGAATACTTTCAAATCTAGCAAATGTAAAATGCAATATTCTGCAGCATATGTTAATGCAAGGTAGTTTGGAAAATAGGCGATGCATTGTATGAAAATTAGAATTATACATTTGAGACATTTACATATACACCAGGGTCTAAAGAGTGGAGGTTACTTGTTCCCTGGTAGCAATGCCACCATCGGCGGAAGAACAGCAACTCGTTCCATTTTACAAACTGCTCGCACTTCAAAAGAAGAATCCGATTGGCAAGAGAGAATTGATGACGTCATTTCGTGGTTTGTCGAAGACAATTTTGACTTTATTGCACTATATTTTGAACAGGTAAACTCATATATTTTTTTACAAAGGTAGGACTAATAGTAATGATTTGTTTATTGTCAATAGCCCGATTCAGATGGACACGACAAAGGCCCAGATGATGATATTATTGAATCTACAACCCTACCAATTATCAACCGTACAATAGGCTATCTTCTTAGTAAAGTCCAGGAAGCTGGATTAACTGACGAGCTCAATATTATCATAGCAAGGTAAATATTTGTAGTCCCTCCGCGTATCTTAAAGTTAATAATTTGTAAAAACGTTGTCACAGCTTTGCCTACGTTTTCGCTACCAATTGCATTTAAGTTATCGAATCGCACTGCGACTTCTAATTTTTTTCATTAAATTACATTGAAAATTAAATACAGAAAAATACCATTGATCTATGACCAGAATATTAAGTTATACAAAATCTTTTCAAAACAGATTATGTTGCCAGTCACTGCTTATAATTTAAACTGGTTTGAGCTTCGTTCCATCATGAAGTGAGAATAAATTTCCGTAACTTAAAACCCCAAAATTGGTTGTGCTAAACGTGCGAATATTTTTATCAGTGATCACGGCATGACAACAGTTGATATCGACGTTAGCTTTAATGACGTCATTTCATTGGTGAACTACGTTAACGTCTCAGACATATTTTTCATGTTCCCGTATGCGGCATTAGGACTCGTAGAACCGTACCCAAACGAAAGGGAAAAAGTATACAACCAGCTTACAGGTAAATATTACCATCCAAATGTATTTGTTAACGTTTTGACTTAGAGGTGCATTACATCACTGCATCTGATAAATTATCACATCAATGCTAAATATTGTTATCAGATTACTGATTTTTGGCAATCACAAAAATGCTAACTATAGTGCCCGTCGGTAAAAAAGAATTAGCCACAAAGAAGTGTTATATAGAATGAAAGGCAATTTGCGGGGGATCCGTATAGACCAATTTAATATTTTTTGTGTGACTAAAATATTTCTGCATTTATTCAATTAAATAGTTTGATTTAATGGGTGTAATGCTGATTCAGGTGCACACCCTCGTTTGAATACATTCTATAAAGAAGATTTGCCTGAATATTTTCATTATTCCAACAATGACAGAATTACTTCTATCGTGCTCACAGCGGATTTAGGTTACACTATGTATAGGGTTAGTAATTTTATTATTCTATATTATACTAATATACAAGATACTCTAATTTAGAAAATATCAGATTTTCGTTTAACATCAAGATATCATATACCACAAGTTAACTAAATTAGACAGCTTCAGCAGAAATAGTTCCTATTCAACAGTACTACTTTGTATAGCAATGTGTGTGTTATAACAATCCTAAATTTTTTGTTTTCTAGCGACAAAATATTCATTCATTCGTGTTCATTATGTTTAAATTTGAATACAATACCAAGTTTTCAAAAACGTTTTTCAAAGTTGTTTTCAACAATCGAACGATTTTTCCTTAAGGTTTTTCCAGGATTCCACATTAACAAGGGTGAACATGGATATGATAGCAAATTGCCAGATATGAGAGCTTCATTTTTTGCTATTGGGCCTTCATTCAAGGTAAAAATTAATGAATTAATCAAACTCAAATTTTTATTGACCTATGGATCGATTTGTTGAATTGTATTCTTGGTACTATTGTTGTTGTTATTATCGTTGCTAGACCAATTCCTTCGGAATGTACAGCGGTTAAAGATTTTTGCAGTTGCTAGAATTATATTAATTTATATAGTTAAAAATGGGGACTCTGTGGGAGTTTCGTTTTTCATTTTAAAGTTTGTGCCGTGACATCATCAAAATTAAAACTTGAGCCTTTGTGGCTGTTCAATGATTGCATTTCAGAAATCTCGTGGTCAGCCAAGTTGTGTGTTTTTGACAAAGTAGACTACCGGTATGGGTACTGTAAAAGATTTGATCTATACTACTTCGTCTTGGCCTTTGTGTCGATATGTTTGATCATTGCTCTGTCGTTTCAATTACTTTTTACAGAAATTCAGATATTTAGTGAGGGAAAACTTCAGTAATCGGATCATTGGCATCGGCATTTATAAGATATAATTTGTTATTTCCCTAAAATTTATTTTAGAAAAAATTAAAATTCGATATAGTTCAGAAATTGAAATAATAAAATTTTTAGGATGTAGCCATTATTATAAGTTATTTTATTCTTATTTTATAATGTATATTAGGAGCGGAAAATCCAAAATTATAAATTTTCATTTAATTGTGTTTAATCAGTATGACAATTTTTATTCCTGTTTAACTAAAATTTAATTATTGCAGAAAACATTTCTTTTTCAGAAAAACTACATTGTACCGGGATTTCAGTCGATACATGTTTATGAACTGATGTGCCATTTACTAGGTTTGACTCCCGCACCAAACAATGGATCACTCGACGTTCTTTACCCCATTTTAAGGGACGAGTCGCTGAAAACAACCTCATTCACGACGACAAACGTGCAGAGTACAACCAGTGGTGCGCAGCGTCCTGGAGCTGTAGTACATTTTCTGAGTATTCTAACATTGGCTTGTTGGTTGATAAAACATAATTAAAATATAAAATTTAATAAGATAAAACATAATTATAACAAAAAAGGAATATTTTTCATTTTGATATTGTGAAGCAAAGAAGGCGTGATGCCGAGATTGTGGTTTAAAGAAGCACAACGTCGTAGTGTCTAAAAATGTAATGTTATAATTACATTCAATCAGTACGCGCTCATGCTTATTAAAAATTTAAAGACAGTGCAAATAGCACGATAAAACGCCTTTTTCATCACTTACCACAAACTTTTTTTAGAGTAAGACCTATCATTTTACAAAAGAAGGTTTTGTTTGTGATAATTCTTTGTGCCTCTTTCCTTCATATTCTAGGAAATAAATTCAATTATGTATTGTGGCCCCTAATTTTCATGTTCGGGATAAATTATAACAATGGAGCTAGTTCAACTTGACAAAAAAGATATAACTTAATCTAACAGCGAATGAGGTTTTTACAATAAACTAGAAGTTTTTATTACACGAAGCGTTATTATAACGTCTTATTTAGTTTTATTAGCATTACGCATGTCATTCACATTTTTTTTTATATCAGCAGTTCAGTACATTAGAAGTCGTATGTATTATACGTATGCAAAAGAATTAGAGAATGAAAGGTTGGTAGTTCACTAGATATTAACATCTTGTTTCCTAATTGCTAGCTCTTTGAAAAAGGGTAAACAACGTCGTACATGCGGAGGCTCAGAACATTCGGGTGTGCAAATTGAAACAGGTGGAAAGTGTGGAGTTGTAGTTTGAAAAGAACAGATACTTAACGGGGCAGGTCAGAAGCTTTTTTCACGATCTTAAAAAATGACACGACACTGTCTAACTAAAGTATGCCGATTAAATCATATGTTCAATAAAAATAGGTATCTGTATTTTACAAAAACATTCGATGCTCCCGAAGTATTTGTACCAAGATGACGCACAACCCTAACCTGGCACACATGCTATGTTCATACTCCATACGGAGCGCCAATAATTCTACTAAAATTTCTTGAAATATTAATACTGACTAATATTTTCGCTTTCAATTGATTTTTTTTATAATACACACTACAACAGATTGCAGTATTCAAGATATGATTTTGATTTCGTATCGTGAAAGCCAGTAATAAAACTACTAACGAGTGCGTTATCTGAGTCTAGTTTAGAGTGCAAGTCCCAACAGAAATTATCTGTATTATTAACCCTTAATATAGGAAAACTGTCTTAACAATAAACTTAGTGAAGTCAGTAAGAGCTTAAGAGACATATAATTCAAAGATCCTCATCTGAGAGAATCAAAGTTTAGTTAGAGTTAGAGCTGTAATAGGCATATATATATACAGATCATGGAGCAGGATCTTCTATCGAGTAAGCGAACGAAAATTTGCATGTTTTACATACTTTGTATGTAGCAATTTCTCTTAAAAGCGAATTACCAAACAGAAATATTACAATAACTGCATCTTCCACTTTACGTGGCATTTTTTCTTTTCTTCAGTTTGACGTAAACACCATCCATAGGTCTCATAATTAGATCACCAAGCATTTCGACATCTTCGAATTTATCTCGAGATTCCACTTCAAATTTTCGCAACGTGTGTGCCAAGACAACTTTTTCTTCCATGAGAGCAAATTTCTGCCCGATGCAATTACGCGGTCCAGCAGAAAAGGGCACGTAAGAGTATGGGTGTCGGCCTTCACAATTGTCGGTACTGAATCTTTCTGGGTCGAACCTGAAACGAAAAATACTAAATGTATTTTTGCATTACGTCGGTTATTCGACAAAAAACAGTATGCAAAATATCTCGTCTATCGAGTAAGCAATAGAAAATTTTATTATTTTTCTTAACCTTCCTAAAGTGAAGGTCGGTAAGTAGCTTTTTTTGCTCACTACTACCCAAAAGCTGGATGCATATCGATGGTTAGATTAAGTTTGTTGACTTACTATGATTTCAAACGGAACTTTTTTCAGGTGGTTTTGTCTTGTTAATAGTATCAGTGATTATGGTACATGCTTCCTCAAAGACTAAAAATAAAAAATGTTGTTTATCACTTTTCGATGACCATTTCAAATTTTATTGAGCTGAGATTTTTTTTTGAACGAAATCCGGGAAGTTTTAAAACATCGATATGTGTAGACTATAAAATGCGCCACCTTTCTGGATCAGTCCAGTATTCTGGGTTATTGTTGATTTTCTGAATAAAGAGTATACACGTGGTTTCTTTGGGTATTTCATATCCATCCAATCTGTAACATAAGATGCTCTTTTAAAGTATAGAACACGACTATGACAATAATTTTTCTTAATTGTGCTTATCTGATCTGCAACTCACACACCCATAGAATACATTATAATCTTGTCAAAATATAATTAAATATTTCTAAAAAACAGTTTAACAAGCTGAATGCCTGGCGGAATGTCTGAAGTTTGGCGAATAAACATTCTAGAAATGCTGTTATTACTTGCAATCGTGAGCTGTATTTCTACCAACTAATGGTACAGGTGGCAGTAACCGATGAGATTCTTTGATGACCATTTCCAAATATTGAAGTTTGCGTAGATCCTCGAACGTTATATTGCGATTCTCGTCGTCGTTGAAAACCTCGTCCAGTTCCTCTTGGATACGTCGTTGAACATCGGGATGTAAACCTAATTTTCGAATAATTTAACAATGGGTTGAAATTAACAAGTTATCAGCAATTAAGAAATTTTGTTTAAGGTACAAGAAAATATAATAAAGTTCGGACTCATTATTTTTTAAATCGACTCCTTCCTGACTATGACTGGAAAATTTGATTCAAATCTCGACGCTGAACGAGGAGAAATCTAAAATGAACTCACCGACAAGATAAAGGGTCCATGTCATTCCTGCAGAAGATGTGTCATGGCCTATAGAAAATGAAAAAGATAGGCATTAATGAGCCGTAAATGAACCAGAAAGCTTTTAAAATTTAATTAAAAGTTGTTGTAGGAGATATATCACCGCCACGGTTGACCACCCTGGAGCTGTCTAAGTTGAACGTTTTGCTTTGTGCGGATTCTGTATTCAGTTTACTCTGAAAGTTTTATATTAAAGGTAAAATTGTTCACCAATATAAAGTCTTGATAACAATAAAATATATATTATAATTTACTGAATAATCAATTTTTTGTACTTTATTTATAGTAAAGCGAGCTCTGATACCGCCTTAATTATACGCACACTATGTAGTTTTAACGATTAGAATATATACCAATTCAATCTGAATTTTATTGTAAATAAAAGTTATATAATATTGTGGTCTCAGTGGTTACCTTCAAACATGAATGTGTCGACTTCCTCTCGAATATCATCAATAGAGAGTTGTTTTCCTCCATCTGAAACATTGATCAACAAGTCTAAAAAAGCTTGTCTTCTATTCTTCTGCGTCACGTTTTCCTTGTGTTTCATACGATCTCGGATAACAGATTCCGTGAACTTGTGAAGACGGTCCAGCCTTTCGCTACATTCTCTTCCGTCTTCCGTTAAATTGTACGATGCATCAGGCCACATCCATGGACGTTTTATTCGATCGAAAAACAAATGACTGACCCTAAAAACATATAGTAAAACACGAAAACGTGGTTTATATGATTTGGACACACGTTCGGACCTAACCGTTATGTATTTGTGATACGTTTTGATATCTGATATATTCGACTTCGCATTTTTGGAGTTTTTCATGACAACCTGAAACTGACTAATTTGTATCGTCCGAAGAGGCGTTAGTTTATTGATTTTTGTATCTAAAATTTGATTAGTCGCAATAATGACGTGGCATTTTCCCCGCTGTGCTATTGCTACTAATTTACACTTACAAATTAGTTAATTTTTAAGAAGTAAGGCAAAATTATATCGGTTATCTGGATATTGAAGCAACATATTCTGACTCCTCGTCCACTTGGGCATTCACATTTTCTCCCATCGCTGTCTCACATATAATGTCCAAAGCACATAAACCAACAGGTTTAAATAGTTCAAAATGATTATTTGTGCCGGCAAACTTTCCTATTCGTTCAGTAAATATTTCAGCTTTATCGTTCATAATTGGCAGGAAGTCTTTCAAAATGCTTAATATAAATAAATTAAGCTGTACGGTTTTATTCAATTCAAAAGATAAATAATCAAGATCAAAATATTAAATTGAGAGATTTTATTTTAATTTTTTTTATTGAAGACTGACGATTACCATTGTTGAATTTCAGTATTTTGTTTTAAAAATATTTTCAAAACTTGCTTAATTTAAATCATCTCCATATATAAAATTTGCAAGGGAATCGTATAATATTTACCAAATAGGGATTTCATTTTAACAATAGCAAATTTGATAGAAAAAAAAAAGAAATATCATAATTTAAAACTCACTCATATATTGACGACATGTTTATTCTTAATACAATATTCTTACAATATACACACACGGACGCAATCGAGCAGCGCTGATGCATATTGGGTGAGAGTTAGTCTTGCATAGTTACAATGGTTATATTAAGATTATTTTTTCAAGCTATCTTTGGTAATATTTCAACTGTCATTTAATTATATGTTTTTTTCATGAAACATACTCTATTTTATTTTATTACAAATTCATTACACTAGATTAAACGAAAAAAATATTAACACCCACCTAAAATGGAATGTGGGAGTGAGCAACTTCCTTCTCGACCTCCACTTGGAGCCAGTCGATGTTAGTAATCCAGTTCCCAACCAATTGTGAAAAAATTGGTAAAAATATGTTTTGTCCAAGTGCTCAGAACTTCGTAAAATCTCTTCGGCTGCCTTTGGTCCCTTGATTAGCACAACAGGCATAGGTCCCCACCATATACATACGATATTGCTGGTTTGACATTCAATATTTCCTTCAGTTATTTTCAAGAGGCTTGCATAAATATTGTCTGGACAAGAGTTCAGAAGCCTAGCATGTCCGATCAGAGGGTACGCTAGTTGGGATGGACCAGGAATTTTTGCGTATATTGCCCATTTCTTTGCAGCTTCCCTCCATCGTAATATTAACCAAACTAGTAGAATTGTTACAGCGAATACGGAAAAGCTGAGTTCCATAATATTTAGCCTATTTTACCAAATAAAACATCAAATGTTAGCAATATGCTAATACTTTATTGTTGACATCAATCTGGTCAACTGGATCAGAATGTCTACCAGAATTCAATCATTTCAAAATAAATATACCTCACTACGAAGATCAGCATATAATGTCAAAATAACCTCTAACTTGCATATATCATTCACTACACCCAGAAAGTATATTTGGAATTTTACAGAATACTACATTTTTTATGGGTAAATAAGTTGTCGTCACATGTTATAAATACTCTCTTCAAACCCCACGCACAACATCACCTAAGGCCCAGTGGTTCTTAAACTTTTTGAGCAGCGCCTCCCTTTGAATATTTTACAAACTTCGCGCCACCCCCCTCTTTTTGCTTTGAAAAAATGCTTTTGTGATGGGCATGTTGCTTTATATTGAGATGGCGCTGTAAGAGTGTTGGTCTCATAGCGTCATTGCTCAGATTTTTTAGGCATAAAACGCATCGGAATACAACTTCGCCATTCACTGTCGTATGTATAAAGCCATACTCAAATAGTGGTCATCATACATTCTCCTTTCTCCGCTCAGTTTGCGATACCTGGTAAAGTCAAACAAAGTTTTGGATAAAACTAAACACGCAATAGACGTATGCTTTTTGTGCTTTAATGTATTTTCTGCCTAAACGTTTACATAAGACACGTACAGTTTCAATCAATTGTTTACTTCATCCCTATATTGAGCAGTGCAAAAATTATTTATTGTCTGTTTAAAATACACAACAATTACAATTACAGACTTCTTGGCTTGCCTAACGTCTCCAAAATTCACTACCAATACCCTCGGACAACCACCAGGTTCAAAAATACAGTTTACAAAATGGAGGAGTTCAAATGAATATATGTACATTTTTAGCATAAAGTAAAGTTGTTCATTTTTAATAGTTATTATGCATGTGGAGGTTTCCCCGGCCCTTGACCGCTGAAAAATAAAGTTGCTAAGACGTTTGCAATTGCATTTTTTTAAAATCTCGATTGTTTTCGTCAGCGTGACGTGTTATTTAAGCCGTAAAAATCTTTATTTCGGTGTTTATTCTCCCTAAATCAGAAATTTCCCTCGGACATATTTTTGTGCCGCGAAGACGATGATAATTACTTTTTTTGTTCTCGCATGGAACCTTGACATCTGTGAAGGAACGAGTTAGTTTCTATTATATAATCATCAGAGACAAGTTGCTAAAGATAGAATAAAGGAGTGAATCTGCAACAAAAAATTTATTAATTGAAAAAGCGGCATTATAATATACTAAAAATAAAACGGAAAACACCATGATTTTGTTTTTGGGTGGACCGCGACAGATTAAACACACTTTCTTAGATCTCTAGGAAGACTTAGATCACTCTCATAAATTCCTTGTGCACATCTGTAGTGTTCTAAAATTAAAAAATTTTACTCCGTGGGATATTATCGCAGACTTGGGAAGTTCTCTAACGGTGAAATTTAATCGTGTGGCAGCCTTGCGATGGAGCGAAGTAAGAGTTGCACGGACAGCTCATATTAGTAAAATTTGCAAGAATACGAATCAAAACAAAATGTGATCGGGCACTTTGACACATATTATTATGTCCGACGAATGCCGCGGTGTTTTGGACTAATGGTGCTTTTATTTTATCGACGCAGTAGCAGATTTAAGATAAAAGTCTTATCCTCATTTTACCCACATGATGACGCAGCTTTACAAAACATAGATGTATTTACTTTCGAGTTCAACGACTTTGAAACATCCCATTCATTGTGCAATAAGCCACGCAAACTAGGCCAGTATTGTGCAGAAAATCTTGTAACAAAGTTAATCATTAATCTGGACACAGCTCGTAAGGACACATGAATACATCTACTCATATTCATACACTCTACATTACGTACAATTACTTTTCTATCGCCAATTATGGCCCAAACGTCATCAGTGCAATTTATAGATATATCGGAATCATAATATATACATGAAGTATTTTCATCATCCCTAATCTAAAATGATAAAAGCTCCAATCGAAATACGATCGTACCAAACAACCACAATACGTTGCTAGCTCGATTCAAAATCTTGATATAGGAACACCTTAGTCTCTGGTAAAAATACTCAACACTGATCGGAAATTTTTACACAACTTTTCAAATAAGGTATGTAAAAGCAGGATTAGGTGATAAACGAACTGGCAGAAAATATTATGAAGTCCGATGGTTTATGACAACAGCTACCTTGCAAACCCTGCCTTATATATTCAACGCCTATGTATCAAAGAGTTATCAGCCGAGCCCCAATATCTCGATTCATTGTACTCGAATAACCTGAACTATAATGTGTAACCGCAACGGGATGCTCTCATGTACAATACATGAAATACATTGATAACACACCAGACTGAACAGACGTAAAAGATATGCAACAATACATTATTATCTATGACATGGACAGTTCTGCATTGAAGCAAAACGAATGAGTGTGCGCGCTGTTTTTAACTGTGTCAGCAACTTATCGTATTGTATAAGAAAAAGACAATCTCTCAGAGAGAATGCCGCAAAATTCGTGTAATTGCTCATTAAATGTAGAAATTTAGTCCCAATCGTCATCAGTATTCTTCATTGCTCATACTACTTGCATCAACCCGTAACTTCCGCAGCGAGTACCTAACAGCGGCGCCATATCAGGTGTATTCGGAGTATCCGGTTGTTTCCTTTTTGGCAATCGCAAAACTACCAAGTCAGAAAACATAATCCGTTGTGTACTTGTGGCTATTACATTCCCGTTTGACTGGGAAGTCGTTGCAAGATCTCCAGGCGCATATTTTTATTTTGATATTGTGTTGAGATTATAGTGGCCTAGCCCAAAGTTTCGCAAATTTTGGGATTTTATTTTTCACGGACCCCCATCCTATACCATCAAACAGGAAGTCCCCATATCCCGATTTTATATCAATTTATGTGCGTAACCTAGGAGGAAGGATAATATTCCATTTGGATTTAGAACACAACAACACAAACGACAATAATGTGACCGAAAAATTGGTGACAATCAAACTCGTAGGCCCAATTCTACAACAACGAACTAAGTTAATTGTGTAGTCTTGGATAGTCTCTCACAATTGACTAACTGGGTTTCACGCCTTTTTCTGGCAGCAACGGGGCCCAAATGACCTTGGCAAATTTGTACAAGTTCTCGACTGGTGATAACTCAATACCGCTTGTGATGAAATTGAATTATCGCCATCTAATGTGGCCAACGTGGCACCATCGCCGAGCGATCTGAAATGTAATAGTCGGCGTTGCAAAGCTTGGGTTTTATTTGGTTAGTGTGCGTCAAGGTTGCTACATCTTGTAACTTGTTCTTTTTCTTGTTTTAGTATAGTAATACCGGTAATCTTTAAGTTAATAAAAGCCTAGAAAACAGTCTAAATGAGTTTTTCTCGAATGGTCTCACTACACCGCTAACGCATACAATTAAATATTACCGACAATGTAGCTCTGTGACAGAGGTCAACCTCATACGCTGAAAGCAACGATCGTCTGCATTTACAACAACTTTTTCACTCTCGTTGTCAAGGTCTCGTAACAATTACCATTCGAGATTGCGTTAACTTACGACTTTATCTCGTTTATGAATGTCTATGTAACGGTGGATATACGTTAAATGTATATATTTCAGACTTCTAACATTGCAGTGGACCCTCTGTGTAGTCGTCACGAACCCCCAGAGGTCCGCGGACCACAGTTTGGAAAACCCTGGCCTAGCCGCTCTACATTTAAATTGTTTATGCGTCAAAAAAGCTGAGACCAACTCAATTGAAATTTGCTTGGATCATTTAATAAGGTTTTTATTAAAATAAGAGACTACAAAAAGTTAGCAATATTTAGTATCAATCTTTGAGATTGGTTGCTAATTGATGTTTATTGCCTTCAATAGCCGGTCAAATTTTAAAACAGCTTAGCAAACAACAAGTTTAAAATTAATTCGCAAAGAAAATTTCAAAACGTTTTTCAAGCTATAAATAACATAGATTTTATGCTTTTCGATGTTTATAGGCTCTTAGAAAGACAGTATATGTAATAATAATATTTATAATGTCAGAAAAGTGAGTTCTTAATACATAATTGCACTAAAAGGTGTATAAGAGAATGAGTTGTTGCGGTCAGGTGGTTTATTGGACATGAAATGTACATATGGATCGTTTAAACCCGATGTTGTTGTTGATCATCTTGTTGGTATTCCATCTCTTCTTCTTCTTGTTGTGAAATAATCGCTTTTCTCTTGAACCACAGGACCAATTTTCAGTGATTAAGTTGTTGTCGCTTGAAGCCGATTACTTCTATTTATTCCTAAATTGTCTGATATATCATCCAAAATTTGGCTGTAATCTTTTTTTATTCGTGGAAACACGATTTTTAATCCACCAAGCGTGAAGTTTTTCGGTATACCGGTGATCTGACGCACTGCAGGTAGGTACGGCATGGCAAGTGACTGTAAAAGGTAAAGTACTTCAGCTGTGTGTCCATAGTTTCAGCTTCGTCCAGCATTTGATTGATGGCGAAATTGTGGGAAAAATATTTCATTATGGCTTTCGTGTACATATATTTGCGCATTGCTCACTTGTTATTCATGTAGTGTTTTTTTTGTTGGGACGAATTTGAAACTGTTGCTTGCAATTTTCTTCAGCAAAAAAAAAACGTCCTGTAAACGTTTGTGGGTGGATTATACCATACCGAAAGACTTATTCAATATTTTTTCTATTTTTCAGTTTCACATAAACGCCATCCATAGGTCTCAGAATTAAATTCCCGGTTCTTCGTATATCTTCCAATTTGTCACGAGATTCAATGTCAAACTTCCTTAAAATGTGTGCAAGTACCACTTTTTCTTCCATTAAAGCAAACTTTTGACCAATGCAATTTCTTGGGCCGGCGGAAAATGGAATATAAGAATAGGGATGTCGACCTTCAAACTGCTCGGTCTTAAATCTTTCTGGATCAAATCTATAAAAAATATTAATTCGTAAAATACAAAGTACAAGTAAAGTACAAAGCACAAAAATAAATGGGATTTTTGTTATGTTCATCGAATAAAAATTTAGTCGATGTATATTTCCCATTTAATCCAAGTTCACAATAGTAAATTTTAAGATTAGTCTCTGTAGAATGATCTTTTTTTAATGCAAAAACTCCGAACAAAAGTCCTTCAAAAGGAAAACTACCGGTACACATTGGCTACTATTTTGGAAAGGCCGTATGCTTCGTTCAGCATTACACATACCAATCAACGCAGTGGGAGTGAAATAATGGGCATGCCTAAGATCTTCAATTTGAAATGCCAACAAAATTAATTCCGATGGTTAAACTGCTTAACTATCGCGCCAATATATGACAAGAAATAATATTAATAATTAATCCTCACTTTTCTGGATTGGCCCAACATTCCGGATTGTTGTTGATCAATTGGATGAAGATCATGCAATAAGTCCCTTTAGGTACGTCATATCCATCGATCCTGAAATATGTTTTGATTATTGCGTGAAGTCTTCTCTGAGACTCTAAAGAAGCTCTAAAGAAACTCAAACGTGTATTTTCATTTTTCGGGTCACCGATAGGAACTAATTTTAAACTGTTCCATGTAAAAAATTTTGCGACTATAGATGATATTTTAAACTAGTCTCAACTGCTTCAAATATTGTATTTTTTTGTAATATGAACTTTCGAATCTATTCGATGCTTATGGTTATAGCTAATAAGAGATATTTGTTCGACTCAGCGAATAGATGATAAAAAATCGTTTGAACAAACACAGGCCCTTTTATTGTTTAAATTTTTTACTTATTTCCTAACAAATAAGTTTCATCTGATAAATATTGGAGATTTATTTTGACTGTTTCTGTTGTCTTGTTATAACGAACAGCTTCGTGAAATATTTGTTATAGCCAAGTGATTTATCAACTTGTGGCTTCTACTGGAGTTGAACTCATAGAACAGTTAAAAGGTTCGGGCTGTAATGTTTGAATTCAGCACGTTTTTTAGCTTCAATTTTATTTGTTAAATGGTCATTTGGACCAAGTACGCTGGTTCTACACGCTGTTGTGCATTACTCTAAATTACAAGTCAGTCACATAAAGTGAGAGATTTTCATGGTATTTCAAATATCGAAATTTATTGTGATACTTACTTGCAATCGTGAGCTGAATTTCTACTGACTATTGGGACAGGTGCAAGGAATCGATGAGATTCTTTGATGACCATTTCTAGATATTGAAGTTTCCGAAGATCTTCGAATGTTATTTCGCGATTGATATCGTCGACAAAAATATTGTCCAATTCCTCTTGAATTCGACGTTGAACATCGGGATAAGTACCTAATTAATTCAATTTATAAACTACAAAAAAGCATTGTTATTGAAAACAAGAGAGCTATGCTCAAATATATGGACACGTAGCGTCACCTAACGGCAATAATTTTGATGTCGTTATAGCAAAAAAAAAAAAACTTTTTAAAAACGTGTCAAAGAACAAGAACATCATATTGAAACGATCGCTATGTCTACTGCGTGTTCATTTACGAACTTAGACGCGTTGTATCGAGACACCAAGTTTGGCAACGTGTTACAGTAATCATTATTATTATCATATTATCAATACATTACATATTTCTAGGCTGTTTAGAATAAGAAAAAAGTATGTTTTAGTATAGCCTACATTACATATTTGGAAAATATCATCTTACCAATAAGATAAAGAGTCCATGTCATTCCTGCAGACGACGTGTCATGACCTATAACGAGAACAAATGGTGTTTTTAAGGAAACAATTTTGCTTTTGATCATATCTCGAATCTGTTCAAAAAATTGTATTACGACTAGAAACACTTTTACTGAAAGATACGGTAACCATCACGTTTTGTAAAAATGTTGAAAGTTTGAGAGAATTAAGGTAATTTAAGAACGGCTTAACTTAAGTTAATTAGATTAAATCGTAGAGATAGATAAGACATTCTCAAATATAACGACACGAAAGCCAAAACGAAGTAGTATCAAATTTTTCACAGTGCCAGTACCGTTAGTCCTCCTCATTCAAAAGCTTCTGACTTTGCTGACCAAGAGATCGCTGTAATGCGGCCGCAGAACCGACACCAGGTGCGCAATTTTTAATTTTAATGACGTCATCACAAAATAGGAGTCGGAGTAGGAGTTGAAAAACCATTTCCATAGAGCTCAAAGAAATTTTCGAAATAATTGAATGTAGTAGCCTTCTAGAATTTCACGTAACCCCAACTGTTAGTAACATCAACAATTCAACAAAACGATCAATAGTGTCCAATAATTGGAAGATTTGTTACCTCCGAACATGAATGTATCAACTTCCTCTCGAATGTCTTCTATAGAAAGGTGTTTTCCTCCTTCTGAAACTTTGATTAGCAAATCTAAGAATGCACGACGTCTATGGTTCCTAGTATCGTCTTCCTTGTCGAATTTCGACATACGATCTCTGATTACTGATTTCGTGAATGTGTGAATAACGTTCAGCACCTTCCTGTATTCTTTTCCCATTTTTGTTAAATTGTAAGTTACATCGGGCCACATCCATGGATATTTGAATCGTTCCATTAGCAAACTAGTGATTCTGATTTAGGAGTAGAAAATATATTAGACTATATCTATGTACAATAAACACTCATAATTTCAATTTCTAATAGTTGAGTATGTACAATTTTATCACTGAGAGTTCTTGAAGCATTGAGTTTCAATTTTCCAAAAGTTTTCCTTTGAATGCGTATATCCATGGAGTGTTTTTATTAGTTTAGACACTATTGAGATGCATGGATAAGATACAGAAAAAAATTGCATGTCACAGAAACGATTAAATATAAAATAGACAAAATTAGGTTGTTAATTGAATTTATCAACCTGTGTATTGACGTAACGTAATCTGATCCCTCGTCAACTTGAGCATTTACATTTTCTCCCATTGCTGTTTCACATATGATGTCCAAAGCACATAGACCTACATGTTCCAATAGTTCAAAATATGTGTCCGAATTTGCAAGTTTTTGTAATCTTTCCGTGAATATCTCGCACTTATCATTCATACTTGGCAAAAAGTCTTTCAAAATACTAAAAAAAGCGGAATAGGTAAAAACAGGTTTGAACTTAAATTAAGTAAGCACTAAATATTGATGGCCAGATTTTTAAATGGATTAAGGTCTATATTGCCTGTTTAGTTTACTAGTACGACTAAATGGAAAAATGTTATTGAGATTATCTGATTTTTTTTTCTGATACGCCGATATCAATCTTCATGAAGGATTTATGAAATCAAACTGCTGATACTATTTTAGAAGCACCAGTTGATTTTAATTCTGTAGACACTTATATGCTTAAATTTCTATAATTTGATCAACATTTTTCAACGCCACACTGACCAAATTCCTTCTGTAACTATACATCTCTTATGGCAAAAATTCAAGATAAAATTACATGACATTTTTATGCTCCCATAATATTTGATTTTACCATAACATATAACAATAAATGTAAATTCAATACTTGAAGTGGAACGCAGGTGTAAGTAATTTCCTTCTAGATTTCCATTTTTCGCCTGTTGCTGTTAATAATCCCGTTCCAAGCCAGTCATGGAAAAATTTGTAGAAATACGATTTGTCCAAGTGTTCAGAACTTTTCAAAATCTCTTCTGCTGCTTCTGGTCCCGTGATCAACACAACAGGCATTGGTCCCCACCATATACATCCTACATTACTTTTGTGGGGTACTATGTAGTCTTTGATTATCTTTACTGTGCTTGTGTATACATTATCAGGGTAGAAATTCAAGAGCTGGATGTGTCCAACAGGTGGAATTTTTGCGTAAATTTTCCATTTTGTAACGAAGTTTTTGGCAAATAAAAAAGTCTTTATTATTATCCAAGCCAGCACAACCGTAAACACTAATGCAGAAAAGCTTAGTTCCATAGCCACACTGATCTCTTACGGTCAGATATTGTAATTCTTTGGAATGAAATGACCAGAAAAGTTTGGATTTCTAAATATCTGAAACATAAGACTTAGATTAGACCATAATCACGGTGACAAATCTTTACGATCTCAATACGAACCGACTTATAATTACATGAATCTTGATGCTATTTCTCAATACTAGAAAAAATCCCAGAATATTAAGAGATATATCTTATTTTTACATTTTAAATAAATGAACAGATGTATTCATGAGACTATCTTGCGGTAACAAACATGGCATAAAATACTTTGATCATGGACGTTATCTTTATTGTACATATTTACCATTCCTTTCTTGTTTGTTTACGATTAGTTGCAGCTAATATCAATTTAAATTTCTGCTTTGTTGTTCATTATTCTGTAAGTTTGCCCTTTGTAAAATTTTCAAAAAATTTTATTGCAAAAATTTGCAAATTCTTTATAGTTGTTCATTTAACAAAAGGGCTTGTATATCATGGTTTTGTGCTCTTGGAGCATTTGAGATCAACTCTATGATAGCCTTTTCTGGACACTACAAGGTTATATTTCAATAAATATTTGAGGTTCTATTCCATATCTATTCCTCAAGTAACTAGTAAAACCACTTCCAACTTTTAACATGAACAACGATACATTCTGCAATTTCATCCACATCAAATTGCAATCCATTGCCAGATTGCAACCTTTCCTGCAAAGAATGAACAATGTAAGTTCAAGGTCGTCACGAATACCTTTTATTGTGTAACGAATCAGACTGATCCTTTGGAAAAAACATTTGTCACGACATCTTGCTTTCACGAACGGTATCGACAGGTCATGAAGTTGTAGGTCGACTCACTGTACGCATATCAATGCAAAGAGTCTGTATGTTTTTCTGCTGTGTTAAAATCACGTATCAAAAATACGAAACTAAAAATTTATTATCAATCCTGTATAATTTTGTAAAGCTTGCCATACTTCAGCCTTAATCGGGAGCTCAGGTAAATAATTCGAAGTTAAAATCAACTCGAGCAGTCGAAAAGCGTTGCCACAGGCGATTTCTCTCTAAATGTGTTTCAGTTAGATTGATTCGTGTTGGTGTTGAACTTTTAAACGATTGCCTGGTACGTGGATATTTTTTAAAAACAAATTGAAGTCTGGTATTTAACTGCGGTTTTATTAATGAAATATAAATAAACTATTGTGATACTTTGTTAATACCGACATGTATAATTAATCAATTTCAATATAGAATTTTACTTAAAGTTCTTTTTTCGATATGTGTTTTGAGCGATGTTGTTTGTACTGCACTTTTATTCACTAAATCTCGTTACATCGATATATATATATATATATATATACACTATATTAACTATAACATAACGAGACTTCGGCATACTTAGCGTTCTGCCTTAGTTACTGTTACCGGTCTATACAAACTTGACTACGTACAACGTTACAGCCATTCTCTGAACTAGTGCGAAATCTATCAAAACAGCGTGACTTGTCTAATACTGCTCTTCTGCAACGTAGTGTAACATAGCCTGCAACGCATCGTAATACCGCGTTCAGCGTTAGTTCTGACGTTTCGGGGATCAGACAGGAATGCCTCTAAAATGAGACAATGCAGTGGATATCCGTTTTCTCTGCTGAATGTACATGTACATTTTTTATGACTCTATTGGGCCAACGAGATTATTCTTCAATGGAACTGATTTTTAAAAATAGTTTAATTGAATATCTATTTGTCTTGTCGAAAGCAGATATCATAATATACATATTTTATGAATTTCCTAAAGAAATATAATTATAGTTCATCAATATACACGCATATCTGTGTACAATGACTCAAGTCAGTGGTGCAATATGCCAGCTATTTGAAACGCAACCGAAAAAGCTTATCAAGCAGTAACGTTGCCGCCTGCTACAATGCTATTATTTTGTACTATGCTATATAAAAAATTTATCAATTCAAAATCACGAGTAATGATGCCGTAAGCCAATGAGCATTAGTACAATATATATAATACTTGAAACACAAAAAAAGTCTTGTTTTTATGAATTATATTTCTATTCCAAGAGTACAAATACTGTTATAAGTGCAGTAATTTGATTGTGTAAAACGTTTGAAAGAAAACTCCTATGCAAAGTAACATATATTACAATATTTGATTGAATGCAGTCACTTATTAACAAACGACCACGGCTTTAGGTTAGTTTAATTAATATGCTATTGCTAATCCTAATACAATATACATCAAGCGAAAGCAATTAAGCCTACGCAAAAATCATATACATACATAGTTTACACAAATGCTCAAAAAATACCAGTGAATGCCATATCTACATAAAATATTGTTGCACGGCTGAGCATGTGCTTGGTCGCCTCGACGTGGTTGTGCAGACATTAGAATCATGCGTAACATGAAAAGTACGTCAACTTTCATTGATTATGATGGCTCAATAACTTCGGTAAGGTGAAATTAAGTGAGCCGTGAATTCAAGCAACTTTGCACAAAATTTAATTTCTTTTGAAGTTTTACTACAGAGATTACTTATATATATGTTAGTCATTCAAATATTTTTGAATTAAATATATACTTAAAGAAAAAATATTATTATTATATAAAAAGTCCAGTCGGTCGAGTTTATGGGGAATCCAAACTTTGTACGTTACAACCGTACAAGGGATGTTATTTTATACAAGAAACCCCGTACCCGCTCCATAGTATTTTATGGTTAGGTCATAATGGGAGATGGTATTACGGTATGCGGTGTAGCCCAGATCAGTTGTCCAAGATTCAATATTTTCTCTTTCGCAACGATTTATTTGCTGCATGGATACCATACCACCCTTATGTCTCTGTAACCAGAGATTTGACCTGGTCCTAATTGAGCAGGGCCCATTTACGTTTTTTGAGACTATGCTCGGGGTATTCATCCAATAAGAGAAATTAGGGGCTATACCTAGATATTATTATCTTTGTCATAATGCGTACAAAAGTTATTGTTACAAGCAAAAACCTATAAATAGAAAAAAAACGTAGGGCTATTATAACAAGAATAAACGTGAATGGTAATCCACCAATGTGAAAGAATACAGAAAAAGAGGGTTATACAGAATTAGAGTTTTATTATTATTTATCGCCCACGCCACCTGCGTGTTTTCAAAAATATTTTAATTCGGTTAATCTGCTTACCAGTCCGCTTCTACAGGAATGCCCCGAACACTGATACGTGTACCGGGGCCACGCGATAGAGAAAAGCGAATTTGGCCAAGTGGGAAATCGATCGGGTTTACTAGGGCTGACAAAAACCTATCACGATTCGCACCATCCGTAGACATGAAAGTTACATTCCAGAGTCCTTACCTAATGGAAAATAGTCCTTCGACGATGGGTTCAAAGGGGCAAAGCTGCTCCACAAATGAAAAAAAGGTCGTAAAAAGCTGACGCCGTGGGAATGTCCTGCGAAGTAGTCGCATCTACCGACTCACCACTATGTACCTCTATTTCCTTGACACTTGCAACCTCCGGGAGCGACGCCGCAACACTTGGAAAAAGATGGCTTGAGCGTCGACGCAGAGGTGTGAGTGAGTAGAAGGCCCAAATGCCAGTTTGCCAGAAAACCTTTGGCTTGGGTCAGTGCCGAGAGGCAAATATGTCCTGGCAGACATGAAGAAGTACTGCTGCTTACTCCGGTTGTAAAAATTAGAATTGTGAAGGAAACTTAGGACTATCAAGTAAACAAGACAAACAAAAGCGGCAACAATTTATTTATAACAAAATTGTTGCAGAAACGCCAGGGGTGGCCTCTAATAAAATTCCCGAACGGGGGAGGCCACTCCCAATACACCTATTCGGATCCGGCTGGTAAAGCCCTGGAATGGCAGAAATGAATAACGCCAACGCTCCATGATATTGATTAAGGCTCGAGTTCTCACCGTAATCAAATAGCGAATTGATACGATCGTACTGAACAACCACAATACGTTGCTTTTTTACGCATTTACTAATTTTTACGCAACTTTCCATATAAGTTATCCAAAAACAATGTTAAATGATTAACGATCTGGCAGAAAATATTATGAAGTCCGATGGTTTATTTATCACAACAGCTACCTGCAAACCCTGCCTTATATAAGCAAGCGATATATATGCCTCAGAGTGTTATTTGCAGAGCCGCAATAATTCTATTCATTGTACTCGAATAACCTGAATCATAATGTGTGACCGCAATGGGATGTCCTTATGTACAATACATGAAATACATTGATAACGTAGCAGACTATACATACGTAAAAGATATACAACAATACATTATTATCTATGACATGGACAGTTCTGCATTGAAGCAAAACGAATGAGTGTGCTCGTTGTTTTTGACTGTGCTGGCGACTTATAGTATTGTCCTGCTGGAATCTGTGGACCACCCTCTATTGTCGTTGAATATAACTTTACCTGGCCTGTGGTGTCAAACTTAGATCGACTAAACAGATGGGGCGAACAAAATGAGTGTTAACGATGTGACACTTTCCGGCGGCCCATCTGTGCTGTCGAATATATATAAGTCGGCGAATCGCCGGTTAGGAAAATGAGGAAGAGAAGACTGTGAGTTAATATTGACTTAATATTATACTGTTAATAAATATCTCAGAATTTAAAGACTGTGGCACTTTATCTGACTTGAAAAAAGTATAGCACACCATACTCAGATGTTGATAAAGGAAAAAAAGAACGATGGGCGCCGGTACGGTCCCTGCATTTGGTGAACCGACGTGTTTTTAACACATGCTGATTTCAACTTGCAGACTTTCCACCTTTCTTTATGTTTGTGAACTTAATTACTGTACATGTCTTTCACTTATCTATGATTATCTTTCGGGTCCTTGACTACAATCAGTGTTTGTTGAATAATCTGGTATGATCTGACTCCAATCAAATAGCGGTTCTTTTTGTCATAGGGTCACCAAATGCAGGGACCGTACAGGCGGCTATCTTTCTTTCTTCTCTTTTTTAACGTCTAAGTAGCTTAGTTAGACCACTAAATTGAAATTTGCTTGAATCATTTATGAAGATTTTTATTAACATAAGAAACTACAAAAACTTTTACAATATTCAGTATTTATTTTGCTAACGCCTTTTAGGCGCCCAATATAATATCACAACGTTTAGAAATTGTAGTTGTGTAGTATGTAATACATATATACATTCCATCTTTGAAATTGGGTGCCAATTGATGTTGATTGCCTTCAAAATCCATTTTATAATCAGACCTTAGCAAGCAACATATTCTGCAATTAAAATTCCAAAACGTTTTTCAGGCTATAAATCATAGATTGTATGCTTTTCCTATGTTCATAAGTCTTCAAAAGTATATGTAATAATAATAATGCCAAACAAGTGATTATTCATGAATATATAATTGCATTGAAAGGTGTCAAGAGAATGAGTTGTCACAGTCAGGTGGTTTATTGGACATGAAGTGTACGTATGGATGGATTGATATTATGTTGCTGTTGATCATGTGGTTAGTATTCTTTTTTATTCAATATTGTTGTGTACTACTCACTACTGGACCAATTGCTTCGGAAATTTCAATGATTAAAGATTGTTGTTGTCGCTAGAAGGCTATTATTTTTATTTATTCCTGAATTGTCTATGGATCCTATGAGATTTGATATTTTTTCGAAATTTGGCTGTACTATTTTTTATTCGTGGAAACGCGGTTTTTAATCTGCTAATCATGAAGTTTTTCGATACCGGCGACCTGACGCAGTGTAGGTAGGTAAGACACGGCAAGTGACTGTAAAAGGTAAAGTACTTAAGTTGTGTGTGGAATCAGTTATCATTTGAATTCACGTTGGCCTAAGAAGTATGAATCATCATTGGCATAGGACCTGGTAAAGTTAGGGCAGTCCGGTAACGCTTCTAATTAGTCACGGTGGTCCTTAGTTTCGGTTTTGTCCAGCATATTATTGATGGCAAAATTGTGGTTGAAACATTTCATTTTGTTTTCGTGCCCATATATTTGAGCATTGTTCTCTTGTTATTTCTGTAGTGCTTTTTTTGGGACGAATTTGAAACTCTTGCTTGCTATACTCGTCAGCAAAAAAAGTCCTGTAAACATTTGTGGATTGTACCATACGGAATGGCTTATTCAATACTTTCTCTATTTTTCAGTTTAACATAAACGCCATCCATAGGTCTCAAAACTAAATTCCCGGTTCTTCGTATATCTTCCAATTTGTCACGAGATTCAACGTCAAACTTCCTTAAAATGTGTGCAAGTACAACTTTTTCTTCCATTAAAGCAAACTTCTGACCAATGCAATTTCTTGGGCCGGCGGAAAATGGAATATAAGAATACGGATGTCGACCTTCAAACTGCTCGGTCTTAAATCTTTCTGGATCAAATCTATTAAAAATATTGATTAGTTACATTTTTAAATTCGTATGTACAAAGCATAAAAATAAAATGATATTCTTGTTATTCCCATCGAATAAAAATTTTGTTAATGTGTATTTCCCATTTAATCCAAGCTCAAAATAACAAATTTTAAGATTTGTATATGTAAAATAATCTTTTTTTATAGTACATTGATAACAATCAATAACAGTGTGAATAAGATAAAAGGCATGACTAAAATCTTTACCATGAAACGCCAACAAAATTAATTTCTATGCTTCAACTGCTTGACTATCGCGCCAATGTATGATAAATAATATTAATAATTAATCCTCACTTTTCTGGATTGGTCCAACATTCCGGATTGCTGTTGATCAATTGGATGAAGATCATGCAAAAGGTTCCTTTAGGTACATCATACCCATCAATCCTAAAATACGTTTTGATTATTGAGTGAAGTCGCCTTTAAGGCCTAAAATTAGGATATTCGCGGGCGGGAGAGGGGAGCACCCAAGGGGCGGGTACCGGCACCGATACATATAATTAAGAAACCTGTACAACTGAATTGTTACGAATATACACTGCTTTAACTGTGGTAATGACGTAACAATAGGCATTATTTAGAACTTAAAAAGATAAAAACAAAAAGTTGAACTATTTCTCTCAAGTTTGGCGGGCCATATTAAATTGTTACGCGGGCCGTAATTGGCCGCCTGCCGCGATTTCGGAACCACCGCTCTAGAGAATCTTGTGTTTTTTTGTTTCAAGTTACTGATAAAAATCAATCTGAAACTGAACTTCATGAAACTAAGAGACTAGACAATATTTTTAAACTTTCAACTGCATCAAATATTGTATTTTATATGTAAAATAATTTTCTATTCTATAATTATGGTTAGTTAATAAAAGATATTTGTTCGAATCGGCAAAAAGTTGAAAAAAAAAATCGCTCAAACACCGAAACTTTTAGTACTCAAAATTGTGACTTATTTTTTAACAAATATATTTCATATGATAAATATTGTAGATTGTTTTAAGTGGAACTGTTTTTTGTTGTCTTGTTAAAACACAAAGTTTTGTGGAATATTTTCTTATAGCCAAGTGATTTACATATATATTTGGTTCCTACTGAGATTGAATTCATAAAACGAAAAAAGTTTGACACGTTTTTTAAGCTTTAATTTTATTTGTTCAGCGGTCAGTTGGACTAGTGCGCTAATTCTACGTGCTGTTGGGCATTACTCTAAATTACTTGTCATATATATGATGAAAAACATTTTCATGATATTTTCAATACGACATTCATTGTGATACTTACTTGCAATCATGAGCTGTATTTCGACTGACTATTGGGACAGGTGGAAGGAATCGATGAGATTCTTTGATGACCATTTCTAGATATTGAAGTTTCCGAAGATCTTCAAATGTTATTTTGCGATCAACATCGTCGACAAAAATATTGTCCAATTCCTCTTGAATTCGACGTTGAACATCGGGATAAGTACCTAATTAATTTAATTTATAAACTACAAATAAAGCATTTCTATTGAAAATTACGAACAGATACGCGTTGTAACTACATATCATTATTATTATAATATTATCAATACATTACATATTTCTAAGACGTTTAAAATATAAAAAAAGTATGTTTTAGTATAGCCTACTTTGCACATTCGGAAAATATTATGTTACCAATAAGATAAAGAGTCCATGTCATTCCTGCAGACGACGTGTCATGACCTATAAATAATGAGAACAAAAATGTGTTTCAAATAAAAAAGAATTTGTATTTTGTCATATTTAAAATTTTTTTTCTATTAAATAGTTGTATTACGAATGAGAACAATTTTACGAAAAGAAAAGACACGGCAACAAACATGTTTTGTGGGAATGTTAAATTTGAGGGGTGATCAAGTTAATTTATGATCGGCCGAGTTAATTACATTATATCGCAGCGTAAAACAAGAGGTGCTCAAAAATAGGAACACGATGGCCAAAACGAAGTAGCATCAAATATTTTACAGTGCCGGTAAGTAGTAGTAGGGTAGTTGAACTATGTGGTCAGACGAAACGGTACAGAAATATATTTGTGTTAGTGTGCAGCAAGACTCTTGAATCACTTAGACTAGTACCGGTAGTCCTCTTTATCAATAAAATTCTGACTTTGCTGACCAAGAGATCGATGAAATGTTGCCGCAGAACCGCCACAAGACGCGATTTTTATTTTGATGAGGTCATCACAAAACACTTCAATATAAAAAAAAACTTCCACGAAGCTCACAAAAAAATGAAGGTAATATCCTTCTAGAGACAACAATAATGTTCAGCCTATAAAAATTTCAAAGCGATTGGCTCAGTAGTTAATACGAAGAACATAAACAAATCAACGAAACGATCAATAGTGTCCAATAATTGCAAGCTTTGTTACCTCCAAACATGAATGTATCAACTTCCTCTCGAATGTCTTCTATAGAAAGGTGTTTTCCTCCTTCTGAAACTTTTATTAACAGATCTAAGAATGCATGACGTCTATGGTTCCAAGTTTCGTCTTCTTTTTTGAATTTCGACATACGATCTCTGATAACTGATTTTGTGAATGTGTGAATAACGTTCAGCACCTTCCTATATTCTTTTCCCATTTTTGTTAAATTATAAGTTACATCGGGCCACATCCATGGATATTTAAATCGTTTCATTAGCAAATGAGTGATTCTGATTTAAAAATAAAAAAAATTTCAACTGTTTATCCATGTACATGAAGCACTCACAATTTAAAGCAATTCCTACACTGATTGTTTAAATATGCATGTAACTGCTTTTCGTGTTGTAGTTGAACTATGTATGTCTGAAGAAGTCTGACCTTGGTCAGACGAAACGTTACATAAAAATATATTTGTGTTAGTGTGCAGCAAGACTCTTGAATCACTTATAATTCGTATGTTTGTTTTTGTTTAGACACGATTGAGATGCATAGATAAGATACAGAATAAAATTGCAAGACACGGGAAAGATTTGATATAAAATTTGATATCGATTATAATCGATAATTGATAATTATCAATTGAATCTATTAAATTTGAGTTGGGTTGCGCGAGACTAACTTCCTATCTTTTCTCTATGCCTTTATGCTAGTGGATCCGTATGCGTATACTGCAAGGAAGTCTGACTCTAGTCGGACGAAACGTTACAGAAATACATTTGTGTTAGTGTGCAGCTGGACTCTTTAATTGAATAGAATAGTCATGTTTATTCCAGCTACAGTATCCTTGCAGTATACGCATACGGATCCACTAGCATAAAGGCATAGAGAAAAGATAGGAAGTTGGTCTCGCGCAACCCAACTCAAATTTATGTTATTGTATTCGTGGGACTTCTGTATCCATAATGGATCCTTCTAACTCTGGACTCGACAACAATTGCAAGAAAGAAATATACAAATACCACAAGAAAGAATTCGATATTTCAAATTCATTTAGCAAATTTATTTCTTGCCATTGTTGTAAACTGCTTGTCTGAGGAAGTCTGACTCTGGTCGGACGAAACGTTACAGAAATACATTTGTGTTAGTGTGCAGCTGGACTCTTTAATTGAATAGATGAATCTATTAACCTGTGAATTGACGTAACATATTCTGATCCCTCGTCAACTTGAGCATTTACATTTTCTCCCATTGCTGTTTCACATATGATGTCCAAAGCACATAGACCTACATGTTCCAATAGTTCAAAATATTTGTCCGAATTTGCAAGTTTTTGTAATCTTTCCGTGAATATCTCGCACTTATCATTCATACTTGGCAAAAAATCTTTCAGTATACTAAAAAAAAGCCATATAGGTAAAGACAGTTCTGAAATTTGATGGCCAGATTTTCTAGTTGATTGACAAGTATATAATGCCCATTCAGTTTGTTGGTAAGACTAAATTTAAATCAAAATGTTATTAAGATTATCTGATTGCTTCTTTCTGATACCCAAATATCAATCTTTGTGAAAGAATTATAAAATCAAACTACTGGTAATATTTTTGAAGGAATCAATTGCTTTTAATTCTGTAGACATTTATCTGCTGTTATATGCACTTATTAAGATTTTTGTAATTTGATCAACATTTTCCAACGCGACACTGGACAAATTCAGCGAAATTTATTCTATAGACTACATCTCTAATGGCAAAATTTCAGGATTGAATTACTTGACATTGTTTTATTCCTATAATATTTGATTATATCATAATATTATATATAGCTTGGAAAGTAAACTCAATACTTGAAGTGGAACGCAGGTGTAAGTAATTTTCTTCTAGATTTCCATTTTTCGCCTGTTGCTGTTAATAATCCAGTTCCAAGCCAGTCATGGAAAAATTTGTAGAAATACGATTTGTCCAAGTGTTCAGAACTTTTTAAAATCTCTTCTGCTGCTTTTGGACCAGTGATAAACAGAACAGGCATTGGTCCCCACCATATGCATCCTACATTGCTTTTGCAGGGTACTATGTAATCATTGATTATCTTTATTCTGCTTGCGTATATATTGTCAGGGTAGAAATTCAAAAGCTTGATGTGTCCGACAGGTGGATACGATGTGGGTGGACCAGGAATCTTTGAGTAAATTTTCCATTTTGTTACGAAGTTTTTGAAGAATGAAAAAGTTTTTATTATTAGCCAAGCCAGCACAACCGTAAACACTATTGCAGAAATGCTAAATGCCATCTCTTACGATCAGATATTGTAATTCTTTGTAATGGAATGAACAGTTCGAATTTCTGAATATCTGAAAAATGCAAGACTTCGGTTCATAATATAATTACCGTGACAAATCTTTATGATCTCAATTAGAACCGACCCAAAATAACATTATTGTTAATGCTATCTATTAATACTAGAAAAAATTCCAGAATTTTTGAAAGTTATATCTTACTTGTACATTTAGAATATGTTTGTAAATGATTTTAATTAATTAACGAATGGTCCCAAGCCTAAACTCGAATAGCAGTCGAATAGCGTTGCCTGAGGCGTTTTCTCTCGAAATGTGTCTGAGATATATTTGTGTTGGTTTCACTTATGAACGATTGCCTGGTATGTAGATATTTTTATAAAGTCAGGCATTGAACTCCGGCTTTATCAATAAAATATAAATAAACTATTGTCTCAAATACTCAATAGGTTACCTGGGTATACATACTTGACAACGCATAACTTTACAACCATTTTTAATCTGATGCAAAATCTATCAAATCCGGGGGGACTTGTCTAACACTTCTCTTGAAACACTTGTTCGGCGTAGCGTAACATCGCGTGCAACGTTATTTTTGACTTTACGGGAATCAGACAGCAATGACGTTATTATAGGTATTAGATATGACAATGAATATCCGTATTTCCTCGTTGAATTTATGACATTTTGGGTGACTCTGTTGCGACAGCGCTATTATTTTTTCTTGAAACAGAATTTAAAATTAAATTGGTTAAACATCCATTTGTCGCAAGTAGATATCGTAACAAACATATTTTCTGAATTTCGGAAAGAAAGTATATAGAAATCTATACGCAATGTACCCACCGACCTGTGTACAATGACGCTTACTTAGAAGTGCCTTTTGCGAGCTATGTAAAACACAATCGAAAAAACTTATCAAGCAATGAAGTTGCTGCCTGTTGCAATTCATTCATCTTGAACTATGCTACATAGAACATTTTTAAACTCGAAATTACGAGAAACATGTCGTAAAGCAATAGGCGTTTGTACAACATACTTCTTGAAACACATAAAAAGTCATGATTTCATGAATTCTATTTTCTATTCCAAGAGTACAACTACTGTAATAAGTGCAGTCATTTGATTGTGTAAAACGTTTTGAAAGATAAATCATATACAAAGTAACAAACATTACAAAATTTGATTGAATGACGCCACGTGTTACCACGACTATAAGCTGAGTTTGATATGCTATTGCTAATCCTAATACCATATACATCAAACACAAGTCTTCTACATAGTTTACATGAATACGCAAAATTTTGTTCCGTGGCGGGGCATGTGTTTGGTTCAAACACGACTCGATGTACTTGAGCCGACATTCGAATCAAGCGTAACAAAAAATACCTCATATATGGCATTGATTCTAAAAGCTCGATAAGGTAACATTGGTTGAAAATTTTTTATTCATTCTGAACCTTTACGGCAGAGATTATTATATATGTTATTCATTCAAATATTGTTGAAAAAAATATCTACTCAAAGCTAAGGTTACACAAATACTCACATAGACTACGTACTACAAGACTACTTTTCAAATTCAAGCGTGTGCGAATAGTTTATAACATACAATGATCAAATTATAATTAGGTTTGCTTGGTGATCCTATGTCATACATAGAGATATATAAGTACCCTTATAAGTCATTTTGTATTTTAACTAAGCTTAGAAGGAATTATTTGTCCTGTATATAGAGAACTAAAATCTGCAACGCGGTTTGAAAGACAGGCGACCATACATTCGTTTTCTTGCAAACTTTCGCTTTCCATCATAGTAGCGTCTTATCTGCAAATTTGGGAAAGCCATGTTGCTTCTGTACATTTTCAGTAACAAATATGGAGGTTTTGTTTGCTCGTTGGGACTTGTCGTTGTTGTCGAAGCCGGTGCGATAGACGTAGTTGTAGGAGCCGGTGCGATAGACGTAGTTGTAGGAGCCGGTTCGGTAGTCGTAGTTATTGCAGCTTAGAATAGTAAAATATTATCAGATAAAAAACACAAAATTTCATAATCACCATGAGTGCATTCACATTAGACACATGTTGATGGCGAATTTAAAAAACCAAAAAAATAAAACTGAATTAAGCATAAAAATCTACTTGAATTCGAATCTAATACGTATTTGTCGACAAATACGAAAGTCCAATTTTGTATATAGAACATATGTTTAATGCTTCGAACCTTCATACTAAAAAAATGAATAAAATTATTCTCCAAACCAAAATCAACCAAAATAAAAAGTTTAAAATTTCTTAATAAAGACCTATCATAAAACCCTCCAAACAGATACAACTAAAACCTCATCTTGCTATCACGTCGCTATGAAACGGGTGTTTAGGACGCATCCTTACATTATCGCCTGACAGAATGGCAGAGATTAATAAAAATTTCACATATAAATAACTTGTTTCATCGCTTCCATAAAGTTTGTTTGATTTTCCGACAGTGGGATTAATGATTTTATTGAAATACCTTCACAAGATATTCCATCTCCTTGAAACCCATCTTTACAAGCACATGTAAAGCTTCCTTCTGTATTCTCACACTCCGCATTTAAATGACAATTGCCATGTTCCAATGTACATTCATCAATGTCTGTAATGTTAAAATATGATAATAAAACATATTCGATTTCTGGAATTTCAAAAGAAAAAAAGTAAAGAGCTGATTGACAAATCATTACCTACGCATAGTTTTCCTTCGCTTGAGAATCCAGTGCTACAAGTGCATTCGTATGTTCCGTCGAGATTGTTACATTCTCCGTTCGCACATATTCCGGCTGCTGCACATTCATCAATGTCTAAAAATAATATTATAGTGCAATTCTAATTGTAGCATGGTATATACGTAAGCACAGAATTTGCAACTTATGATATAAATGTGATAATTGTTATTGGACTTATGAACAGTATCAATTATGCAGACTTCCGCACCTGTACACGATGTTTTACCATCACCGGTATAGCCGTCCAAGCAGGAACATTCAAAGCCGCCTTCAATATTGATACATCCAGCATTATCCATCGCGCAATCATGAGTACCCATGGTGCATTCGTCAACATCTTAGAAAAAGAAAACATCTTCTTGAATTTTCATAAAAATACCGACACAATGAGGAGACTGCATCAAGAGTAGGTCTTCCTTGTGGCGCTCATCGCGTGGATATGGTAGAATACAGTCTGGGAAAAGTCCAAACGCTCATTGGCGGTCGACTGATATGATGCGGGTTTGTTTTAGCCGCGGACAAAAATAACAGAAATTCGTCCGGTGTAGTAACCCCGATCTATTCAGTTAATGAAGTCGTTCAAATGATGATATCAAACACGACAAGCTCTTTTCTAAGCTCTAATTGAATCGGGGTAGCGAGGAATCGATGTTTAACGTGATTAAAGAAACAATCTTTCCTATGTTTTTCTGTCTCTACACATATATATATAGTCTGCTGTTACATTTTTTTTTCATTGTTGGACGTATATACATTACCTGCGCAGTTTGTTCCCTCCAATTCGTATCCAGCTTTACATGTGCATGTATATGACATAAACGTGTTGGTACATACTTCGTTAACTGCGCATACATTTGGATCCTCACATTCATCAATATCTGTATATTTAAAATGTTTAAATAGTTTATTAGTAATGTGACAATTTTGTGGAATTTCTGCAATACTATTCCACCAGTTTCAAAATGCAAACATGATGAAAAGTTGCGATTCCTTCTTAATACTGTGAAATATTCAAACGATTTCTAGCAATATTAATATTTGAAAATGGGAATTGGGTAAGAATAAAAGACCGGATTTTAAAGTAAATAATCCCATTTAAACAATAAAAATTTTGAAGTACTCCTTACATGAGATTAAATGATAGCTTTAAATAACAGTAATTTATATGTTTATCCGTATTTTTTTTCTTCATTAAGACCGAATAGAGAGAACTTACGAATCAATTACATTGCAATACTCAACATACATGGTGTATACTCTGACTTCATACGGATGTCTTCCTTACGAAATTTTAAATAACGGTAATATTTCAAATGAGTTTTAGCCCTTTATGTGTCATATAATTAAAAATACACTTCAGGGTCTTTATTGGAATCAAACAGACCGTACGGTCGTGCCTAATTCTCACCCACCGCAAATTGCGTGACTTCATTGCCTACCTAATGACATTATGTATATAAATATATAAAGTGCCTTAATACAAAATACAATCACTGCCAGATTGACTAGAAAAAATTCTGAATGATGTGTATTTAATGTATTTTTAATTTGAACCAGAATTATAAAAATATATTGACCAGAAAAAGTGTTCGAATCTTATGTAACTGTATATAATGTATATATATTGTACACTGTAAGGTATAAGTCTATTGTACTTATCTATGTAATTATACTGTTTTTGTGATGTATTTGGAATGAAACAACGTTAAAAAACATAAATGAAAACAATACGAGTAAATGTGATTAAATACGGCAGGAAATATATTCCTATATTTGATGATTTTTATGCGATAACAATATTGGTAAAACTGAGTCCGAGGTAATGTAGTTCCAAATTACCTTCGCATGTGTCTCCATTGCTCGCGAATCCATCATTGCAGACGCAAATATAACTGCCTGGATTATTCGAACAAAAACCAACGATAAACCCACTGATAACACGCTTGTCACAGCCATCACTTCCAATCGAACATTCATCGATATCTTTAAAACATAGGAAAATAATTCAGGTTAATTTCTAAATTCTGTTTTTGTTATGAGATATGCTGCAAAAATGCGTATATTTTCCTCACAGATTAATATTTATATATATATCAACTGTGCTCCGGCATATTTGCAAAGTACAGTACTACCATTTCTGTTTGGCGGTTAAGGTAAAGTCCTTGGGGCTTATTTACCATATTATCATTTAATCGCATTCGAGCTGCATCAGGCTTTCGATTTATTACTGATTTATAAAGTTTTTTCGTCACACTCAATCAATTTCATTCGATTCACTAGGTTTGTATAAGTTTTATAAATTCAATTTAAATTTTCGTAGCGAAGATATCCGAGTAAACGAGACTTGGTGTGGTGTGAAGAAGTAAATAACGATGACTTGAAGTCAGAAAATTAGTAATGGTAATACCTAAACAACGTGGCACAGACAGGTCCGAATCTAGTTGATATCCTTCTTTACAGCTGCAAATATATGAACCGTCGGTGTTTTCGCAGAAAGAATTCTCCATCGTACAAATTCCTTCTGTAGTGCATTCGTCAAAGTCTGACAAAAATAAGGTTAAGACTAAGGTTGTGCATGAGGTAGTATTTTCTACAAAGTTTAATGTTTACTTACGGTATTGTGTGATAATTCTCTGTGATACTATGTTATATTTTTATTGTACTGCTGATTTCGAAGGCCACTTGGTACACACAAATTGTTTGACAACATAAAATCATCAATTCTAACCGATGATGGGCCTACAGGTCTGCATCTGTGTATTTTCGACACGTTTCTGGGACGTGGGTCGTTTTGCCTCAAACATATTAAACCTATAAACCACACGTTTATATATAATATATATTCTATTTTTCATACCTTCACAAGTTAGTCCGTTCCACGCGTATCCGGTAGTAAGGCAATTGCATTGAAAGGATCCTGGTGTATTCTCACAGACCGATGTTGAATCACAGTTGTCAGTTTCAAGTTTACATTCATCAATGTCTACGAGAAAGATAAATGCATTTTTTAACCAGAGAGCTTTGATAGGTATGAAGGTGAATAAATAACTGTAATCTTGTAATCATAAATCAAATGTGTAAAGCAGGGACCTTCAAGTGTACACAGCGCGATTGCGTAGGGAGGAATGCATAGATAAAGTGCTAATCATATAAATGAGTGTATTTTATTGAAGTTGTTTCAATTTTCATATGTTGTTGGATAAACTGAAATAAACAATAGGAGCAATCTATGCCATTTGTCTTATGGTTATGAGAAAGGAAATATTTGAAAAAACCTACCATAGCTTTACTAATTGAAGTGCTTTGACCATGGAATTTGTAAAATTGGAATTGAAACAAATATGCAAACCTAGTACCCGAACCAAACGAAATACCTTCCCGGCAGTTTAAAATTAAATACGGTAATAATACTGAGCACACTAAAATTGAATACTGCAGTGCCAATAAGGCAGCAAGTGATTTACTTTCGATATCTTCAATAAACACTTGGGGTCACACTACTTCAAATTAAAATTTAGGATCCACGGCGAAAAAAGGTTGAGAAGCCCTGGTGTAAAGCAATAATTTCAGTATGGGTTTTTGCAACCATTCAATGTCTGTCATGCTTATACAGTAAACAGAGAACTGCGAAAAAAAGAACATTGACCAATCTTCTTTTGCTGAGAACCGTGCATGAAGCCGACTATTACACTGCTACATTTCTTCATGAAATGTTATCAGTGATATTAGAAAGATTTCAAAATGAGTAAAATAATTAAATTTCTTTCCCAATCTTAACATCCACCATGTTCAGTGTTATACCCTTTTTGACGACTGAATGTTACATGTAAAAATATTGTGGCTGATTTTAATTTTCTCACCGGTGCAAGTATATTTTGTTTCTGTCCTGGTTTCATTGAGATCTCCAGCAATACAATTACATAAATAATAATCTGAGTCAGGGTCCGCTGTACAAACGGAATTTTCACCACAGGCAATATCACGATACGTGTTGCATGCATCAATCCCTTTTGGAGCTTTAATATTAATTTGTTGTGTTAATTTTTCGAACAGATAATATTTTTTAAGAAGATAGGAAAATAATGTATTACAACATATTGCTTGAGAAATCAACAAAAGTGGTTGAAAAAAGTTTTCAAAACAATCATAGTTGTGTTAAGAGTTGAGAATCAAACACTATAGCTTTACAGCACATAAAAAACTACATTGGGCTCTTGTTCAACTAATACCGCAAATTATTACAAATTTTAAAATGACTTTCCGAAATGTAATATAACATGTCATTATTATTTTAATGTTTTGGTATTAGAGTCATAACATTTAAAATAACAATATTCCAACTCTAATTTTGATATAGATTTTTTTTTTATTTGATAGAAAATAGTCATACTTAAAAAACCCAAACTCGTAAATTGTGCACGCTTTGTTTCGGCTATCTCCGGAGTTGAAAATCCACGTTGGAATGAACCTGAATTCATAATGTATATTTTACTTAAACACAATGGAATAAATTCGAAATCTATAATGTAATGAATGTTCAGTGGTTACTATTTAGCATAAAACTCTGTAAAAATTGCCTATTCTACTTTAAATGCTGTTTATGATTTATTCCCAATAGAAACTTCTTCTTTATTATCCTTCAGAGCAGAGACGAATGAACAATTCAGAATTATTTTTGAGAGATAGTAAGATTATAACAAAGTTTGATAAAACAAATATGCGACTTTCAATATATGCTCAAAATTGTTTAATAGTTTTATTTAACACTGAACAGTTTGTGCATCAAAGATTTTGATAAATAATAAATGAATAAAGCTTTCGCTATGTATTATTTTCAAGTTTTGTTCGTGTAAAATTCATTCTAATTTTACTATACCTGATGTATCTATTGCCAATACATAATATTGACAGTCAGCACAGTTTTCTTGTGCTTGTACCGTTGGGTGAAAGGAAGTCAGAAACATCAGTAATAATACTAAAAATAGTTTCAAATTTTTTTCCATCGTGTTACATTTAAATGTACCGAACTGCAAAAAATAATTGCATTTAAATAGATTTTAACGATGTCCGAGAATTCTATGTTATAAAGATACACCTTTATATAAAAAGATCTCAAACTATTCCGATATTCTTCCATCAAATTTTAACAATCCTCTAGCCTTTTTTGGTATAAAAACGAACTTGTTATTGTTTAAAATTAATTGTATATAGCTAGCTAAAGATATTTTGCATATTCCACCTTTAAAATATACTTCTAGCACAATTTTCCTTCGTACTGTTGTATCAAAAATGTCAAGAAACACAGAAAATTTTCCGCGATAAAATTACTAGATAAATTCAGTTGACAAAGACAACCTGAATACACAAAGAACAAAATCTAACAGGCAGACAAGTCAGAAATATTTCAATGCCATGCTTCGATTTTGAAATATTTCAATATGGTCTTGTCGTCAAAAAAACTTAGCCACACCTTTACCAATTGAGAGCGAAAGTTATGAGAAAACTTTTATGGTTTTATGCTTTTTATGGTCACTTAACTGTGACAGTTTCTGTAGCCCTCTCAACAAAGATCACGCACGTCATTAGGGTAACGAGAAAACATCATTGATCTATTTTAAATCAAATAGATTCATCCTACAGTTACGTTGAGTAATTACGTTCCAAGCGGAAAGCAATTCTACTGAAATAATCTGCACTATTTCATAAAGTTATTTGCATCTACTTTATACAAAGAAAAAACTATATTCTACACTTTAAAGTAGGAGTTTTAATTTTTGTTCTTTTCCCAAATACAAACAGTAGGAAGTAATAGGCATGCGATACTGTAAAAGTTGACAGATAATATGAAAATAGGCTCACAGTGTCAATGACCTTTTGTCACAAAATCTATTTCATACACTCATAAATCTCCTTCATTCACTCTCGTATTCTCTACTTTTTTGGTCAGACCTCATAATCACGACGATATGGCAGCATCATAAAATGTTCTTATACTCGATAACTTGAGACTTCCGTGACCGAAGCCACTTAACAAATTAGATGTAGAATCAATGCAATAGCAATGAACTATAACAAAAGACAATGAGCATAATTGCCTCACCCCTTTTCAAAACTTAACTTCATGATATAGTTCAGTCATGAACGAGATGCTGAGGAAATAATTCAATGTTTCTACTTACCTTTATGATTTGTCAGTAACTTCAATATTTTGGAACCCTAATTGAACTGAAGTGAATTTTATTTTATTCAAGTCCCAAAGCATGGATTTCTGAAGATTAGTTTGAATAGATTTTGAAAGCTGATAAAATTGAAATTCAGATGAACTAAATCATGTCTACTAAATCTCTGCATTACATGTTGATCTCAAATTTATTCAATGTGAAAGCCTCATTTTTTTTATCTTTATTTTTTGTGATGCCTAAAAACCGCTTGCTGCAAATACAAAACTTTTTTTAAATTATTCTATAACTTTATTTATTGTTGATGTAACCCTTTAAATATACAAATTTGGCGGCACGATTGCATAATTTAAGAAAATTTTCTAACAATTTCCCATATTGTTTATTGTATTCACTATTTAGTATATTTTGATGTTGATATTGACGAGCTGCGGAAATTCAATAATTTATATCAAACTACTTTTAACAGCAACAAATGTATGACAGACATTAAGGAATTGGTCACATATATGACCACAAATAATAAACGATCCAAATGGCCACTGTACAGCCAGCAAACTTATAGGGTGTTTGGCAAAATAGTTTTTTTTACCGCCCGAATTTTCTTTGCGTTCAATGAACCATTTGTAATCAAAGTGAGTTTCTCAATACCATATACACGGGCATTTTTCAATATTGAGTAAGACGTGTTCATATTAGTAGACGTATACGGAATTATAATACACAGATTCAGGTGAGTTGTTAGTTTCTATCTGGAGGTATAAACCTGTTGTATATTTTGTCTGGCGTGTATTACATATAGAACCCGGTATGAAATGTTTTGTTTGATTATAATTTTTGTATTGATTGCCCTATATCAAATTCACGATTAAATTTCGTGATTTACTAATTTAGATTCGGCAAGGTACCTGAAAACGTTTACAATGATTGTTGGCACTTGGCAGATATTTCTCCTCATGCTTCTTATTGTTGTAAACAAAACCCAATCCATCTCGATGAAATGCCCCAACTGCAACTTTTATGTTTTTATCATCACTGATGATTCCACTGGTACTGGAATTCAACGGGGAGCAAGGAATGAGAACGAAGCCATTAGAATACAGCAAACCGCTAAATCTGTAGAATTACATGGTGAGCTTACTGCAAAATGACTATTTTATTGCTTAAATTTCAATATTCTTTAGTCGAGTGAATTATTTCAACAAATTATGAAGAATTAAACAAAAGTTATATTTTCGACCCACAACGGCAAACTCGATAGAACATACAATTTGAACCTAATTTACCTTTTATAACATATATATATATATAATAAATATGTTTCTAGTTATTACAGGCAAAGAGGCATGCAGTTCATACCCTAAATTAGCTTGTGGAAAAAATTCCAAATGCGATCCAGTAGAAGACGAAGTTCCGTATTATAAATGTTCATGTATAGAGGGAAATTACAAAGAAGTACGAGAAACTGAAAGATTTACTTGCTCAGGTACATACTCATATGCACTCAATATTTTATAACATGTGATTATATAATATTAGAATGGGAAAAATTAAAAAATAACGTATTGAATGTTTTGGGTATTAAAAAAAAATTCCACCCTTGCTCCCATTTTCATATCAAATATTTTTCACTTTACAAAAGTCTCCACTAATAGCATATTTTCTTAGTTTATAGCCTTCATTTTTATGAAGCTCGTGGTAAATAGTCCATTTTTTATTTCATTTCAGAAATTGATCGGGATCTGTAATCGTTGTACGAGGAAGAACATTTGGGGAATTATACATAGCCATGGAAGATTAATAACAACAACCTAAAAATATAAAACTGCAATGCTATTATTTATTTAGTGAATGCACTCATATTGATTTAATGCATTTCTTGTAATGAATTGTTTTCATAAAAACTTATATCCGATTGCTTGTGCTTAAAAATGCTATTGCGCGGTATGGTAGTTGATTAAAATCCAACATATCAAGCATATCACATTTTATACTTTACCTAGGATCGTTTTAAAACTAATTTAACAATATAAAGAATATTCATTGGGAGTTTAAATGTTCGCAACATTTTAGAAGATACGGGATGACGTTTTCAAACATTTTCTAATGTGGTGATTAACGTCCTAAATTAAGAATAAAAATTGAAACTCAAACATTGTAATTTTGAGCATAAAATATGAATAACAAAGTAAAATTTCGACATTTGTATACATGGAAAAATATCTAATATTGTAATTTTTAAACTGCAAAAGCTTCTAGTTGTTGGTGTACAATTGTGTTTAATTCAACATCTGATTTGCAACGTTATGTGTTAGGGCAACAAAGAGAATTGAACAAAAAATTAAACTCTGATGTATTATGATATTCAGGAAATATTTCTGTGTGAACCAGATAATTTTCATTCACAACATAAATCAGATTTCGAAACAGCAAATAAAATCCTATTATGCTTCAATTGCAATTTTATTTATTTACTTTAATTTATTGTCATTGTACATCACAACAAGAACAAAATTCGGGCATTTGACACGATCATATTACAATGAAGTGATCTGGTCTAACATTTTTATTGTTGAATTGGATTTTACATTCAAGAAAGACGTAAATTTTAACAACTTCAATTTGATCGCCTTTATTTAGTCAGGCATTCATGAAAAAGATAAAGGTTTAACCTAGGTAGCATAGTTTTTATACCTGAGATTAATTTAGCTGAAAGACTAATTTATTGATCATCAGTTATTATTTTGAAATGTTAGTAAAAATAAATAGGACAAAAAGATTTCATGATACCATAATAAATTACACCTAGTTGACAATAATCTAGACTAAATACGATATATATATATATATATAGTAACCACACAACGTAACTCGGTTCGTGATTACGAAAAGATTTTATTACCAAATCATGGCCCAACCCCGGATAGGAAGGTTAGGCTTTTTTACGCCTGATCGCAAATGTTAAAATATAAACACACCTAGGCACTCCAACGTTGATCAAAACCAATTTGTGGGTATTGGCAAAAACGAAATGACATATTCGAAAAAGCAAAAAGTGGAAACAGAAAGCTTTCATGGAAATGTTGTGATAAAATGTTTATTTGATAGTAGTCTTTTCTTTGTAAATAAAGGATTAGTTTTGAAGTATAAGGACTTTTAATTTCTCTAAATTACATATCAATATGTTACAAATCATAAACAATGCAATGTTGTGCAGTATAGAAAGATCAGTATTCACAACAATGCCATTTATATCTTGAATATTATTTCTTTTGAGCTCGATTATTAATAGGTTAGCGCAGTTAGTTATTCTGTTTGTATAATGTTTTCATATTCAACATTCTATAATAACACCTTATAGCTAATTCATAAAATAAGGGAAATATATAGATAAAAACGATCCTTTGATGGGTTAGTGGTGAAGAACTTGAGACATTTAAATGCCATTTTCGTTAGCTGTTTTGATATTATGTTCAATGAATAAACCCTTCTCACAAGGTCCTGTATACTGTTTATTGTTGTCTTCGTGTTTCTCCCGATACGACACTGGTCTTTGGTGCGATGAAACTTTTTGCAATCATTTTTTTTTTTACAAAAACAGCTATATCTGCAGGCAGTAAGATTATTTACTTTTGTGCTTCATTAGATTGATATGTTTCAAATTACAATACAATTATTGACGGATCTCGTCATTTTAGCTTTGATATCTCGAGGACAATGTGCTTCAGTAACATGTCCTGATTGCGAGTATTATATATTAATGTTAACTGCCGATAATGAAGGTGAGTGGCTTATTTGACTTTTGTTATCACGAAAAAACTGACACATGCGTTTGGCGATATTATAATCAACCTAATGAAATGAATAATAACATTTTGTTGCAGGTATTCAACGTGGTACAAATACCTCAGAATCAGTAATAAATATGTGGAACTTGTTTGAAACGTTCAATTCTAAAAGTGAGTTGAATATAATTTAGTTGATACTTCAACCCCTTTTCCTAAATATTATAGCCTCACATTTTCGATGCTGCTCAGACGTCAAAAACATAAACTCCAAAAGGATCCAAATCATGACATAGATGAAAAAATGTGAGTTCCTGTCCAGAGATGGAAAACCCGTGACCAGCGAGTGACAAAGTGACCCATCATCTTTTTTGTGACCCACCAAGTCACTAACTAATAAAAGAAACCTACCAACATTTCAAAGTTAAAAACTGATAATAAATTAGTATAGGCAATAATTCAATCCAACAATAAGTGAATTACTATAGTATATCAGTATATTACATTGTTAAAACTTTTGTATTGTTATTTTTTTGCAAAACTTTTTACAGCGGTTATCCTTCGAAAATGCAAAAAACAAAGGAGGCCACAGCATATTTTGGGGAGTAGGGAAGAACTAGATGCTACTTTTCAGTTTATGTTTTTCTTACACACAATCCCGTTTAGTAAACAAAGCTTATTACACTTAATTCACGACTACAGGATTCTTAAATAATAATGGAGCTGGATGATAGTGAATTCAATACGGTCGAAAAATATAATTCTTTCAAAGTGTAATACCCTTCCATACAATTTTCAACCATAATGTTTTTTAGTGATTCATACATGCGAAGCCGTGTTTTCGCTCATGAATTTCGTAAAATATTTTACCAGCCCACTGTTCTGATGTAAATACTGCATGAGTTAATATTCAAATACACAATATCAAGCAAGAATTGTAAGACTATCAGAAAAATGCAACAGCATGACCCATATTTATGACCCACAATTTTCTTTTCTATATCGAAAATATAGTTTTTAACCCATTTATTAAAAAACTTCCACCAATATTGCCGTGGTTAACCGCGTCTAGGGCACCATTCTGTTTTTTAATATGACCGTGAAACAATAAAGATGTGTCAGCTACAATAAAGAAAACTTCTTTGTCGAAGTTGCTATCCTTTTGCATTTTTCAATAAAAGTGTAACATTGATTTGAAATGCACAGACTACAGTGATGAATTTTAACCTACTCAGGGCATGGTGACCCCCCCCCCCCAACAAAAAAAACTTAACTTATACAATATGTTCCAAATAAGCTGGTTTCCGCTTTTTGTGTCACTCTATACCAGCGTTTCACAAACTTCTTAGGCCACAGAACACTTACGATTTTTATCTCGTCTCGCGGAACACCAACAAATGAAAGGATAAAATTGATAAAGAACACTCGGAAGACGCCAGTGGAACACTAGTGTTTCACGGAACACAGTTTGGGAAACGCTGCTCTATAGTATACTTTCTTATAAAAATCACTAGTATTTTGGTATAGGCTAGCTACTCCATTCAATCCAAGAATGTTTCATAAATTAAAAAACGATTAAATTGAAGTGTGAATCCCAAATTTGTGCTAGTTTAGCCACACCAAATTGCTTGATACGAGACAGTTGAAAATTTGATTATTAAAAAGATGTTCTATTCAGTGACAACGGGAAACGAAGCTTGTACTTCGTATCAAGATAAAGCATGTGGGTCAACCTCAGCAATCTGTTCTCCAGGATCAGATGGTGCTGTTTATTTTCATTGCCAATGTGTCCCTGGATTTACGGAAACACGAGAAACCCAAATATATTATTGTACAGGTTGCAAAATTTTGATTTATCTCTGTATATTTTTACTTTTATTGGGCTTAATCTTGAACGATTCCTTTAATATATTTTTGAATTTACTGCCATCTCGTGGCTTTTAGAAAAATGCTTCACTCGAACTTATACTGATGATTATCAAATATCTTCCCTTGTAATATTTTAAGGTCTTGATATCATACTTTTCATATGATTGAAAAACGTTACATAGCTGTTTTGAGGTTATAAACGTGAACTGAACGTAATACGTCTTACAGAAAAAAACATTTAAAAAAAGTTGAAAAAAATTGCAGCAAAATTACTTACAGAGTCTTCGACAATAGATACTGCAATGTCTTCATCAGTTCCAACAACAACAACTATTGCTCAATATGAGAGAAACGCAACAATGACAACACTTAACTCAGGTCTGACATGTCATTCTTGCACGTGTACAACTAAATGCAGACTTTTATTCCTGGGAACGACCAAATCAATAAATTGAAATTCAAGATGAAAAAATTGCTTACAAAACATTACTACTATGTATGATTGTATAAAGGACATATCCTGCCTGAGCCGTGCAATTTTTTATTCACAAAATTAAGCGAAATTGTAATTCATTCCTGTTTTTCGTATGTCAAGTATTGTGGTCTAGTCTAGACTTCAAATGATTCAATAAGATAACATGTAAAGAGTATTTGTTTCATAATTGTCTTCTTATTGGAATTACCAACATTTTCAACAACTCTATACAGCAGGCATTAGTCAAGAGTATAATGTGATCTATTATTTGTTCATATTCGATATAAAAGTTTTAACCGCAGTTTTTCCATCCCGTCCACAGACACATTATGAGGGTGATGCGTTAATCTGGCACTGAACATAAAATTGTAAAACCTGGTAATTTTAAACACTGCAAGATCATCACACAACTAACGATATCATTTATTCAGATTTTCTCACCACAACTACAACAGAGGGGTCGACTTCACCTACCAGATTGTCAACAATGACTATTTCCGCAGAACTGATATCCAATAGTAGTTTTACAAGTAACTTAAATTTGCAAATGTTACATTTATATTACTATCATAATTATATTCAATTTATATATAATCCTCATACGCATTTACACGTCGGGCATCAATCACTTCACGGGTTAACAAAGACTGAATCCCAATTCAGTCATATTTTTTCATAATCTTTAGTCAGAATTGTTTTTAAATTCCCATATTTATCCTTCTAATTAGTTATTGAGCTTTCTCAATTTCAAGTACTAGTCTGATTCCGAACGATAGCTATATAGATTATTGCCAAATTGCACCTTTGATCCTAGAAGGATTGCTAGAAGATGTTCATCTTTTTATAATCTCATCGGATCTATTCAGTGATAATTATAGTGATTTTGAATTCACTTTGAAGTGGAAAAATTGAATTTTATCAGCTGAGGCAGCAACAAATAAAGCCTCACCGGCCGATAACATAGATTTACATGCTACTTCGAGTTCAATTACGACTTCCACAACAACATCATCAGCAACAACAACTTCAAGTAGGTTTCCACTCCTTGATATATTTTTGGGGGATTAAGTCGTAACATAATCTGAAAATTATCAAAAATGGCTTCCATCCCTGCAAGAAATATATGCTACGGAAGCAATTATTGAAAAAGAAATACAATCATAAATATTCAATATTTTGCTACATGAATTTCGTTTCATACTTACTACTTTGGTATTCTAGAGCAGGGCTACCCAACTATTTTACCGAAGATCCGCATTGAAAACTTCAAAATTATTTGGGTCCGGCGTTTCCAGAAATTATATTTCGGCATCCGTAAACGCGCACTTCCTCGACCGGCTAATGATTATCAGCTAATCAAGATTGTTTATTATGGTGTTATAGTTCTTTTCATATATATTCAAAACAATAAAAGTCATTTTATAATATGAAAATTAAAAGTGGGGCTAATGATCCAAAATAAAGAATTAGGTGCGGTCCGAATCAAATACTTAAAAGGTCCGGATTCGGACCATGGTCCGTCAGTTTAGTAGCCCTGTTCTAGAGTAGTATTATTATCTTAATTAAATTTTTATCTAAGTAGTCCGAATGAATTCACAGGTATCATACCAGGACAGAGTTCACATACCAGCAATAACATGGCATTGAATTCAACTTCGATCTCCACCGCGACCTCCACAACAACACCACCAACAACTGCAACTTCGAGTAGGTTTTAGATTCATGATATAGTTGTTAATTAAATTATTCTGCTACCTTTGGAGAAAAGCTGACTTAAAAAGAAAGACATCTCACAAAATGAAAGGATTTTTGTAAATATCTGCGTGATTTTGATACCATATCGTTTTGGTACTTATATATACTTTTTATTTCGTTTTATACATATATATATATATGGCCACCTACGACCATACGCTATAAAAGGTACTCCCGTAGTATGTGAACCACGATGGCGAGCACCGGAACGTAGTATGTGTACCAGGTTAGGGTTAGGCCATAAGTTTATTCCATTTTTCCTTATTTTAGTTCTATTACAAGTTCGAGGACCAGCCAAGTGACTCCCGTAGTATTTGTACCTGAAATTATGGCCCAATTAATTATTATAATAAATTATTTGGTTCATATACTACGGGAGCACCCTATAATACATATATATATGCCCACCTATGACCATACGAGATAAAATCTGCTACCAACGTACCAATGCCACATAAATAGTCTATTCTTGGTAATTATAGGGCAAACGTGAATTGGATAAACAAGTTTAACCTCCATCTGAACCCAACGGCATATATGCATTTAATAAATTGTAGCCCTGGTTATCAGTGCAAATAAACATACGAGGTTGATCTATGTGCTTTTGATATTTTACAAATATATTTAAACATTTCAGCATCAAAGAGCGGAGCAGAGAAGTGCGTCACAGGAACCAAAATGCTTTTAATAAGTCTTGTTTTTTATCGATTTTTGGTGTAATCATTTATCATAATTCAAATAAATAAATAAATTTGTTGATAAAGGTTGCCGTCAATTTGGGCGATATTTGTTTGGAAAGCATAAGATAAAATTATTTAGAACAGCGTGCGATTTCCAAAAAATGCAATTCGAGCGTAAATTAACTGTATTGAAAATGAGGAAAGCATTTACTATATTATACAAATACAAATATAAACGGTATACCTGAAACAGTGCAAGTTCGAAAATACCGCGACAAAACGGCATTCTTTAACAGAAACCAGACCATGTTCGAGAAGGCATGAGAAACGACGTTATCCCTTTTCGTTCTACACAACTCAAAACGAATGTGGTTGTCGATACAAACTTTAACAAATCGAAGAAAAAGATAGTGTGGAAAAACTAAAAATGCGTATAATTTTACTGTTTTTATTCACACCGTCACTTTTTAAATTAAAACAGATCAAATTATAATAGAGTATCAAATATAATAGTATCAGTATTGGCTCTTGCGCTAATAAATGCTATCTTTTTTAAATAAATCGTTTTTTTTTTTTTGGTGACTTGATTGGATTTTCCAGTAATAAAAAATCTTTGAAGAATGTTTGCCTCCAAGTCAGCGATTTTTTGACGACTCAACTTACGGAATGTACAGTAAAACCGTTTTAGAATAACACAACGTTAGGGTTAGGAACTATATTCAAAATAACTTTAAGATCTAGATTAAAAAAGCCAAGAATCCCGTGATCCCGGGATCGCAACACTAAAAGAGAATTATTCATAAAATAAATTAATAGTTATTTTGTACTTTGAACTCATCATTGAACATACGTGTTTCAATGAATCTGAATCGATAATTTGAGCTGAGAATTCAAAATTGTTGTTGCACCAAATACTTATATTTTACACAAATACTCAAATTCTACTTCATGAGATGTTAATTTCTGCATTACATTTCACTATTCTTTACATTTGTAATAAAGTTAAAAAAACAAACGATGCACACTGATGATAACAGGATATCTTGTTTTGTATTTTTGAACTCCGCTTGAGGCAAATTCTGACATGAGACGTTACGGGCGACACATGCGTCATTCAATTTAATGAATTTCGTATGCGCTTCCATTTATTATATTGTTTCAAATAAAAAACAATTCAAAAAACATGAACATTACCCAAAATTGGATATAAAATAATAGAAGGCGTTGAAATACATTTTCAATGCGAGTAGATTTTAGCATTGAAGAAAATTTGTTTCAACAAAATTTTTATTCGAAAATCTGCATTATTGAAAAAAAAAAAATTGGGCAAAGAAATGACTACATGTCGTTTGCATGTGGGAAGCGTCAATTTGCTATTTGGCATTAAGGAATGGCATTTCAAAATGAGGCATTACTAGACATCAAAACTACAACTTATGAACTGATTTGTTTGCTATTTTTTTTATCTTGTTGTTATTGTTGTCATAGAAAATCGTTCATATTAAATAGTTGTTTTTAAAATAGAACTCCTATATGTTATTTTAGTTCAGTCATTTATTTTATTTGGTATAAAAAAATTTTGGTGCACTAAATTAAACAGAAATTATTTACTTGAAATGAGGAAGTACCTATGCGATACTCTGCTACATAGCCTATAATTTGACTGTTAATTTATACTTCCACGAGGAAAGTAATAAAATCTCGTAACGCTGTCTAGTACGTTTTGTATTTTGTTTTGAAGCATTTTGAAATAAAAATTAATATAATGCTAATGTTATTGAGATACTCACCAAAACATATATACCTATCTTTCAATTCTAACTTCGTTTTGTATTTTACTCAATAAAACTTACTATTCATCTACATTAATTAATAACTTTTTATATCTATAGATTGCGTACTATGTACTTTATTTTAAGCATATGGCAAATATTCACAAACATGACGTTATGCTATTTTATGGTTCACATTCAAAATAATTTAAACTGGTTCTAAGGAACAGGTAATGTCACTATGGGTTGTTTGCGTTTCTACGTGCTCAGATGCTTTTAAAATAAACTAAATTAATTCTAAATTAGGTGCTGATTTAGATAAAATACAATAAAAAGTTACCTTCAGGGCATAACTTCGCACTATATTATCTGATTAAAAAGAATAAATCGTGAAGACCGTACCGGGGTATTTATGGCACTTGTGGCATTGCATAAACATTGAAAATCTTTCTGTGTGTCAGTCAGGCAGAATGAATGGTGATGTTCTCATGAATAAAAATGATTATTTTCAAATTTTTTTTTAGTTTAAAATTTACAACATGTTATACGCTATAAAAATATTGTTTATACTTGGAGTATGTTTCTCTGTTTCGTGTTTGGCAAAGCCGGGTGAGTCATTTTAATATTATATATGTTAAAGGGCTCTCTAACGATGAAATTTTGAGAAAGAATATCATATAACGAGAAATTTACTTTAAATGTATATTCGATGGAGCGAGTCAAATGAGTTTTTTCATTTTTGACAATATACACTATTTGAAGAAAATATCTTTTATGTATACGGCTGTGGTTTTTAGTTGGGATTCCGCCAGTCCAGTTCAGGGGGTTCCACAATTTTCATATAAATCTGCAAGTTTCATTCAAAAATTCGAGTCTATATTATTATTAATATTAATACGTTAATACGTTTATTAAGTTTATAACCAAATACCTATTGGGCTTACCCTATTTTAAGCTTGCTATACTTTAACGATAATTTTGTTTTGTCAGTATGAGGTTTGATTTCATAAATGTATTCTTGGTTAAAAATATCAGACAATAAATGACAATCAAACTGTGGTGCAGGGATTTCTCAAGTCTCTGGAATGTTTCAAAAAGATTGAAAGCCATCGGTATACGGAATAGAAAACCGCAAATATTCATTTCCACTTATTTCGCATAAAAGAAACAGTTTGGTTGCTCACTTCATATAGTGTAATAAATTAAATTGTTGTTGACCTAGAATGATAACAATGCGTTTTCATAGACTAGTAATAAAACTCATTTCATTTAAGGAAAAGGAAAGAGTAAAGGAAAGGGAAAGCATTGTCTCTACAATCCATGTCCGCGAGGCAAAATATGCCACATAAACGGAAAATGCATCGGTTCGTATTTTTTGTGTTATAGTTTAGTTTGAATTCACAGGTTTAGAAACAAGCGAGACTTGTGATTTGTACAAATAAATTGACCTACGTACCAAATGGAAGTAAATATCACTACAGATATATGTAATATATTCCTTCCATGACGCGTTCTTTCATACAAAATTTAGTAAGTCTCATACAAGGCACTTCTTAGTAAATTGTATACGATATTCTATAAAGCGATTGGGAACTTAGGATTTTGCTAAGACGATTGAAGCTAAGACACTTTCGGAAATTAGAGATACTTTAACTGCTTTTTTAATTTGAGTTTTTAAAACCTGCTATTTTTTATAAAGCGGGATAACGGTATAGCTGTATATTAAATTTTACTTGATTTTTTTTATAAATCGTTCCATATTCTGCAGGTAAACCTTTTCCTTTGCCGCATCCTTGCGCAAACAAATACTGCCCACCTAAAAAAGTTTGCAAACTTGGAAAATGCGTTTGCGAAACAGGTGTGGAAATCGCTGGAAAATGCTTGCGTGAGTATTTTACAACTTAATTTTTAATGTGTTATTTTTACCTATTATAATTTCGAAAAAGATTTTTAAATTCAATCAAGACTGTATGGGCTGGATACCGAATTGACATAATGTACATTGAAAAATTATATATACTGAAATTATTATGTGCTAAAATAATGTTTACGCTATGTTTTGATCGCGTTATTACGCATTTTAAGCCCATTTCTGATTAAAAAATAAAAAAATATCAATTTGAGTAGGGCAGCTATTAAGCTGGACTGATTAATCCTAAAATGCCCTTGGGCGACATGCGTGCATTCACGTGCTTGTTGTTGCATTATAAATGTCAAACCCAAGATATGAGTGAAAAAAAATAGATTTAGATTTAACAGCATACGTCATTAAAATCTTGATGATATTTACTCGTATAGGTCATACTACAAATCCTTTTATCAAAGCTCGCTTATCATTAACATCTAACTATTATAACTACCTATTTATAACCTATAATTTTTTCACGACTGGAAGGATTAAGAATTCGCACTGGCTTTAGCTTCCAAACTTTGTCGTTACTTAATCTACGAGATGTAGAACAAAAAGTCGTGTGAGAGTTAACCTCGTTTACATGATCCGATTTCCTAAAATAGGTGAATTAAAATTCTGTTTAAAACCAGGAAATCTAAAACATCCATTATTTAAAAAGTACAAGAGAAAAAGTTGAACAATATTATGTTTTGGCATAATTAGCAGTATAATAAGAAGAATAAAGTACTTTTAAGCAGAATGGCTAGCAAATAATCTGAATGCGGCAAACAATTAAAAAACAGAATCTGTACTGTTATCTGTTCTTTATTACAGAAATGCTTAAACTTCATACCCTGAAATTGTTTTGCACTGGTTTCATGATCACTTTGTTTGGTTTACTCTTAACAATCAAGCTTTATTGGCATAACAACACTCATTGTTCGATATGATCAAATATTTGTGCCACCGATTAATATTAACATTTGTCTTGCCTGCCCATTTATTTTTATTCAATAGTTTCAATTAAAGTCCATTTTTTGATGAACTCTTAAAATTGATTTTTAATGAACTAACAAACACAACCATTTTCAGTACTGCCAAGGTATTGCCCGTATGTTCCTTGTGGAAAAGGGAAAAAATGTTTCAATGGAAAGTGCATTGGTAAGTAGCGGTCATATCATGGCCCTTATCATAATTTCTAGGCATTACTGAAACTAGTTTTGAATGCTCCATTTTCCTAAATATTTTTGAAATATAAGTATTTGCTTAATTGAAAAAAATCTTTATTGTTCTTGTGTCGGAGACTTGTATCTCTATAATCTTTACGAATTTTGTCTTTTCAAAAATCTGAATTAAGACACGAACGAAACTCCTCCGTGTTTACCGTTTTCTATTAATAAATTTTGCTGTAAACAATATTGGTGTACAGTTGCAACAACGAGAAACAATGATTCATCAAAAAAACATCAGTTTAGCAGCCGAGGACACTTTTTCAGATGTACAGACATTTCATTGTAGGATATGCTTTTGAGCAAAATTGAATCGATATAAATTTAAAGTGTAATGCGAGAAAGCATATAAAATATTGAACTCTTGTCAGCTCTTTTGTTTTCAAAAGTACGAGTACACAAATTTTTCGCGAAAAAAATGTCCACTTCATTGAAAAAACTACAATTTATTACTGATTATTCTGTATATGCTGATTGCGAACCCAATTACAATATAACATTTAACGTGCCCAATGAAAGATCTATTCAATGGAAAACATGCAAGTTAAAGTGAAGTATATAAAAAGTCTAATGTCCTAGGCCTCTTTTCCAATAGCGGTGCGTTTTAATTCTACACGTGTTTCCTAATTGGTATTTTAATTTGTGTAGATAAATTATACGAAAAATCATCATTATTAAACTCACTAGCAATTTAGCGTCAAAGCAAATTCTTTATAAGAATATTCAAACAGCATGCCGCAGGATTCTATATTTTTCATATCACCTCTATATATATTCATTAGTGTCCAAGTCTACTTTCATTTGTATTGAACAATTAATTGCTTACACTGTTAAGCAATTATGAAATGTATCTTATTTTAGCACTGAGTTTGCGGTGTCCGTTTATTCCCTGTGGAATTGGAAAGAGATGTTTGAATGGGAAATGCATACGTTAGTATGCATTATATATCTTTAATCTGTTATTATAAACTCCCTAGCAATTTATGGTCAAAGAAAATTCTTTATAAGACTATTCAAACAGCATGCCGCAAGATTTTATATTTTTTATATCACCTCTATGTATATTCATTAGTGTCCAAGTCTACTTTCATTTGTATTGAACAATTAATTGCTTACACTGTTAAGCAATTATAAAATGAATCTTATTTTAGCACTGAGTTTACGGTGTCCGTTTATTCCCTGTGGAATTGGAAAAAGATGTTCGAATGGGAAATGCATACGTTAGTATGCATTATATATCATTAATCTGTAAATATAAATTTGTAATCTTCCAAGGAAAATATTTTCTATTACACCCAAGTTTGACAATATTAGTTCATGGAAAAAGACAATATGATATTCGTTGAAGTGAGAAAAACTTATTTGCCCAATTACGAGATTTGTCGGAAGAAATCTTGCGTTCAATAACGTTTGCCAAACAGTTTGTTTGTTTTTGAATGGTATTTTATTGGACACGAAAAGGGAATATTGATAGTTTTTTTAAATTATTGTTGTTTTTGAAGTGATAGTTGTTTTGAAAAAAAAAATGATTTCCTTCTCAACCAATGTATCAATCGTATCAAGTTTTAGTTTGAGAGGAGATCGCTAAAAAGGCATTACGTTTATTTTTTAATGTCCCAAGTCCTGTGAAGCCTCTAAATTTCACAAACATTTCGCTGCTTTTTTAAAAAAAATTTAAGTCTTAAACGCTTCCATCTTGCTTACCTGTCCATATTTCAGCAGACTCGGTGTTCTTACCGTAAACCGTTACAAGTAGATGACATTTGTGCTTGTTTATATGAGCATTGCTCTTTTGTATTCAGATTCTGACTCGTGTTATATTCACGGATGCAACCCAGGCAAAGTTTGCAAAAACAATGTGTGCGTATGCAGAACTGGATATGACTACAACGGAAGATGTTCTCGTGAGTGTATATCCCATATTAAAATCACATACTCCAATGTTGTCAAATACACCCAAATTGATTATTAAAATTGAAAAGTGACTAATTCAATTCAAGTTACCAAAAATGCCCTTTTTCAATTTTCCTTAACTAAATTCTTAACTACTTAAGTAACTTTATTTACTTAATTCCATTGTATCAGATTTAAAGCACGATTCCAAATAAGTTACAATTGTCAGCTGTAAACCATATAGCACGATTTATTTCATATAGCTTTACCACATGTAACAACAAGATCTTTCATTGTATTTGCATCGAAACTTATGTTGCTTAGTAATTTTTGTGTAAGCGAGCATATTGACGTATATATATATATATATATTCCTCAAGCAGGCTTATGTTGTATGTCAGTAACCCAATTGAAGGAAAATTGGAAATATCTGAACTATTCATGATATTTCTATAAAGTTTTTTCAAATTAAATCCCCATATAATATTCTCACTTAAGTCTTCAGAACCTCATCTTTATTCCAGGATGCCCAGTTCCGAAAATTCCCAAGCGATGCCCAACGAGTTGCCCGGCGACTTGTAAAAACCCAAAACCTTCATATTGCACAAAAGAATGTGACCTCAGCAGAAAATGTGTATGTCCTCCCGGTTTGGTACAAATCAGCAAATCTAATGATAAATGCGTTCGACCAAGCAGTTGCAAAAGAAGTGAGTATAAGTAGTTTCGAAAAATTAATATTGGTTAATGTTTATAATGATATGATCTCAAATTAGTGGAAAATATTAGAAGCATTCAAAATGTATCAGTATTCATTGCGAAAGGTTTTTTAGAAGATAATTGCATAATTCACTTAAATATTTTAAGGTTGTGGCAACAAAATTTGCCCCGCCGGTTTCAAATGTCTTGCTGGATTATGTGCACGTCTTGTAGTTTCATTATGTCCATATAGCTGTCCGACAAATAAACACTGCGTTGGTGGACTTTGCGTATGCTTGCCTCCTTACTTCTCGTATAACGGACGGTGCATAAGTAAGTATTGTTTTGATTTTTGTTATGAGTTTTTTTGACTAGCGCAGCAGCAAACTAGCACACAAAACTGGAAATAGATCGTATCCTTCTTTTCCTTGAATTTTGAAAGAAGTCTCATTAGTTGTTAGTTCCACAAAAGTAATATGAACCAGTCGCTATATTGTCGTTCATGTAGATTATATAGATCCAAATATTATCACTGACAACGATTTATTTCATAACAACACAATTTGGTGTTATGGTACAATTATTGGAGAAAAAAGTTTATGTTGAAACCAGATAGGCAAGTAGTCAAAATATCTGCTCCTGAGAATATAATATAAATAAAATACATCAGAAAAAGACGGTCTATGTAACATAATTTAGTTAAAATGAGGCGTAAATAGTTACTGTATTTTGTGTTTTGTGCAATTAAGTCATTTCGCATTGTTCTTAACAAATTTACTTTGTTCTCATCAGAACCTTGTTGGAACAATCACTGTCCTCTGCACAGTTCTTGCTACAACGGAAAGTGTGTTTGTCACGCTGGATACATGAAACATGAAGGAAGATGTTATGGTAATGAATGAAATTATCATTTATTTTTTATAGATAGTGGAAGAGTAAAGCAATTGTAAATTGATGATATTTAAACTTACGTGGTTCCTAAGTTCGTCGTTTTTGTTTTCGAAGAAATTCTCAGGACCAAGAAACTGTGTAATTTCACAACTGTACTCAATGATTCAATTGTTAAATTAAATTCAATTACCTCGTGATTTTTATAAAACATGTATATCTAAATAATTTAATATTCTCACCATTAATAATACTCCGTTTCGCTTACAGCTATACCAACATGTGACAGAATCCATTGCCCATATGGATACTATTGCACAAAGGGAAAATGCATACGTATGTATAAGAATCATTTAAAAAAAGAACTTATCTCAAAATTTTGAAATTAATAACAAAATACTAGGTTTGACCAGGGCTAAGGACAAAGTTAAAACTATTTTTAATACATTATCTTGTTAACTGCTTGTATTAAACAACATATTTGTTTGTATAAACACTACATATCGTCACGCTAATAACCGAATTGCGTAAGTCATTTTTGACGATTTTGAGTTTTTTATAAAATAGGTATTTATGTAATGCTGTGCACCTGTCTGTTAACTCAGATTTTATTTTAAGAATTCCGAAACCCATAAAAATGGAGATTTAGTATGACATGCACATTTGTGCAATTGTTTCGTCATAATGAATTATCATTGTTATCGCAGGACTATTGTGACGTCACAAAGGTAAAATAACCTCGGTGAAGTATTTTCGAGTCTTTTCATCTTGGATTCTAGCTTAGCGCGTATTAATTTGAATTTATACTACAGTATAGGAAGACGTGCACTTGTGATATTCACTGTCCGAGTCCAATTCACCTTGGTTGGCTTTTATATTGGGTGCATTGCTGTTTTATTCTTTATATTTAATCTTAGTCTTATTTCGGAGGGTGTGCAGAACGTGTTATAATGATGAAATATATATTTTTACACATAAAGAGTAATGTAATTGAAACTGATTAGCTATTTTGGAGATTAGACATTGTAGATACTGAGAATTACATTCGTTTTTGGAATGTTTAGTTTCCAGGACTGGTTCATATAGTGAGGTTGACAAATTGCGTATGTCCCAAAGTCATAGACACATTTCTGCCTAAGTCACAGTGCGCCATTATGACGTCACCTAACTGCGTCATACAAATTAACTTAAATCCGGCCACGATCAAAAATTTCAACCATGGCAAATTATTGACTCTCAATGGCATAACAATATCATTAGGAAGTTTTTTACGTTTTTCTCAAAACTGCTAAAAATGACTTACGCAATTCGGTTATTAGCGTGACGATATTTTTATTGTGAGAATTTGGTTACAACATCTTATTAATATTGGTAATACTGTAATATTATTTAACAGCAAGCTGTACAGCAGTCCACTGTCCACATGGGCATTCTTGCAAAAATGGAAAGTGCATACGTGAGTAAATTAATTATCAATTAGAACATTTGATGAGAAATGTATTTTCAGTTCATTTTTCATAATTTTTTTTATCTAATTCTACGTTTGCAAGCAAATGAAGTTGTTCAATTAATTTGTCAAATAATATAAGTGATTCTCCCAACCTACTGATATGGTTTCTATATTATTCAATCTGGCTAACTGTGACAAACAAAAAATTCACCGTGTTATGTCTACAAAATGTTACATGATTGTGAAACATTTATACTTTTACAGCGGTGAGTTGCGACACAATAAGCTGCCCACATGGACACATCTGTGAATATGGACATTGCAAACGTAAGTTTCTATTCCTATTGTTGTGTGTATATCCTGATGAGAAAACTTCAAATTAACTAATCCAAATTTGAGTTATTAAATTCTACGTTTGCAAGCAAATGAGGTTGTTCAATTAATTTGTCAAATAATATAAGTGATTCTCCCAACCTACTGATATGGTTTCTATATTATTCAATCTGGCTAACTGTGACAAACAAAAAATTCACCGTGTTATGTCTACAATATGTTACATGATTGTGAAACATTTATACTGTTCCAGCGGTGAGTTGCGACACAATAAGCTGCCCACATGGACACATCTGTGAATATGGACATTGCAAACGTAAGTTTCTATTCTTATTGTTGTGTGTATATCCTGATGAGAAAACTTCAAATTAAATAATCCTAATTTCAGTTATTAAATTCTACGTTTACATGCAAATGAAGTTGTTCAATTAATTTGTCAAATAATATAAGTGATTATCGCAAACTACTGGTATGGTTTCTATATTATTTAATCTGGCTGACTGTGACAAACAAAAAATTCACCGTGTTATGTCTACAATATGTTACATGATTGTGAAACATTTATACTTTTACAGCGGTGAGTTGCGACACAATAAGCTGCCCACATGGACACATCTGTGAATATGGACATTGCAAACGTAAGTTTCTATTCCTATTGTTGTGTGTATATCCTGATGAGAAAACTTTAAATTAACCAATCCTAGTTTTAGTTATTAAATTCTACGTTTACTTGCAATTGAAGTTGTTCAGTTTATTTGACAAATAATATGAGTGATTATGCCAAACTATTGGTAGGGTTTTATATTATTCTATTTAGACAGCCAGGACACACATAAAATTTCTCGTGTTGTGTTTACAAAAAGTTAAATGGTTGTGAAACATTTATACTTTTCCAGCGGTAACTTGCGACACAATAAGCTGCCCACATGGACACATCTGTGAATATGGACAATGCAAACGTGAGTTTCGGTTCTTATCATTGCGTAACTTTTGATAAGAAAACTTAACCAAGTTAGATTAGACCAGGGCTCAGAACAAATTAAAACTATTTTCAGTACATTATTTTGATAACTGCTTGCATTGACAACATATTAGTATGTTGAAACACTGCATATTTTTATTGTGGGAATTTTCTTACCGCATCCTATTATCATTGTTGATACTATAATATTATTTGACAGCAAGCTGCTCAGCAATTCACTGTTCATACGGGCATACTTGCAAAAATGGAAAGTGCATACGTGAGTAACTTAATCATCAATTAGAACATTTGATAAAAAATGTATTTTCAGTTGTAAACATTTTTTCTAATTTTGTTTATCTAATTTTACTTTTGCATGCAATTGAGGTTGTTCATTTTATTTGCCAAATAATATATATGAGTGATTATCCCAAACTACTGGTATGGTTTCTATATTATTCCACTTGGAGATCTATGGCAAACAAAAAGTTCACCGTGTTATGTCACAAAATGTTACATGATTGTGAAACATTTATACTTTTCCAGCGGTAACTTGCGACACAATAAGCTGCCCACATGGACACATCTGTGAATATGGACAATGCAAACGTGAGTTTCGGTTCCTATCATTGCGTAACTCCTGATTAGAAAACTTTAAAAAAATTCAGTAGCACACGACAATCCGCCGTAATCGAGCTATAATTTGCGCTTCAAAGCCACAAAACACTATTGGATAGAAAATTTATTTGTTGCTTTCATTCAATAAACAAACCTTGGTCAAATGCAGTTTAATAGTAATGGCGGCAAATAAAGAAATTTGTTATTACAACAACAGCAGAATTCTTAACTTATAAATCAAGGATCGATTAACAGACACATTTGGGACATATTCTTGAGAAATTTTGCATTTTTATCTTTATGGCGGAGAAAACTCTTACGATGCAGCGGCCATTTAAAATGGCATTAATGAATTTTAAAGTCATTTCTCATATTTTTTGTTATCTCAGATTGAGCAAAGTAATTTTAAATTATTTTGCGTGGTATTTCGACTGAAACGTTTTCATATCAATTTCTAGTTATTTCCGTTTACCAACAATTTTGTACCAAGACTCTAATAAATCAATTTATCAGTTAGTGTTTGATTTGTTCAGGAATCTGTCCGAGCTTCAAGTTGTACACTGATTGCGCAACCAGTTGCCCGAAAACTTGTGATAATCCTAATCCATCAATTTGTACAACTGTATGCCGACCAGGCGTACAGTGTGTTTGTCCTGATGATATGTATGAAAAGGGCGGTTCAACAGGAATTTGCGTTGCAAAGACCCAATGTAAAAGTAAGATTTTTGAAGATTTGAACATATATATAATTTTGACCTGGAATCAAAATCAATCATAATATAAAAAGAAAAATAGGTAATTTAGAAACCTATGCATGTTTCCCCGCGCATCGACTTCCTTGTTAACTTCCGTAAAATTGGCTATCAGCAAGATGCAAAAAATGACTTAACAATAGACGTTGTAGCAGCCGCTCAGATAATTTTGTCAGTCAGACAGATTTTTAGGCAACTCGCAAAACCATTCTTAAAATACGCAACAAAATTTTGCAATCGTAAAGTATAGGAAGAATTTAACAGGGGTCAAAAGTCGTGGAAACATCTATTGTTTTGAATATGCAATTTTTTTTTTCAGGATATTGTGGATGGAAATGGTGTCCCCCACACAGCATATGTGCTGGTGATCGTTGTATATGCACTGGTCAGGGTCCACATTTTGGGTGTGAATATTGATCAATTTGTGAAGTACACAATTTCAAGGATGCTTGTGGCATACCCATTGACTATAACTATTTTAGTTATAGATTCTGTATTTTATGTCCGATGCTTAATTCCTTATGAACTTCTTTTTGAAAGCTGATTAATTTTTTCTGTGTGATTTACAGTTTGAATTTGGATAAATGTACCACTAAATAAATTCTGAGAGCGCATGTGTTTCTAGTATTACATTTATTTAAAGTCTGATAGTGTATTTTATTATGGTAGGCGATATGTATTTTCGACAACAACTCTACACCTGATGACGGTTTCGGCTATACATTTGCTCATGAATGGCTTCTCTTCTAGATATATATGCAAAACATTTCTTGTAATTTAGTTTTGATAAGATATTTAAAATCTGTGTCTCGCTGTGAAAGACCCAGTTTTCAAACTAATTACATTGATAATAAACGAATTTCATCACAAGAAAGATTCTAATGGCATGAAAAAAAAGAATATGCTCTTATTTGAGTAACTGTGGAAAAAAGAGTTAATAACATTGTATCTCAAAAATCTCTCACTCTGGCATGTCAGAAAGAAGGAGTCCTCAAAAAATATATCCTTCCTGTTTGCTTGTTTTCAGTTGTCAATAAAAAATACAATGTAGCTTAATATACCACGGCCCCTTAAAAAAATTTTCACACAACACACACCAGCATAAACTTAGTTACCAATTACATTATTGCAACAATATACCAAACAGCTTTACATAAAATAGCAATCACGTCAAAGTCGATGAAAACATCCTTCACAAGCGCACAGTTGTGGATCACAAGTACAATTCGTACAGCAGTCAGACCTGCTTGATGAGACTTTAGTGGAAGATAGAGAATGACAACCCTCAGATTTTGAGTTGCTGACTTTTGAACAACTGCATGACTTCGTAGCTGAAACAAATAGGAAGTAGTCACCATTGGATTTTTTTTTGTCAAAAACAAGTAACTAATTTTATGTGAATTATCATAACACAAAGGGCGAATAAAATTTGCAATTTTATGGAAATGAAAAAAATCATGATATTCCCAAGCTGACCCCTAATGTCTTTCAAGAGCCTACATTGATTGTTGGTTAACGCTACAAGTAAAATCTCATCATCAATCTGCATGAGTAATACATGCGCGATATCTTCTTTCTCTTTCAATCCCACCGACGAAACATGAATATAATCCTATTCAGCTGAATGTTTTATAAACTAAAAAGGCCTATGACAAGAGATTATATCTAGTTATACTGGGAATTAAACACAATCATGCTTACTAATAACTTACATACCTGCGCATTTGCAAACTTGGTATCTTTTTGTGGTTTCCTGTGGAATTTTTTCGTCCGATGAAGACTCCATTGTTAAGAATTAATGTTGTAATTTCCACAAAAATGTCTATGTCAGTCCTTTCTATCGTGAAACCCTCTCACATTGATATGCTGATTCAGATAGTTAAATAAAGTTTCAAGTCTTCCGATTGCCAATGTCTGTTTTGCAAACATGCTTGTATTGGGTTTGGCAACGCTTACAAAAATATGTCAAAGGTAAAACCTATGTTTGGTTTGATGTATTTTGTGTTTGTGCAAGCTATATTATCCTACATACGTGAATTAAAAAGGCCTGTGTTTTATACGATTCATGCCCGTTCTGAATGCGTAACGTTTATCCTCGTATCATATATTTACTAGGTAAATATGCTTGATAAGTCTGTTGACTTTTTGTGTGCTCGACTCCTTTCAAAAGCTCACCCTGGTCATATCTAGTGATCTTAAGCCACGATGATACATGATTATGGGTCGTTTTTGAACTACTATCCGAAGCGAGTTATTTTTGCCTAGTACGATATTGGATCTTCAGTGTGTTATTTTTCTCGTGTAGCATACCAATCCATTATATGAATAAAAAGTAATCCGAAATAAACAGAAACAATAAAACATCAGCATGTTGCTTATAACATAAAGCCGGTAGACATGAGCGCATTGAATAAGGTATAAAAGGATATTTACGACAACACGTCGGTTGCAAAGATTTGTTGACTTTAAACAGCTCATCACTTTTCAGCATCGTTTGATATACTTCCCGATAATTAATATTCATCAATGTTCTCATATCAACAATTATGTTGGTCGTTGAAAGTCTTTGACATTGATGCAACTTTCGTCTCCCAACCTGTTCCTTGTATTAGATTTCAGACTCTTTACAACGGAGAAAGTGCTTTCACAAATGAAGTGCTCTCGAACATCAATAACATACCGTTTTAAATTATATTCTTCTGGCACCGACACAACTTGCAGAGATAGCCTAATATTTGGTGACCGTACATTTGAACCCATACATTTGCACCCGTATATCCGCGGGTTCAATCTATATGAGGGTGCTAAAACCCATGGGTTAGGGTTAGTATGGGTTCAAATATCCGTAAAAAAATCCATAGGTGCAATAGTATGCAGGTGCAATTGTCGTGGGTTCAAATTACGGGTACGTGGGTTCAAATGTAATGGAATCTAATATTCACTTGTCTAAGTAGCCTATTGAATAACAATATTTAACGAATATTCCCGAAGGAAGAGATAGAATCAATTTGTGTAAGTTTTAAGTCATTCAAGGGTGTCATAATCGAGTAATTGACTTTTAAACCAGTTTAAGCTGGCCAAGCACACTATTCAATTACCCTACCAAAGTCACTTTTGTCCACTGACTTTCTCAGCTTAGCATGCCCCAGTAAATTCAACGACGTTAGTGATGCGACAATGTGTCAGAAGATTTTTCGGTTGTTTTTATGACGAAACAGTAACAAAATGCTATTTTATGGTTATCACCAGTTGTTACATATATCAGAAAATGAAACGTGGGCCACAATAAATGGCCCGCGGGCCTAGGTTTGGGCCACCCTAGGATAGATAGTGAAGTGAAAATGTGAAGATTTTGATATCCATACCCTTGAGTGCAATGTCTTATGAACAAACCTATGACATCCCAGTCGTAAAAAAGCAAATGCTATATTTATTTACTAAAAAATATTCCTCAACGAAGTTGTAATTACCACCAGTTTCAAGTGTGGTGGTATGTATGTCTGTTGTCATGAAATAGGGCATTGAATATGAATTCTGTGGTATCAACCCATTCACAATAAGTGGAAAACGTGAAGATGAATGTCAGCAGATCTTTCTGAACTAATTGCAATTAGTAATAAAAAAAGAACTATCATATCATGCTTAAATAAACCATAAATTAGCAGGACTTATTTGCTCAAATAAATAATTTCACAAATTGCAGTATACCAAGACCTTTTGTAAAGTTATGTCATCACATTGTATTTACAGCCGTATACCAACAAAAAAAAGTAATTAATAACTATGTATAATAATTTTTGTTAGAAATGCCGAGCAACAGGAAAACATTTTATTTTGTGTTTTGTTATTTTTAGCGCTAATAAAGTTTAAATTTATAACGGATGACAAAATGATTTATTTTGTGTTGGGTTTATTTCGCAATCTCAAAACCGTATTTCAAAATTATTTGGAATAAATAATGTAAATTTTGCTTACTCATGGTGATTCCTCTATTTTGAAACCTGTCAGAGTGAAATGGTTTGACCAATTAAATATTGAACAATAAAAAAATCCAAGTTTTATTTTTTTTAAAACATTAAATTTTTATCACCAGATCACGGAAATTGCAGTGATGAAAGAATAGAACAGTTTTTAGTGGTATGCTAAAAAATAATTAGTAATATTACTCAATTTGTCAGTGTATCGTTCAATTATTCAAGATAAATTCCTGATGATGAAAAATATGAATACCTTAGTCATATACAGAAATACAGATATATTGTGAGTCAAATTATTAGTCATTTATAAACGGTTTGGAAATCCTAATAAACGAGCGTGCGCTTGTGTGCTGATTTAAATCAACGCTTCCGTATTTGCGGAAAGTAGTTGTGTTCGTGATTTTAGGCATTAGACCAGCCTGGTAGCATTTGCAAAAAAAACCTACAATTTATTTGGATTTAACTTATAAATACATTGTGGCGTATATTATTAGTCATTTATAAACGGTTTGGAAATCTTAATAAATGAGCGTGCGCTTGTGTACTGATTTAAATCAACGCTTCCGTATTTGCGGAAAGTAGTTGTGTTCGTGATTTTAGGCATTAGACCAGCCTGGTAGCATTTGCAAAAAAAACCTACAATTTATTTGGATTTAACTTATAAATACATTGTGGCGTATATTATTAGTCATTTATAAACGGTTTGGAAATCTTAATAAATGAGCGTGCGCTTGTGTACTGATTTTAATCAACGCTTGCGTACTTGCGAAAAGTAGTTGTATTGCAATTGCAGTACCAATTGCAAAAAATACGTGATAGAGAATTATTCAAAAGCATATAGGAGTATACAAGATAGTTTTAAGAGATATATCAGAAGTCTTTTCGAATAGCTCAGTTTATTTGATTTGGTATGATTGAATTTTTAAAAGATGAAGAAGATGAAAGTATACGGCGTAATTATTTTTAGCATATGTGTGACATTTGCTGCTAAAGGTAAGTTGTTGATAAGTGTATAAGCGTTATCTCTAGTGCTGGATCAATCTACAGAAATGGGAAGTAATATATAAAAATCGATGAAAAATTTTCTAATTTTTTTAATTTCAGCTTAATTGGTATTCTGTTAATTAACAACTCCAACAATATTCGAAATCGTGGGGTATGAAGACAAGTTACTTATTTTTTTTACTACAGGTGACAAATGCTTTTCACCTGCTATTTGTCTAAAAAATGAACAAGTAACACCGAGCTGGATTCAAGTTCGTCCTATTGAACAATGCCACTGGTCTGTGTCCAAAGGTAAGAGCATGTGAAGAAACTTGCTAATAAATAAAAGCCTGTATATGTCATATAAGTACGTCGAGATATGGCTCTTTTTACCAACGTCGTACTTAGGATTACAGGTTATCAGGTAACAAGTTGTAAACGCGTTTCATTCATTTTTATTCCAAACGCAATAGACTTATTAAATTATTATGAATTAATGAACACGAAAAAAAACCTGGAATTTTTTTTTTTTTAATTTTACCTTCTGGTCTATATATCTTAGCATTGTTCTCTTGTTACTTCAGGAAATATTCCTCTTCAAAATGAAAACAGTAGAATGAACAAAACTATTGAAGAATTACAATTAAGTAAGCAATAGATATTTTTTAAAAAAAAGAGATAAAATTCTGAGAATATTGAAAATAATTATTTTGTAAGAACTGATTTGTTAAAAGTAATCCAGATATTTGAATTTGTCACAAAGTTTTTTGTTTTCTATATTTAATATAAACATATATAAATAATAAGCATTTATGTAAATAAACAAAAAAAAAACGTTCTATGAATATAATTTACGTAGAAACTATTCATTTTCAGCAATTCAGCTACATGAAACAAAAATGGAGAAAATGAAAGTGGAATTTGAAGAGATACTTGAGAAATTTAATGCATCCATGCTCTTGCTACAGAAATATCATTCAGGTTGGTAGAGAAAAATTGGAAAAGCACCTTATCATCATTTTCAATTATATAAATAATAAAATACTATTAAAATAATAATATTCACGTATAGTAGGGGTCTTAAACCACGGGAACCTTTTAGGGGTACGAAGCGGTAAACAAATAAGTACGAAATTATTGTTAACTTATATACATTTATATATATATATAAATTCATTTATTATTACCCAGAAACAACAATTAACAAATTGTTGATTTATTGATTATCTTTTGAAAAGCTATTGTAGGTACGGTGTTGGGTAAAATTTCAATACAGCTCAAGCAGTGCGTCTTTAAAAAGTGTCCACGTTGTCATTTTTCTGCGTTGTTAATATATTTTCAATATTGCATCTTACCCTTAAGAAATTCTTGTTTTTGTTTGCCTTTCCTAACCTTCTCTATTACCAAATAATGTTATATAGACAAATCCGGAATGTTAGTCTGTGATATCGATATTCTTCTTACTCTTCAGACATGTTGTAGTGTAGTGTTTGATATAAACCAGAACAGGTTGCAATATCAACGTTTGAAATTATATTACCTGAAATTCGGGTCTTATTTACTTTGATATTAGATCACGCGTAATCTTAATTTCCTCTATCGTAAATCAATATCTTGCCAATAACGGTTAAACGAATTTTTAAAAAAACAATTCATTTTTTCAGATTGTGACGTTTACTACAGCGGAATGTGCTTCAAAATCCCTTTAAATAAACTGCCCACGAAAAAAAACTTCAACTTAACTCACGCTGTGGAATTTTGCAAAAAAATTGGATGGAAGCTCGCAAGCGTATATTCCGTTGATCATTACAATTTGATTGCATCGTATGTTCGTACCAAGATATCGTCATCAATGTCTTGGACGATGATTTGGCTTGGAATGACTTGGGATTCCAATGTGCGTAAAATTAAGTAGCACGTTTCTTAACTTTTTGTTTCTACTGGTTAATATTATTATTAGTAAATATTGATTCAATTGCATTTTAGGCGGAAACTATGCATTTGTCAAACGGGGAATTGGCTCCAGAACTTCCATGGCGTGAAACTAATCCTTCCAAAAACATGGGATGGGATAAAATTGGGATGCTCGTCAAACTGGACGAAAACGCTATACAAGGAATAGTGACCGTGCAATCGGATAACATGAGACACGGAGCATTGTGCGAGAAATGAATGAATTACAATGCTAGAATAGATGTTCAATTTTTTTTTGTGTATAAGAAACTTGATATAAAAATGTGACACTTACATTGTTATTGAATTGTTTATTAGCAAAAGTATATAGAATGGCAGGAATCAAAAATTTAAATAATTTTCGTTATTTTTGACTACAGGGAGCAGGATCATCCTTGTACAGTGATGAATTTTGAACACTATTTTTCGATCGAAGATTTAGATTTCAATTTGATGGCGAGCGATAACGTGAACAAGTTTTTATTAACGACTAACTACTATGTATTATTTACTCTAAAAATGTCTAAATTTTACTTTTCTAGTGTACATTTATTATATGATTCAAAGCTAAATTACTGAGAGTTAGAAATAGAAGATTCAAAATTACATCAATTCTAAAACAGAAGTCCACCACCTCGACGAGAAGATATCTGTATTTTCCCCCCTTTTCTCTCAATACATTTGTGCTATTGCACAAATTGCATGACGGTCTTCAATCAACGATTTTAATCAATATTTGTATTCCAATATCTGTCTGTAAAATGAACAATCTGACAAGATAATAAAGATTTTTGAATTTATTTTATCTTCTATCTTTTTACGATTCACGTGTTATTATCATTTTTGGTGAAATTACATTTTTCTCTGTAGACGCCATGATTTCATAAATATTTGTGGAAATAAATTTATTGTTCAAAAAGGCAACGTCAACAATTATGAGAATAAAATACAAATCCGATAGAACAAATTTACAAACCTTATCAGGAAAATAAATAATTCATAGGGCCAGTTGCTTGTTTTATAAACTATTATGGCTATGGACAATTTTAGGTGTTTGTGAATGAGAACGATCGCTACACAAGGTAATTAAACCATTTTAAATATGAATGTCATGATCTGTTTCCACGAAATAGCAAGTAAGTTTTTTCAGGCAAAACAAGATATAACTGCAAATATGAAAAAACAGAATAATGGTCATTTTAAGTTATTACAATAAATTTTAAATATGATAGAGATGGGTACAAATATACTTGCTATTTTGTGTGAAGAGATTAAGCTATATACCTATTTATCTCTATACTACTAACTCGTTCGGGCATGCTTGAAGCAACTGGATCAGAAGTAGGAGGTAAGCAAAGTGAAAAGACTTACAGTTCAGTATAAACAAAACCTATTATCCTAGTAGTAGTCTCTACTTTTATGAAGTTTATTGACCAAATTACTAATATTTTCAACATCTGCATTTTAAGTAACATTCTCACAATTCTTGCTTGTAAATAAATGTCGAAAAACTAAGAATTGCAATTGCGTTACAATCTATTATGCACTTTTTGCAAACTTACCTCGAAGAAATTGTTGGAAAAGTCAAAGACAGATGACCTGGGCTTAGTAATTTGAGTAAAATCCGAGACTAGAATGATCTGTGTCCACGTCGAATGGTAGTTTTACGCATAATGAACCTGTAACAAACGTCTGAAAATCTGTGATTCAGACGAAGCTTCAACATGAAAATTATGGATTGCTGGCAACTATTAAATTGTCAATGATTGTCACCAGGCATGAATAAAATTCTCTGATACGCTAAACATTTTGAAGCATGTTTGCAGAAATTCTTTTTTCATAAATACCTACTGGAATAAACTTTCACCTCATTTCCTGAAGTAAGTGCAAAAATCACAGTGGCATCACATTCGTGGCAAAAGAGAACTGCTTCACAATACGTACTTGTAACTGTTGTAATATCTACCCTATTTTTCTATTTTACTCACCCAGAACAACATGCCTGAGTCCTTGTTTATCTATGCGTTGCTTGGTGGTAGCGCATCACTTTGCAAGCAAAATGGAGGCTGCCATTTTTTTTTTATTAGATTCGTGATGATATACTAACTGGTCGCTGTTACCATTGAGCACCATCTCATTTATTTTAAGGCAGACTGTCTCAATGTCGATATGGGTGGGACCGCCACATGTTATTGCTCAAAGGTTACAAAACAATTGTGATTAGTTAAAAATTTAGAAAGTCTGTCAGTTACACTGGAACTGTGTGAAGTCGACTATATATATAACATCTTGCTTTATATTGCTGAAAACTACAATCTTAAAATTTTGAAAATTTCAACGCATTTGGTAAGTAGTTAATGAGAAAAGCATTTGTTCGTAACAACAATAATGAGAATGAAAAAAAGAATTCTAACAACAACAACAACAACAGCATAATGACGACAAGAATCATATGTGCATTTCGCGTCCAATAAAAGAAAACTGAATATTTGCAAGCAAATCAACTCAAAAGTGAAATTTGAATTTAGAAACTGTTTCGGAAATTCGTGTTAAAATAAATTATCTCATTATTTTATTAATACGAAATTCGAACGTAAAATCCATATAAAGTTTGTTTGCGTCAATTGCTTTTTTCACTGATCTAACAGGAGACAAGGATAGCTTTAATTTCGTTTCGTGTTGTTCGATACAACTTTTATTTTTGGCAACTTTATTTTTTGATTTAGTGATAAGAATGCCAACAAGCAAGTTTTTCGAGGTATTTCAAGTTTGATAAATGTACAGTATATTAAGTAAAATCTATCCTACGGGCAAAATTAATCGTGATTATTATTACTCGGTAATCTACTATATTAAACCGGGTCTTTTTATGAAAAATAGATTATATGGGCAGTTTTTAATAGGCTCACGTTTTTGTTTACAGCAGTTTACATCGAAATTGTTCGTTAAGTTCTGCATGATGATTCACGGTGTAACATTTTGCAAATTTGAATGTGCAAGTATACGAAATAAAATGAGTTGATCATTGATACAGACACCCCTATATGTCCAAATAATATGATTATTAATCAAGTTCACAGGCAAAATAGAGTAAAAGCATCACATTGGTTGCACTTCGGAAAATGAAAATAGAGGCAGGCAGTACATGCCGCGGCGATAAACAACTTTTCGAGAAAAAATGATGATGAACTTTTTAATTAAATTCTTTGCGGATTGCAGCTCATACCTGCACTGCTTGTGGGCAAAAAACATTATGGCTGCCTTAGTAAAATGTTTGATTGTTGTTACGCTAGTTTTTGCGCTTTTTGATGTGACCTCGGGATTTAGTAAGTTATTTGACTTTATTAGGTAGAACAGTTCACATATAGTAATACATTGATAGTCATATTTCGAATTTTTCCTGTCGTTGTGACTTAACCAAAATCACGATGCAAAATAAGTTTGTGAAAATATTATAGATTGGTAGCATCAATATTTTGTATTAAAATGACTGATTAAGACTGATTAATGCTACTTTTGTTGCAATTCTGTTTTTTTACGTTGACCGTGAGTGATGCGTTCAGGCAATATCACATTTGGGGGTACACCATTTTGTACTTTCTGGTCAGTTTTATGTGAATAAACTTGATGAAACATTTACTTAATATTATTATAATATTCTGTTTAGCTTTCGGATGTTTTTTTGTGCGATGCAAAGGTGGAAAAGTTTGTAAGTCTGGAAAATGTGTTGGTATGTATACAAAACAGATGCATTGTATTTTTTTATTTTTTTTCATAAAGATTTTCAGTTGGTTGTTACTTCACAGAGGATTTGTAGATTTCATTTTATTTTGTGCTTGACGCTATTGTGTGTAGAAGAATGATTTTATCATATCCGATTCAGAACCTTACAAGGTTTTGCATACGTTTTACAAGGTTTTGCATACGTGATCTGGGTTGAAGATGAGGTAGAAAATGTAACGTTATTCCCAATAAGCTAACAATATTCAATGTAATAAACCAAAATCTCTGTAGGATATGAACTCGTAGGTTTTGAATTCAGACAAAGATCCGTGTTCGGCAAAACATTGTGGAACGGGCAAAATTTGCAGAAACGGGGAATGTGTGTGTAATAGAGGACAAGAAAAAAACGGAAAATGCGTTGGTAAGAATCATTCATTAACAGAACAGTTTGACTATGACTGATTTCAAACTTATTGAAAAACCAACTAATCGTTGTTCTATATTTTACGTTTTGATTTCCTTTTCATTGTGTCCATTGATTAACAGAATCGTTCTATGGTTTTCAACAACCTTGAACATATTATTCTTACGCAAAAAGAAATTTCCGGATTATACTAGGTAATGGTTAAAATGCTGTATTTATATTGGATATTATTTCAAGAAAAAGTTAAATCTGATTAACTTTTTTATTTTTAGTTGTTACCCTATTGGCCTATTCAATACAAAAAATTCTATTTTTAATTCTAATTTGTCTAATTTATTTTTCACGCTTTGATATAGTTTTACCCTGTTTAATACAAAAATTTATTTTTTTAATTCTAATTTTTCTAATTCAATTTTCACGTTTCGATACAGAGGATGATGACAAATGCCCAGCAAAGCCGTGCAGTAGAGATAAGATTTGCAAACGTGGAAAGTGTGTATGTGAATCTGGGATTCAATTTGGAAGCAAATGCTACGGCGGTATTGATTTAATATCAATATAATAATAATAGCCAGTGCCACTCTCTTTTTTCTGGTCACATATATATGGACTTAACTAATCAAAGCGTCAACTTGCATTTACTGACAAGTGCAGAACAATGCCTTTGTATGGTTATGTTAAATTTTCTTCATTCAATTGTTGACAGTTTCTTTGCTCAGACACAGTTTTGCTTTACTTCAGAGTGATTACGCGGCATCTTCCCTTAAGCACATTAAAAAAAACATATCCGAGACTTATTCTGGGTTTTAAATGAGAGTAAACCTTATAAATGAAACACATTATTTTACATCTTGATATGTTGAGCCTTTATATGTTGCGTCAAACAAAATTTAAAGACGACGCAACTATAACAAACAATACTTGTTGATAGTTTAAATATAATTGTGATCATATACCGCCCTCTTATTTAATATCGTAATTAATAAACTTTAAATTTTATATAATCATTTCAAGTGCAATCTAGCATTAGCAATAAAAGCAAAGAAACCAATATATAAGACCTGAAGATACAAAAATTATTCAAGAAATTTTCCTAAAAATATTTATTTTGTACATTAACTGTACGCACCTTGCTATTCTAAACATATACAAACTGACATTATCTTGGTTTATATTTCGATTTTCGGTGGTGCCAGGCTGTACTGTACGGCTGTGGTGTAAAGTACAAATAAATTTATATATTAACAATTACCACGCCTGCATTCACTTCAAAAATTCATATTTGTAATATAAAACAAAAAGATATTTTTGAAAATGCGTTTTCTGTGTCAAGAAATAATTGCAGTCAGAGGATGAAATTATTGATTACATACTTTATTGATACATATACCTACATTACCTTATTGATTACAAAAAGAAAAACAAAATGAATTTGACCCTTGAGTTGTTCATATCCCACTACCAATAGTATATATTTAGGCATAAACTTTAGTGCAAACAAGTATAGTTGTGATTACGGAAGGGTTTGTAAAAAGGGAAATTGCAGTTGTAGATCTGATATACTATGTTCAGCTGTGAATACTTGATAATACAGCTAGTTATAAATTTCATTTTTATCAAGATATTAGATAAAATATGTAGTTTCATTGCCAATTAGCTATTTCCTGAGGCGTAAATCACCAACATAATTATGATAAATAATCTTCAGACCAAAGCAAAATATTATTAACAATTGACTATAACCTGGTTTGAACTGTGGTGTTCTAAACATACATTATAACTACTTGTTGTTTTTATAAAAATAAAATATTCATAAGCCCACACAGTCAGTTTGTATACAAAATATTCAAAACATTTTTGGTAGATGAATTTGGTAGACTTGAATTTTAAAATTATTTTAAAATGCGACCATATAATTAATCGCAAGCACAGCAAATAAACAATCCAAGTTTTAGGTCCTAATTAATAGATACGAATAAGCAAATTTTTAAAAAAAGTTTAATATATGCATTATCAGTATACACTCTGACAACATGAACGTATACAATCTGTCCTTATCTTTGTATAATTTTCGATTTCGGTCGTAAAAATAAATATTCATTTGTAATGTTCCCCACACCTTACATCCGCTTGAGAAAATTTATGTTTATGATATATATCAACAAGGTTCTGCTCAGCCTTGTTGTTGTAAATATTTTTGCTGCTGAATATTGGCATATTTTAAAATCTTATATGTATTATTTCATTATTTGATATTTTCATCATGCGTTTTTCTCATGTTAAGAAATAATTAATATTACATTCATATGTTTTAAAACAATAAACTCATGGCTTACAAAAATACCAAACTAACAAAGCAACAACAGATAAGACTCAACCCTAGTCATAGAACACTATTAATCTTTTTTCAGGTGTAGACAAATGCAAAGGAGTTGATTGTGATCATGGAAGGGTTTGTAAAAATGGAAAATGCATTTGTAAGTACGGATATCATGAATTTGGCAGCAAGTGTGTAGGTAAGTTGGAAATTGTCATGAAAAGATACTTTTTAAGTGTATGCCCAAGATCCAGTACCATTTAAAAAATATATATATATTCAAATTCAATCTCAAACTACTATAAGATTCATAGTATATATAAGTACTGCAAGGTGCTATATAAATTTTTCCTCCGGTTAATAAATTGGTATCGCAAAAAAAGAAATAAGTTAAACAAGATAAATCGACGTAAAATATAAGTTATTAATCATATAAATAATATTTTTAACCTCACGGATAAATAATCTTCAGAATATATCTATGTATTGTGTCTTACATGAAAAGTACAAATTTTTATTACAATCTGTTTTTCATATGATCTTAGTATGTAAAGATCCGAAAAAGTTTGACGATTGTGCAACAAAATGTCCACCAACTTGTGGCGATTTTCACCCCTACTGCATCAAATCTTGTGATTCAAGCAAATACTGCGTTTGTCCTCGTGGATACGTTGAACACGGTAATTCCTGTGTCAAGCCGGATCAATGTCCAGGATGTAAGTTTTTCCTTCGCAATATTACTGATCAAAAAATTCAAGTGTTGTTGCCACTTTCTTTCAAATGTGATTCAATATCTTGTTTTTAAGCAACCATTGAATTTTATTCACCTTATTTAAATTTTTTATTATGGTCAATCATACACATCAAGAAATCATACAACCCAATCGCTAACACGGCATAGTGACGATATTTGATATGAACGAAACTTGGACCTCCTGAAGTATGCGCACCAAGATGGCGCACAACCTGAACTCAGGTTGTGTACCAGATTAAGGTTCAGGTTGGTGCGCATACTTCAGGAGTACCCGAAACTTAACCATATCATCAGTTTTAATATAAATGATAAAATATAAGAGATAAGTGAAGAACAGTAAGAGATTAGTCACATAACAATTGTACGAGGGAAAATTATGGAATACCATAGAGCACACAAAAAGCACGATGCGGTCTATGTGAAATAAATAAAAAAAAAATTTAATATTTGTTCATAACTATGAAAAAAATTGACAACAGGTAAACAAAAATTGAAACATATAAATATTAAAAATGTCAAAGGTATGCAAAATATGAAATACGTCAGCAATAAACTTGATATACAACTTGAATTTATTAAACTTCCAATTCGACAAACAATACATGCTTTGTAATTTAGATTGTCACGGAAAGATTTGCCCCCCGGGTTATAAATGCTATGGTTCCAAATGTGTCAAATCAGGTACGTACTTGAACGATTGCATACGAGTAAGATACATTTTTAATCAGAAATTGCGTATAGCCTAGATCCTAAAAGTTACAGAAGTTTATTTATGTTGCAGTGAATTGAGCGGGTTGCACCATGTTGGAAATGTTTTAAACCATTAACCTAGAACATTGATACAATTGAATAACTTTATGGTAGAAAAAATCAACTAACAGATAGTGCTAATAAAGTATTTAAGTCATGACGTAAACCATTGGTATTTGGTTTCGAAAGAAATTCAGCTATAAGATGTTATGGATTCATGCTAAAACCTTAAAATAAATGTGAAAAGCTATCATACAGTCGCCACCTTATTACTACATTTTTAATTTAACTTAATCAATTCATTTACTTTAACAATTTTTTGAAATGGTATATTTCCTTATTAACAGATCCATGTTACATGGTAAAATGCGAAAAGGGGAAAGTATGCAAAGATGGAAAATGTGTTTGTGCACATGGTTACGAGGACTTTCGGGGAAAGTGTGTTAGTGAGTATGATCGTTAATGTGCAATGTGAATTTTATAACCATACTAGTACTTTTCTGAAAAGTCCCCAGTACATAGCCACAAGTAAGCACCTATACATTATGGTATTCTTATTCTAGAGTCAAATCATTTCACAATAAGGAAGTCTTTTGTCCAACATCTTCTGTTTATTGGCAATGCATTGTTTTAAACGTTCAGATGAAAATTGCAATAATATTGTACGATTAAACACAATAAATAATGTGGAAAATACCCATCGATTTCATATTCAGAATGTCATCTACCGAAGGTATTCAACGACTGCGCAACAAACTGCCCAGCATCTTGCGAAAATTTGCATCCGTCGTGTACAAAAGATTGTTCCCGTGACAGATATTGCGTATGCCCGAAGGGAAAGGTTTTGAAAACAAAAAGTGACAACAGCTATTGCGTATATCCGAAGGAATGTCCACGTTGTTAGTAAAAAAATCTTTTTGTTTAATATTGAGCATGTTTTGTACGAACATTGTGAGAATTTTAATCCTAACTTAGACATCAATTATTTTATATTAATTGACAAATTGCATTAGGAAATAGTATTAGATGTCGTCTGGATGGAAGTATAATCGAATGTATTGTGGGTAGTTATTCTCGTTTGCTCATATGTTTTCAACATTTATACATTAGGTATCTGTAAATGTATAATCCCAAACTTTCATAATTTTCAGACTGCTATGGAATAATTTGTCCACACGGTTACAAATGCTACAATCAAAAATGCGTTCTATTTTGGTTTCTTTATAGCTTTTATTTTTTGTCACTTTCTTCTAGTTTGTTAAGCTGAACAGATATCCTCACCAAGTAATAGGTATTCAGTCAATATTCAGTAATAAGTCACGATTTTGAAACATAGAAATTGTTCCAATTTCCAGAACGTTACACGTTCCAGTCGTAGTCATTAACGGTTTTGAACTTAAATTTTAATAACAGATGCTTGCTACAACATAGAATGTCCAAAGCACAGTTATTGTAAAGATGGAAAATGTATTTGTGATGAAAATTACGTCTGGAAAGGTGATAAGTGTGTTGGTAAGTAATTGTAACGAGCAATATCATTTAAAACAAAATATTAGCATTCATGATGTTGTGAGCAATAGCATATTAATTTCCGCGGAATGCTATTCTACTTACAATTATGTTTTATTTGATATTCAAAAATGACACAAGTTGTGATTAAAAATATTTTTCACAGATCCATGCCAATGGATAAAATGCGGATTTGGGAAAGAATGCAAATGGGGGAAATGTGTTTGCAAAAAAGGTTTCAACGAATTTTATGGAAAATGCGTTCGTAAGTGGCAGATTCAAACTACTACTATTAATATTATGTAAACGTAATAACAGTGTTCAACATTAGTCAGGTATTTTTAATATTTATTTTTAGTAAAATCTGTCAGAATTATTATATGTATTGTAATACGCGTTGTCGGTATAAAATAAGGAATATAAAAAATTGACGAATCTCCCGGTTCCTATTTTGTATCTGTGAAAGCACCTATTATACTTTAAAAAGATTACCTGAAAGTGAAACTAACAGCTTACTGTTTATGATATAAATATCATAGCTACAAGCAGCTGAAAACCGTATCCTACATACAAATATAACAACGTGCTATTATCATTATGTTATTAGTGGTATTATTTGTAGGCAAAATTAGCACCTCAAGCACGATTAAAACTGGTTGTCATTAAAAACATATTAGGACAAGATACAAAACACGTTAACTGCGAACTAACTGATAAGCAGCCACTTGAAAATATTTCTCATAAAAACAAATCACGGAGATCGCCGATAAACGATACATTCATTATTGGTTGAATTTGATCACAAAGAACTTAATTGCTGCTTCCATTGTGCCACTTTTTTGAACTTGCCGTCACAAATGAACTGGAATTTAATGACAAATTAGGGATCATCCAAAATGTTTTTCAGAGTGTTTTCCACCAAAAGTATTCAAATCATGCGTAACGAGATGCCCGGCATCTTGTGAAAATCTATACCCGTTCTGCACCAAAGACTGTTCTCGTGATAGATATTGCGTTTGTCCCGATGGAACAGTTTTGAAAACTAAAGACGATAGTAGCAGTTGTATCAGCCCGGAAGAATGCCCTCGTTGTGAGTACATTGTATACCATATTATAAATATATTATTTTAGTGATTCGTATATATCATTGAATCATATGTTCATACTTCTTCCAATTAAATGCCTCGTAGTTACAACACTGTTGATTTTTTCTAGGCGGTAATTTTCGTATTGCAATAACGTATAGGGTTGTCTGTAATAATGTGATCGTTTATTACTCAATAAAATTATTTTCTCAATTTTCAGTTCTATAGAATTCCAAATTGTTGCTAATGTTTAACCTTTGAAATATAATGTATTTACAGATTGCTATGGAAAGATATGTCCACATGATCACAAATGCTACGATAAGAAATGTGTTAAATCAGGTACATAAATTATACGAATCCACGACGAGAAAAAAAGGGTGATGTAACAATTTACAATACCACGATGCGCACATCGCAATGCGTGCAACCGTGAATCTTCATCTGTTTTTTTTTACACTTTTTAGATCCATGTAAAAAGGTAGTATGCCCGGATCACAGCAAATGTGAAAACGGAAAATGTGTATGTGATGAAAGATATCAATGGAAAGATCATAAATGCGTTGGTTAGTGTTTGTTTAATTGATGAAAATTAATTTCTGTGATGAAATGCAGTATATACCGTCGTTGTTTGAGTGTCGCCTCAGATTATAAATCCCTACAGTGATGTCAATTCTGGTAAACACCAATGCTGTCATAATTTAAGCAGTGATTTCTGATCAATGAACAAAAATATTTATCATGTACAGAATATCTTTCTGACGTTTGGTATTCGTTCAAAGTAAACTCATAAATTTGGAGATATTTAGTGACGCTAAATGTTCAACATAAGTTCTGCTATAATTTTAAGCTCACGTTAATTCATTTTTTTACAAGCCATCTGCTTTCATCCGAAGATTTATAAAGACTGTCCAACAGCGTGTCCACCAACGTGTGATGATTTGAATCCTAGTTTCTGTACGGATAATTGTAGGCCTGGAGTAAATTGCATTTGTAAACATGGTTATGTAGAAAAAAGCAAAACAAACAACCGATGTGTTAGAAAAGAAAGCTGCCCAGGATGTAAGTTCTACGTCATGGATTACAAATGTTAAAACAACCATTTGGAAAAAACAAACAAAGCCTAGTTTTTTATGACAGGGCACTATTGAGTTGTATTTGGCAGGATAAAAAAAATAGTCAAATTGTTTTAATTATTTTTCACACTTATGAAAAGTAGAGAAATTGACTTCTTTTATAGAAAATAATTAGATATTGCCCACATTGCATATTACATTTTTTTTTATTTAAAAACGTATTTATGATATAATTTGGGAATCTAATTCTACATAAATTGAAATGTGTTGAAAAAATATGTGGGTATATTATGTGAAATCCAAACTACCGATACGTGTATTAAAACCTTTTTAATAAAAAGTACTCCATTACAGTTACAGTCATTTACAGTTTTTGTGTTTCACTTGAAATAAGAAAATATTTTTGTATATTTGTACAATATATATTAAACTCTAATATGATACAAAACAGATTGCGGTGGAAAAATATGTGCTCATGAATACAAATGCTACAAAGATAAATGTGTACCAGAGGGTGAGTTTGCTGTCCAACATAAGAAGAATTTTAATCCTAACATAGACATCAATTATTTTATATTAATTGACAAATTGCATTAGGAAATAGTATTAGATGTCGTCTGGATGGAAGTATAATCGAATGTATTGTGGGTAGTTATTCTCGTTTGCTCATATGTTTTTAACATTTATACAATAGGTATCGGTAAATGTATAATCCAAAACTTTTGGTCTGTCTAGTAAAAAGGACACAACAATAACATTTCAAAATTATGCTACTTCGTGATGCAAAAACAAAACTATATTTAAAGTTAAATATTTTGGTTTATTTATAGCTTTTATTTTTTGTCACTTTCTTCTAGTATGTTAAGCTGAATAATAACAGATTTTAAATTTTAATAACAGATGCTTGCTAAAACATAGAATGTCCAAGCACAGTCATTGTAAAGATGGAAAATGTATTTGTGATGAAAATTACGTTTGGAAAGGTGATAAGTGTGTTGGTAAGTAATTGTAACGAGCAATATCATTTAAAACAAAATATTAGCATTCATGATGTTGTGAGCAACAGCATATTAATTTCCGCGGAATGCTATTCTACTTACAATTATGTTTTATTTGTTATTCAAAAATGACACAAGTTGTGATTAAAAATATTTTTCACAGATCCGTGCCAATGGATAAAATGCGGATTTGGGAAAGAATGCAAATGGGGGAAATGTGTTTGCAAAAAAGGTTTCAACGAATTTCATGGAAAATGCGTTCGTAAGTGGCAGATTCAAACTACTACTATTAATATTATGTAAACGTAATAACAGTGTTCAACATTAGTCAGGTATTTTTAATATTTATTTTTAGTAAAATCTGTCAGAATTATTATATGTATTGTAATACGCGTTGTCGGTATAATATAACTATATAAGGAATATAAAAAATTGACGAATCACCCGGTTCCTATTTTGTATCTGTGAAAGCACTTATTATACTTTAAAAAGATTACCTGAAAGTGAAACTAACAGCTTACTGTTTATGATATAAATATCATAGCTACAAGCAGCTGAAAACCGTATCCTACATACAATTATAACAACGTGCTATTATCATTATGTTATTAGTGGTATTATTTCTAGGCAAAATTAGCAACTCAAGCACGATTAAAACTGGTTGTCATTAAAAACATAATAAGACAAGATACAAAACACGTTAACTGCGAACTAACTGATAAACGGCCACTTGGAATTATTTCTCATAAAAACAATTCACGGAGATCGCCGATAAACGTTACATTATCGGTTGAACTTGATCACAAAGAACTTAATTGCTGCTTCCATTGTGCCACTTTTTTAACTTGCCGTCACAAATGGACTAGAATTTATTATAACAAAATTTAGGACCATCCGAAATGTTTTTCAGAGTGTTTTCCACCAAAAGTATTCAAATCATGCGCAACGAGATGCCCGGCATCTTGTGAAAATCTATACCCGTTCTGCACCAAAGACTGTTCTCGTGATAGATATTGCGTTTGTCCCGATGGAACAGTTTTGAAAACTAAAGACGATAGTAGCAGTTGTATCAGCCCAGAAGAATGCCCTCGTTGTGAGTACATTGTATACCATATTATAAATATATTATTTTAGTGATTCGTATATATCATTGAATCATATGTTCATACTTCTTCCAATTAAATGCCTCGTAGTTACAACACTGTTGATTTTTTCTAGGCGGTAATTTTCGTATTGCAATAACGTATAGGGTTGTCTGTAATAATGTGATCGTTTATTACTCAATAAAATTATTTTCTCATTTTTCAGTTCTATAGAATTCCAAATTGTTGCTGATGTTTAACCTTTGAAATATAATGTATTTACAGATTGCTATGGAAAGATATGTCCACATGATCACAAATGCTACGATAAGAAATGTGTTAAATCAGGTGCATAAATTATACGAATCCACGACGAGAAAAAAAGGGTGATGTAACAATTTACAACACTACCATGCGCACATCGCAATGCGTGCAACCGTGAATCTTCATCTGTTTTTTTTTTACACTTTTAGATCCATGTAAAAAGGTAGTATGTCCGGATCACAGTTGTTTGTTGTTTGAGTGTCGCCTCAGATTATAAATCCCCACAGTGATGTCAATTCTGGTAAACACCAATGCTGTCATAATTTAAGCAGTGATTTCTGATCAATGAACAAAAATATTTATCATGTACAGAATATCTTTCTGACGTTTGGTATTCGTTCAAAGTAAACTCATAAATTCGCACGATATTTAGTGTTCAACATAATTTCTGCTATAATTTTAAGCTCACGTTAATTCATTTTTTTACAAGCCATCTGCTTTCATCCGAAGATTTATGAAGACTGTCCAACAGCGTGTCCACCAACGTGTGATGATTTGAATCCTAGTTTCTGTACGGATAATTGTAGGCCTGGAGTAAATTGCATTTGTAAACATGGTTATGTAGAAAAAAGCAAAACAAACAACCGATGTGTTAGAAAAGAAACCTGCCCAGGATGTAAGTTCTACGTCATCGATTACAAATGATGAAACAACCATTTGGAAAAAACAAACAAAGCCTAGTTTTTTATGACAGAGCACTATTGAGTTGTATTTGACAGGATAAAAAAAATAGTCAATTTGTTTTAATTCTTTTTCACACTTATGAAAAGTAGAAAAATTGACTCCTTTTATAGAAAATAATTAGATATTGCCCACATTACATATTACATTTTTTTTATTTAAAAACGTATTTATGATATAATTTGTGAATCTAATTCTACATAAATTGAAATGTGTTGAAAAAATATGTGGGTATATAATGTGAAATCCAAACTACCGATACGTTTATTAAAACCTTTTTAATAAAAAGTACTCCATTACAGTTACAGTCATTTACAGTTTTTGTGTTTCACTTGAAATAAGAAAATATTTTTGTATATTTGTACAATATATATTAAACTCTAATATGATACAAAACAGATTGCGATGGAAAAATATGTGCTCATGAATACAAATGCTACAAAGATAAATGTGTACCAGAGGGTGAGTTTGCTGTCCAACATAAATTATGCTCTTTTCCATATTTTTTAATTATAGCATAGTAATCTTAATAATCAAATGAGTATTGATCCCCAGAAAAACTGATTTATTTTTACATTTTATGTGTTATGCTGAATACAATTTCATTTATTTGTAAATGTTCGTTATTGTCACACACTAACAAAATTATTTTCTAGATCCATGTAAAAATGTTGAATGTCCAGATTACAGTGAATGTAAAAATGGAAAATGTGTATGTGATAGAGGATATCAACGGAAACACGATAAATGCGTGGGTTAGTGTTTTTATGATCAGCGAAAACTAAAATTGAATCAAATTGTGTTGATGTTTGACTATCGGATTGTAGAGTGAAAATTATATTACTATGATTTATGATTATTGTTAGTTCATCCTTTTCGAATTTTCCGCAATGATCATGAATTAGTTTCGCACTGCAAATTTTTTCTAGCAATTTGCTCTCATCCAAAACAATATGATGAATGTCCGACAGCTTGTCCGCCGAGTTGTGACGGTTCGAATACAAGATTTTGTACCACCGTTTGTAGGCCAGGTGTAAATTGTGTTTGCAAGCCAGGATACGTTGAGAAAAGCAAAAAAGACAGTCGATGTACTAGGAAAGAAAATTGTCCAAGATGTAAGTAATCATTCGCCTTACATATCCACGTATTATATTTAATTTACACTCTTTGATTGGTTTAATTATTCACTAATGTAAAGTATTATTGATGTGTGTAAGCAGTGTTTTGACCTGTACAATACAGAGTGGCTTTTGCTAAAATTTAATATCGTTTCCTATAACGCATTAAAAAATTGACTTTAATTCTGATTAGCATATTGTGTCAATAAAAATTAATGCAATATTTAATTCCTCCAAATCAAATTACAGATTGTGATGGGAAAATTTGTGATTATGGATACAAATGCTACAAAAATAAATGTGTACCAGACGGTGAGTTACAAATAATGAGCAAACGATTGTATACCATAACGGCGTAACAATTCTAATCTAATCAAACAAACTTCCAGTCAACATCGAAATTTTAAATTATATATTTTTGATGACACAAACTTTGGTTAAAATGCATGGAAATATTTACTCTCGAATATTGTGTCAATGTGGAATGAATTTATATGATGTTATATATATATATGAAGCTATATATTATGTTATATATATGTAATATATATATATGATTTTTACAATACATTGCATCAATCAATTAATCTAATCGTGTTGCCATAATTGCAACCTTTAAATTTCTGGGTTAAAAAGCAAAGGCATTCGGCTCCATAATTAAATCAAAAATAGTCTTCATGATTTTCTTAATTTTTCATCATATCAACGTTACAAATTAAGACCATCTTGTTTATGTAAAGGAAAAGTTCTCTGAATGACCATTTATCAGATAACCATCAGTTCTTTAATGAACAACAAATAACATTCTAATTCAGTGATGGCAAACCGCTGAGCCGTGTTTTTTCAACGAGCGCTAGGTCACGAATTGCTGTAAAATTAAACTCTCTGTAGGATAAGTGCGCTTTAGGGTATAGCACTTCCCACTACGGCTCCGAAGTACAGCATGTAACTGAAGTCGTGACCTGTTGTTTGGACCTCCAAATAAATGTCTTCAATTCATCAACAACTGACAGTACAAGAATACTACACAAATCATACCGATGCCCACAAGCGCAGAACGCTACTGACCATACACTTGTGTCGAAAGAAACATTAATCTGTTCACAACTCAAGAGGTGTGTGCATTGAGAAGAAGCCATAAGACGAAGGCTTAAATACAACTAGTTTTGATGTCGTTGTTAACGTTAGCGATGTTAGAGTACTGTCTTCGTTGTAGAGATAAATAGGCTGTTTTGACATGGTCTCAATCAACTGCCGCTAGTATGCTACAAATACAATATGAATAATACAACAATAAACAATCGAAATACATCGATTCGTCAAAGTACAGTTATCTACAAAACCCCGCAGGCCAACAGATGAACAATCCCGATAAGATTCTAAGTATAAACTCACAACTAACGATCCTCTCGTAATGTGTGGCATAATACCAACCCGATATAGGAAAACAAATCAACTATAAAATCTACAGTCGCACACCGTCCTCACTAACACCCAAGTCTTAACATGCAACCAATGCGACTATATTCACATTGGGTGCAAAACTGTTCAGCCGTCTACAATCTACATCACGGGAAGAAAAGTTTAAGAAATCTAGGAAGGTCTCAAAGCGTCACCCACGGTAGAAAACGAAAGTGTACAATCATAAAGTGGGATTAATTTGCCAGTGCTTAAATTAAACATAGAAATCCGTGAACCGTGTTAACAAGAAACTAAAACACAGGGTATAAATTAAAGTCCTAATGTAGTTCCATAAAATGGGTATCTCCCTTATGCGCAGTGAGGGTGTAATGCAGAGGTTCGAAATAGGCAAAAGGAGTACTTAATCGAAAAAGATTGGGAGTCACTGATCTGAATACTACTAATACCTGGATACTATCTAAATATTTTTTTCTGTATTTCAGACCCATGTTATGGTATAAAATGTACTCCGAACAGTAAATGCAAATACGGCAAATGTGTTTGTTTTGATGGATATATTAAGAAAGGAGATCTGTGCATTGGTAAATATCATTCATATTATGCATTTTTGATATTTTATGTCATATAACATTGGTCAACGAAAAACACAATTTGTTTATACGCTCTCACATTATGTGCAAACAATAACAAAGTTAACTCACTTATGTGTACTTGACAGGAGATTAAGAATAACTCTACCCTTTGTGATACGTTTCATGCAAAGGTTGAAATGAAAATTAACTTAAGTTTAAATGCAATTTTATCTACAGATGATCCATGTCATGTAATAGATTGTGAACCGGACCGGTATTGCAAGCTCGGAAAATGCGTTTGCAGATCAGGATTTATAGAACACAATGACAAATGCGTTAGTAAGTAACTTTTGTATTGTCGGGGACATTTTACATTTTAGTGATAACATGGTACATAGTTTCAAATTAGAAGAAACATTCGACGTCAATCATTTCTTCCCATTTATAAGTAACAATTACCAAACAAACAAAAACACAGTTTTAATGATTATCAGAAATTATAATGTAATTCTTAGGTTACGTATGTTGGGAGAATGTTGCGAAAATGCCGTTTCAAATCCATTATTATTTAGCACTATTTTTAAATCTGATTACTAATTACAATTTGATTTAAAAACACTTTATTTGAGGAGATGAAAAACGAACTGAACTACGTGTCGCATAAAAATCGTTGTGATTTCCAATTTTCCCATCTGTTATTACACTATTTATTTTGTTTCTCTGTATTTTATCCGAACGGAAACAATGATATTGACCCAATTTAAGCAAGTTTCGAATATAAAAAATCGTCTTTATATTGAATGTTATCAGTGAATTGTAGCCTATTAGCACTATATTACAAAACTATTATCTAAAATTATGTGACATGTTTGTAACGAAGCATGATATTTAATTTGTTAAAATAATAAGTGAAAAAATAAAATGGTCGGTATAATCGTTTGGTTTCATTTTGAACGAATACACGAATATGAGTAATTAGCGCAGACATGCGCTCGATTAGGCAATACAAAAGGTTGAATCAAAAATTTCGTTTACAACATTAAAACTTTAGAATGCAACAAACCGAAGGTTTTTGACAGCTGTGCAACAAGGTGTCCTGCATCCTGTGATGATCTGCGTCCTAGATTCTGCACTACCAAATGCGACTACAATAAATACTGTGTTTGTCCTGAAGGATATGTGCAGAAGAGCAGGAAAGATGATTATTGCGTCAGACGAGAGCATTGTCCGAGATGTAAGAATTTATTATTTTCATAATATCTTTGCTCCGTAGTAATCACGGCTTCAATTGTATGTTCTTGCGCTATCTAAGATCATATATGAATATCGAAAAAGTATAGGGTTTCGCTATTGGATTAAATTTAATCCTTATATATTCGGTTTCCACGGGCTTGTTGTCTTATTGACTTCCCGAATAGATTCTCTTACTTTAGTAATAAAATTTGGTTACAATTCTAACTGAACAAATGCCTGTTACCATTCCCATTATAAACACGAGGACAGTCAACATCACCAGAAATTCAGCATAACTTTTTTGATTCAGATTGCGACGGAAGAATTTGTGCGCCTGGTTACGAATGTATAGATGACGAGTGTTCAAGAACTGGTAAATCCGAAAAATTGTTAAGTACTAGCTAGACACTAGACTTTAGACTCTATAACATTATCTGGTATTTATTTATCTAAACTCTGGAGATATATACCGAGATACATGATGATCTTCAGCACAACGTCAATTTTATTGAATATTTTATTGCGGGATTGCGGCATTTGGCTATAGTGGGACTGGGTGTATAATATAAGGGATTAAGTAGCTTTGCATAAAAAATCCTTACAATGCCCAACCTTCCGAGTAAATTTGCTACGCCATAGACTGCTTGTAGTAGAATTCGTGTCTCTAGATAGATATAAGAGATAATAAAGTAAGCTAACGATCTGTGGAGAGGTAAGGATTAATAGCATTCGTGAAGTTTGAATAACACATGAGGCATAAGGAAAATGGGTTAAATCAATAATTGCTACAAGTTTTTTTCTGCTTTCGCGTAATTCAGAGCTTCGTGAATATGATTTCATAATAAAGTACACAAACAATGTGAGCAATTAGCTTGTTATTTTTGTGCAGCGATCCAAAATAAATCTGCTTTTTTAAATACGGGGAAACAATCATAAAAACTTGGTTATTTCATTTTCCTCACTCTATTTTCATTTTACATTTATTTAAATTTCTTAATTGTACTTTTTTGATAAAGAAAGCCTTTAACTTTGATCTGACAAATTTTGTAATTCAATAGAACATAAATTACGTATATTGAGGGTGTTCAATGCACAATTGTCTTTCATTGAAATAATGTTAATATGTGAATTTTACAACAACAAAAAACATACTACCTCGTTCTGATTATGTATAGATTCATGCAAAAACAAGGATTGTCCATATCACAGCAAATGCGTAGACGGTAAATGCGTTTGCAAAGATGGATACTACTTGAGGAGAGGCAGATGTGTAGGTAATAATGCAAATATTTTTTATTTTTCTAATATCCAATCTAAGTATTGTTTCGAGTCTTCATAATATCACTGTTTTCAAATATTATATCATAATAGATACTGATAAAGTTATACTTTGATATCTATATTCCACGTATATACCGTCCGTTAACTCGGGAGGTGGCCTCACATTTTATCAACAATGATTTATATATATTTTTTTATATATCCAGAATTGGCGTTCTAAGTGAATATTTAATGTTATTTTATTTCGTCTTAGATCTATGTCGATTTAGAAAATGTCCTGATCACAGCGAATGTAAATATGGAGAATGTGAATGCGAACATGGGTATTACATGAAAAGAGGAAAATGCTACAACGATGGTACATCTATTTTCATAATTAATGTTCAAGTTAGATTATCTTTATTTTGGCTTAGCTGGAGAACCGTTTCTTGCGCAGGCAGTATTCATTTTATCGACAATATTAAAGATGTTACAAAAATTATTGTTGGATAATATTATTTTCACATAAAACAATCAAACATCCAACAAAAACAACGATACAAATTTGAATATACTTCCAAGTAGAAGTGAACGCGATCGCGGATAATAACCTCACGATGGGATCACGTTTGAAACATACACTCTATATCCTAGTGTAACTTTTCTATGCGTCGCAACCGCCGCTCGTTACTTTTGCAAATTATTTTTTTCCAACCTTAGCCGGGATGTTGATTATGTGCTTATAGATATGGCTCCAATATGATTAGTTAGTAAGAGTTTATATCTTCTAAGTATACGTCTTATCGCGGACGTATGTTGTAAACAAAAGCAATAAGACACTTTTGCGCCGTACTCAACCATGATTCATGCTTCATCCGAGTGTTCGTAATTACGGTAAGCGTGTCATTCTTTTCGCATATTTTCCATTCCACTAAATGGTGAGTTTTATGTGTGTAAGTATTGAAATATACAAAGAATCTGTTATTACTTGAAAGAGAAATATTTTGCTAGCAGGAGTTCTCCGCACGTAAGCAAGCGAGCAATCATTCTCCGCACATAATAAACAAACAAAGATACTGTACGATCGCAACGGCTCGCAAAAACAAGCGCGCACATAATCTTGAATATATTGTGTTTCTTTACACTTCAGAAGGTTAGTCTGGGCTTGTTTGAAAGGTGACGTGATTCGTATTTCGGGAGTATTTGATGTCTCGTCCATCTCGCTTGTGCTTATCACAGCGCTATAAATTACAAATCTTTTTTTTTTAATTTATTCTTAAATTTTATTCATTTTCATCGCGACAGGGTAGATAAAAGGGCGCACGTATCTCGAGCAACGGCTGGTATAAAGCGACACAAACGAGCTTTACAGCAAGATTCTAGTGAAGTTTCTCGCACGTTTGAACAAAAAGTTATGACAATTTAAAGATGGGTCATACAAGAGGCTCATAAGCCGACGGGGGGGAATCGGGTTTAAAAATACTATTTTTGTTCTTTTAGTGCATGATATGCCTGATACGATTAAGTTGCAATTGAGCAAATCTAATACTATAATCGTTCATGTTTACAGAGAAAAAGTGCGGATGGTTTTCTGAATGTCCTGATAACTACTACTGCAAAAACAATTATTGCTATTGCAAAGATCCACACGGAAAAGGTTGCCAAGACATCATTATCATCGAAGATTAGTAACTACGAAGATCTTAAACATACAGCCCATGAAAAGTTTTCAGCATGCCTATTTAGATCTCACGCACGTGCTTGTTATTTTACGCGCTTGCTATTACAGCGGCCTCTTAAATCGAATTTAGTTTTCTAGGATTAGGGTTTAGTTTTGGGTTTAGGTGATTTTTTTGCCGAGCAATTCATTAGCTACGATCTGTTAATTTCCGCTTAAAGATGATGATAGTCCTATTGTTTGAAGAATCATCAGCTGGTAATCTTGCATCAATTTTATATGTGGTCTCTGAACATTTTCTAACTTGAAAAATAATGGGTACTTTTGGATTTAGAGTGAAGATTTGGATTGGAACGCTATTCGAATATTTCATTCATAAAATGGCATATTGAAGTTTTTCCATTTGAATAAAGATAAGAAATGGACATTTGTTCGAAATCTTGATTCGTTCAATTGTGCCATTTCTACTGCAACCCGCTATTACTTAATTGGTTACTTTTCAAATATACAAAAAATGGAAAATTATTAATCGGTATTTAACCAATAATTTCGTTCATTTTAAATTGTATATCTGATAAAATATCTTGCTGTGCGCTCAGCTTCGCTAATGGTGTAATAAAACAAAGAAATCAAAATGTGCAATTTCAATTAAATTTGTTGGTGAATCTTATCGGCGATGACAGAAAGTTTATACAAATTTTGAGATGTGGGTCGCAAGTGAGTGATGCTCGTGCTACTACTTGTAACACTTCGCCCTTATTTTTGCAGTATATTATTGTTATTCCAAATTATATTGACCTTCTAAACTCGAGTTGAAGTTTGTCTATAGGAAAACTAAAAAGTGCTATATTGAGATGCGAAAATGGCGGTAAAAAAATGAAAAACTACCAGAATCTTTGAAGCAATTCACAACTCACGCACGAAATATTTTCTTAACTGTTGTTACTTTTTTGACGGTTGAATTACTTGAGCGTTTTACATCTCTATTTTATTCATTTTTTTATGATGAAACTGTCATGTCAAGGATAGCTAGAAACGTTACGGTCAGAGTGAAGATCAACTAGCTAGCAACCGCTGTTGCTAAGCAAAAAAACTTCAAAACTTCAACAGCTTGACTCTGATTAAGGTCTTTTTGATTGTTATGTAGAACACTATGTTATTTTTCTTTGGTACGTTGAACTGGCGGTTTAATAATAGAATACCCCGGTCTTGTCACGGAGGCACTGCGTATGTTAAGTCCGGTTCAACCAGTAAAAAACGATCGCCTATAAATTAAATAAATAAAAATAAGAAAACAGTTTTACTGGCGAAGTAAAGACGCTGGGAACCAAAGTTATCGAGCTGCGACACCCACGGATTTAACTTCTGATTGAAAGTTTAAAAATCTTGACTTTGAGGTCTTTATCACTGCTGTTGTTGATGAGTATGGCTTTGACAAACTACCCAACCAGCATCGCACTACAAGGATTAAAATAAAGAGCTATCAAACCATCATATGTTTTTTCCCATCAACTGGATGACTTGGAGGCAAAACTGCTGCCCCAGACGAAATTAGTTTTTTGGAATTTAGTGATCTAGTCGTACTGGTATCAATATTGTTGAATTGATAAAAAATACAAAATAAAGAAAAATTTAGTACGCAATAAATTTATATTGACATTTCATTGGTAAACACCTGAAAAGATATTTATCGTAATATTATTCAAGGTTCATGGTCTGAAGTGCCATGTCGATTGTGATTGAATTCTGAAAATTAAATAGGAACAAATTTTTTCATCAAAATATAACTAAACAATCTTGACTTCCTGTGTGACGAAATAGTACAAGTCTAAGAATACCGTAATGCTAAAATATCGCACAACTGTACGAAAATCATAAGAGATTAACAGTTCAGAACATATACACGTTATTCAATAAGTCATTTTGTAATATATAATAAAATTATTATTTGATTTTTCAAATTTGTTCGTCTCTCTCATTTTTTCTCTCTGTGGCAAACACCATTGCTAATGTCCTTGTCCAAGCTTTTCTCAAAGTCAGGAATCATAAAATTGTCGAAGGGTTTGTCGTGGTTGTATTTAACATGCTGTCAATGGTATTTGCTTTCGAAGACAATTGTTCATCTGCGGCCTACAAAGACAAATTATTTCTTCTGTTGAAAGCAAGTGGATTAAAATATGAGATTCTCAATGAGACAAGAGCGTAGCCAGCCCAAGAAAAATTTTGTGCAAGGCTAAATTTGTTGATAAGACAATTACTCGGTTTTTCACTTTGAGCAAGGCACTCACTATCATCTAACGACAGTGGTTCCAACCTTTTATGGCTCGTGGCGTCCTGCCCGAGTCATTAACACTCGTGACCCCTTTCTTAATAATTCCATTGATCTTTATATTGTTATTTTGATTGGTAGTACAAGTCATAGTTACCCGAAAGTAAAAAAAACGATGATTACGGAAGACTACATTGAACTTGACAATAAAGTTTTTTTTTTATTTCGCAATCGGTATTTTAGCTAAACTCGGTACCATTATTTAAAATTTGTGACCTAACAGCTCTTGTTCTAATTTCATATAAAATAAGAGAATTATCACATTCATCTAAATTAAAAATAAATAATGCTGCACTCACCAGACTAACGACTGTTACGAACACAATTATTGGTACAATGATTGTACACCAAACAGCCATAATTACTTGATAACGAAAGTCTGAAATATAGGCAGAAAAGCAGTGAATACACAATTTTTTCTTTTATTATCTCTTCCATATTTCTTATCCTGGAAATCTTTTCTAAACCTAATCTTGTCAAATACAGTTACTTACTAGTAGATCTTTTGTACGGTTCTTCTTCGTTATATTGAATTTCAACATCCATTCAATTTACTTGGCAATCAAATCTTGATTCAAATATTATTTATCTACAGAGAATATCTGTTGTAACAATTGCTCAATAAGTTACTCGAAACAAATTTCAAAATCAATTCAGTGAAACATAATTCAAACATTGTCACCGTTGGCCCTAAATCTAAACCCTTTAGGTATAACTCAACTTTGAGCATACTCCCGGTAAGTGCATACTATATGCTGGTGAAGAAGATATGATTACAATTTTTGATCGTACAGTAATACTGATTTTCTATTTAAATAAATACATGAAGTTATTAATTTATATTGTCGTAATAGGTGTTCTTAGTCACAGTGTTGTCATTAGACGCTACAAAATATCATGATCATCGGAAACAGATTGTATACTTTACAAAATATGTGCAAATACAATATCTTTATGTGAAATTGTGGTATGCAACTAAAGAAAATTTAACCGCCGTAGCCATGAAGCATTAGCCATTAACCGTATTACACACATATTTATTTTTTTCAACTTTAAATTATCATTATTGTCCCTTTTTTGCTATAAAGTAATAATAGTCATAAGTGCTTTTTAATTAATGTCGTATTGGAACTGATTTTTGCACGTTGCAGTAAAATGAAATCGTCTTTAGTCTGAGTGTGTTGGAAATGGCCAACGTATATCTGAGAAAACAGCTTCAGTGAGCTACCTAGTCGCTTTAGCACTTGCCTGTGAATTAATAGTTATGTAAGTAGAGCCAAAAATCTGAGTAATGAATAATCGCGATGAGAAAGAACATTGCTAACTACATTACAATATTTCAAATTATGTCGTTAACAAACTGACTCCCGATTATTTAAACTGAAATTGTGCGATCAAACGTGAATAATGAAAACATGTGAAAAGCGATTATCAACCTGCTGCCTTTTTACACTCGACCGAGTAATATCTACTGAGTTATTGACATATTATTTAAAAATTCAAGGTGAAGGTTTATTTTAAAAATCAACAAATTTTGAATGATTTAATTCCGCTTCATTCTCGTAGAATACTAACAACATTAATTTTGCATTTTGAAAACAATACACTCCCTATAGCATTTTGATCAAAATACATGAACATAGATTATTGAAACAGTCTCAATGATGTTCTGCAACTTTTTTTATTAGTTTTTTTTTTCTCTGAATTAACTTTACAAAAGCACAAATTTCCCGACTGAATTCAATTACGTACCCAACCGTTCCCAATCTTTTTTGGTCGCGGAATATTTTCTCACCGGCGAGAATCTTTGTGGACTCAAGGTGCGTTTATTGCAACCGTACTCTGTGTGAAGAAGCAATAAAACCAAACACAACCGAATTATATTGAATTTTAAAATCGGAAATTCACCGCAATTGCGTATTCGTTAAAAGAGCCGACGTTTTAAGTGTATAACGACTTTTTCTGTCGCACAATATTCAATCCATGACAACGACGAGAATTTAGAATGTTTTTCTATTATAATTTAATTGTGTGCAAGATAACTCTCGGTTGCGTAGACTTACGACAAGATGAGAGCATTACTTCTTTAAAATGTCACTGCAATCTGCGAACATAATAATGTGAGAATTTATTGCCCAATTATATTTAGTTTTGATACATATATTTTGCAATCTCGCGAATTTGGTATTGCAAAAACAAAACAACAAAAAACTCGAAAAATAGAATGACAATCCGTGGAAACAAAAATGCGTGCCCGGTTATATTTTTTTTTTCGTATTTTTGTGAATTCGACAAATCTGAGCTGTCCGTACAACACTTATGGGGTTCTAGGACTGTACGTACCAATGTGGCAATAACGCAAAGAATCCTAAGGAAAATGCCCTGGTACGTATACTGCGGTAGCACCCAAAATTTTGCGATTTGCAATTTCTAAAAAGCGTTTTTAATCGGTCGCGGACTATCATAAAAGAGAACTTTTGGTGTTCTCCGTTTTATTTTCAGTATTTTGTATTGCCGCTTTTCAATTTTGAAATTTTGGGTTGCCACCATTGACGCCTACCACCTACCACCTACCATCACCTCGTTGCCCAAACTCGCGAGAAACACCACTTAAGTATCTGTCGAAGGATGTATAGACTCGTGTTTTCGTCGGAATTCTGCAAGTGAGTTATGAAATCTAACCTGTTACCAAATTTTCGAATAGTAAATTGCTATTCTAATAGTTGAATATTCGAATATACGCCCAGCCTTACTCAGTAACCAGTAATTATTGACTCGATTATTATTGTGTAAATAAACTTGCTTTTTATGTTCTATGTGAATTCTAACGTAAATCGTAACTTGGCTAATAGTTCAGTTTTGCAAAAACGTTCGCGGCCCGCAGTAAATTTCTGGCTCGTTGCAGACTCATTCAAACGCTCCGCAGACTAATTTGAGACCGCGGACTCGGGTTGGAAACACTAGGAAAAATTATAGTGGAATATTCCTCGTAGAAGTGATTCTTGGATATACCAGTGTCAACCAAATATTTTTCTAAATCATGTTTCCTATTTTTACTATGTTAATTAACTAAATTGTTCCTCGAAAATAAAAAGCACGAGACACATTTGAATGCTGAATATATTGTATTAGGAGAAATATGGTGATTTAATTCTGTGATTTACCCACGATTATTAAAGCATATTCTTTCACAATAGTGTAACAAGTATTTGAACATTGTCAAAGTTTTATTATTACGGACAATAGATTCCAACGCACACACATTTTCCCGAAACGTATTTCCATCCTGGTTTACAACGAGGGCGACATTGTTCTGTAGAATGAATGGAAATTAATATTAGTATTGGTTAGTCGATATTTCAAAAAAGGGATTATTTCGTTTCAAAAAATTGGGAAACAAGAGGAATATTAAGTAATCATTGCTAATTAAAGCAGGTAGTGAATTGCACCAACTTGAGATTACTTTATATTTGAGTTTGAATTTCATATTATTTTACTTACGGTGTGGTCGAGGGCAGTTTTTGTAGCAAAGTACATCTAGTGTCATGTTGACTCACTTGGACGAATCCCTTTCTACACTCGCATTTTTTTATTCGGATCGCAGGGGGCACAAATCTCGGGATTTGGGTTTTGGCAAGTGCCCACACAAAACGAAGCACATGTGGTAGGTTTCTCACCATACCCACATTCTAATATTCAATTTATAAGCAAATTCAATTATATGAATATTTTCTATACGACGAGAAAAATGAATAAAGCAAATTTATTTATTAGTTTGAACAGGCAAATGCTTTTCTAATAGTTTATTTGTTCATGTCAAAGGAGAAAGACAAAATGCAGTTAAAATGCATAGAAAGTCATACCTCAATAAAATGAAGCAAGTAATTAGAGGATATAACTCAGAAATTTAGTGTTTTTACAGATATCAAGTATTAAAATAAATCTCATTTGAAATTATAACATGACAGGTATGCTCAATGTCTAAATTCATTTTCCCTTATGACTCATACAATACCGTAATTTTAAAATTGATGGAATTTAATTCAAAATATAAAACCTATAAATGAAAAAGAAACATCTGTCACAGCAAACAAAATATAGATACTTATTCACAGGACATTCTAAAATGGTACAGGTCAAAACTCATTAATCTGAACCAATGATGTTAGAAAGAATGAATCATCGTGGAATTTTTAACAATAAAAATGTCTGCTTAGGGTGTTGTTGTACTTTATAAGTATGCAAAATATGGTACTAAAACGATTGTTCAATTTAATTAATATTCTTTGCTAGAAAATATTCTAGAAACCTACTATTAGGACATTGGTATCTTTTCACGCATCCACCATTGTGTTCCAGAAACCCATTAGGACAAACGCAGTACCTGTCCAAATTACATTCCTCTGTACAAACTTGCGGGAATGGTTTTTCACATGTCAATGGACAGTTCGAAGGACATGCTTTGAATATTTTACCGGGAGGACAAGCTGAAAATTAAAATTATCGAAGGTGATAATGATAACAGGTTATCATCGCTAAATGAAAAACTAATATAACGCAGCGACATCACGTATTCGTTTTGGAAAATTGTGTTAGAAACAATGAATTCTATACAAAAATAAGTTTCGAGTTAAATTCAGGAATCACGATGGAATTAAACAGACAAGAATACTCGTAATTGACGGAGAAATATTAGTTTGATATTCCAGAGAAATATGCTGTTGGGTTATGACTGTTATTGACGATATTGAATTATATATAAAATATATAACGCAAAATTTACTTGTATTGGAAATGATTTGCCCACAGGGATATGCAACGTCACAGGAGTCGTGTTCTTATATATTAGCTTCGAAACTACAAATTAGCTTTATTTATTTATTTTTGTTTAGTTTATAAAATAAAGAGGCTTCTCTTCATTTCAACGGTACCTGCGGAATCATGTTTACTTGGAATAACAAAAATATTATCAACTTGAATATGATTCAGAGTTATTTGATAAAACCTCAAATCGGGTTAAACGCAGGTTATAATTAAAAAGTTGTGATCTCAACAGTATGATTAAATCCTTGTTGTTACTAATTATAGAACTGAAACATTCCCGATATACTTCTACACTTATAAGGCATTCGGAAATATTCAATTTTTATACTGTTGTTATACATAAAAGTGCTCATGAAGATTTAGATTAATCAAGCACATGCAAAAAGTAACTAAGTGATTACTCACGTCTTTCCAAATCATTCGAGTTTTGGAAGGGGTAATGTTACGTATGGCCATAATGTGTTGATATATTTTCACTTGACAATGACTATTGAAAAAATAAATTGTAAAAGATTAATCATCCTTACTGACGCATCTTCCATTGTAAAAGTCTCCTCTTCTGCAAACGCATCTGCCATCTTCACATACTTGACCAGGCGCACATGATGATGAACACGTGGACACTTGAAATAAAATTACTCTTTTACTCACTGACACATTTGTTTCCTCTATACCCTTTTTCACACACACATTTTGCATTTTTACAGATACTGTTAGGGGGACAATATAATGGGCAGGTTTTATCTGAAAATCCAGAAAAAAAAACCGAAAAACAATGATAAACGTATATATCTTTGATATATATTCATTTTTCGACCAATCTCATGCTGTATTATTCAACTGAGTTCAATAATTTTTAAACTTAAATCAAAAAGCCTTTATCTTTTTTCATTTGACAAGTTAAGTCTAATTTCTAATTGTTTTACCTCAATTCTAACTTAGACCCCAAAACGACCCAAATATGTAGGTCTAATTTGCAATTCTGTTATGCCTGCTGAAAGTTTTTGTAAAACTGTTTTGGTATATCAGCGTTTTGATGTTATAATTATAACTAGAGAGATTGGTTTTCCTGGAGAGTATAAAAGTCACTTACATGACACGCAAACTCCATTTTTTCTGTAATGTCCTGGTAGACATTCGCATATCCCATCTGGGCAATGTTCGTTCGGGGGACATCGTCTACGACATTGACACTTTCCGCCAATACAATCACTTCCAGGCGGACAATTTTTTTTACACACTAAAAAAATATGACATCAAGAAAAATTAAAATTATGTATTGATTGTGATTCAGAGTCATTCATATTCAATGAATAGTTTGCCGTTTGTCGTTGAATGATCAACGTTACCTCATAGTAATAATTCAGTTTTCACAGTCAATTTGAAACTCTCCATAGTGTGGCGTCATTAACTTTTATTCATAGATATTTATGAGCATGAACCACAACTTTTATGACATTGTAGAAAATTGAATTGTTAACTGGTAAGTTTCAGGTTTATATTATTTTACTTACGTTGCGGTCGAGGGCAGTTTTGTAGCAAAGTACATCTAGTGTCATGTTGGCTAACTTGGACGAATCCCTTTCTACACTCGCATTTTCTATTCGGATCGCAGGTGGGGGCACAAATCTCGGGATTTGGGTTTTTGCAAGTGCCCACACAAAACGAAGCACATGCGGTAGGTTTCTCACCATACCCACATTCTGAAAATCATAATAGTCAATTCATAGGTAAATTCAATTATATGAATCTTTTCTATACAACGAAAAAAATGAATGAAGCATATGGATTTATTACTATTTATTAGTGTTTAATTTAACTAATATTTTTTGCTAGAAAATAAACTATAAACCTACTATTAGGACATTGGTCACTTTTCACGCATCCACCATTGTGTTCCAGAAACCCCATCAGGACAAACACAGTACCTGTCCAATTACATTCCTTGGTACAAACTTGCGGGAATGGTTTTCACATGTCAATGGACAGTTCGAAGGACATGCTTTGAATATTTTACCGGAGGAAAGGACACTTTGAATATTTTGGAGGACAAGCTGAAAATTAAATAATCGTGGGTGATAATGATAACAGATTATCATCGCTAAATGAGAAACTAATATAACACAGCGACATCACGTATTCGTTTTGGAAAATAGTGTTAGAAACAATGAATTCAATACAAAAATAAGTTTCGAGGTAAATTCACGAATCACGATGGAATCAAACAGACAAGAATACTCGTAATTGACGGAGAAATATTAATTTGATATTCCAGAAAAATATATTGTTGGGTTATGACTGTTATTGACGATATTGAATTATATATAAAATATATAACGCAAAATTTACTTGTATTGGAAATGATTTGCCCACAGGGATATGCAACGTCACAGGAGTCGTGTTCTTATATATTAGCTTCGAAACTACAAATTAGCTTTATTTATTCATTTTTGTTTAGTTTTATAACATAAAGAGGCTTTTCTTCATTTCAACGGTACCTGCGGAATCATGTTTACTTGGAATAACAAAAATATTATCAACTTGAATATGATTCAGAGTTATTTGATAAAACCTCAAATCGGGTTAAACGCAGGTTATAATTAAAAAGTTGTGATCTCAACAGTATGATTAAATCATTGTTGTTACTAATTATAGAACTGAAACATTCCCGATATACTTCTACACTTATCAGGTATTCGGAAATATTCAATTTTTATACTGTTGTTATACATAAAAGTGCTCATGAAGATTTAGATTAATCAAGCACATGCAAAAAGGTAACTAAGTGATTACTCACGTCTTTCCAAATCATTTGAGTTTTGGAAGGGGTAATGTTACGTATGGCCATAATGTGTTGATATATTTTCACTTGACAATGACTATTGAAAAAATAAATTGTAAAAGATTAATCATCCTTACTGACGCATCTTCCATTGTAAAAGTCTCCTCTTCTGCAAACGCATCTGCCATCTTCACATACTTGACCAGGCGCACATGATGATGAACACGTGGACACTTGAAATAAAATTACTCTTTTACTCACTGACACATTTGTTTCCTCTATACCCTTTTTCACACACATTTTGCATTTTTACAGATACTGTTAGGGGGACTATATAATGGGCAGGTTTATCTGAAAATTCAGAAAAAAAAAACGAAAAACAATCATAAACGTATATATCTTTGATATATATTCATTTTTCGACCAATCTCATGCTGTATTATTCAACTGAATTCAATAATTTTTAAACTTGAATCAAAAAGCCTTTATCTTTTTTCATTTGACAAGTTAAGTCTAATTTCTAATTGTTTTACCTCAATTCTAACTTAGACCTCAAAACGACCCAATATGTAGGTCTAATATGCAACTCTGTTATGCCTGCTGAAAGTTTTTGTAACACTGTTTTGGTATATCAGCGTTTTGATGTTATAATTATAACTAGCAAGTTTGGTTTTCCTGGAGAGTATAAAAGCCACTTACATGACACGCAAACTCCCTTTTTTCTGTAATGTCCTGGTAGACATTCGCATATCCCATCTGGGCAATGTTCGTTCGGGGGACATCTTCTACGACATTGACACCTTCCGTCAATACAATCACTTCCAGGCGGACAATTTTTTTTACACACTGAAAAAAAATTTAACATCAAGAAAAATTAAAATATGTATTGATTGTGATTCAGAGTCATTCATATTCAATGAATAGTTTGCCGTTTGTCGTTGAATGATCAACGTTACCTCATAGTAATAATTCAGTTTTCACAGTCAATTTGAAACTTTCCATAGTGTGGCGTCATTAACTTCCATTCATAGTTATTTATGAGCCTGAACCACAACTTTTATGACATTGCAGAAAATTGAATCGTTAACTGGTAAGTTTCAAGTTTATAATATTTTACTTACGTTGCGGCCGAGGGCAGTTTTGTAGCAAAGTACATCTAGTGTCATGTTGGCTAACTTGGACGAATCCCTTTCTACACTCGCATTTTCTATTCGGATCGCAGGCGGGGGCACAAATCTCGGGATTTGGGTTTTTGCAAGTGCCCACACAAAACGAAGCACATGCGGTAGGTTTCTCACCATACCCACATTCTGAAAATCATAATAGTCAATTCATAGGTAAATTCAATTATATGAATCTTTTCTATACGACGAAAAAAATGAATGAAGCATATGGATTTATTACTATTTATTAGTGTTTAATTTAACTAATATTTTTTGCTAGAAAATAAACTATAAACCTACTATTAGGACATTGGTCACTTTTCACGCATCCACCATTGTGTTCCAGAAACCCATCAGGACAAACACAGTACCTGTCCAAATTACATTCCTTGGTACAAACTTGCGGGAATGGTTTTTCACATGTCAATGGACAGTTCGAAGGACATGCTTTGAATATTTTACCGGGAGGACAAGCTGAAAATTAAAATAATCGTGGGTGATAATGATAACAGATTATCATCGCTAAATGAGAAACTAATATAACACAGCGACATCACGTATTCGTTTTGGAAAATAGTGTTAGAAACAATGAATTCAATACAAAAATAAGTTTCGAGGTAAATTCACGAATCACGATGGAATCAAACAGACAAGAATACTCGTAATTGACGGAGAAATATTAATTTGATATTCCAGAAAAATATATTGTTGGGTTATGACTGTTATTGACGATATTGAATTATATATAAAATATATAACGCAAAATTTACTTGTATTGGAAATGATTTGCCCACAGGGATATGCAACGTCACAGGAGTCGTGTTCTATATATTAGCTTCGAAACTACAAATTAGCTTTATTTATTCATTTTTGTTTAGTTTTATAACATAAAGAGGCTTTTCTTCATTTCAACGGTACCTGCGGAATCATGTTTACTTGGAATACCAAAAATATTATCAACTTGAATATGATTCAGAGTTATTTGATAAAACCTCAAATCGGGTTAAACGCAGGTTATAATTAAAAAGTTGTGATCTCAACAGTATGATTAAATCATTGTTGTTAC